ATACGCATACATCAATAGGAGTTACATGTGACTGTATTACTATTGCCAAACAAATAGACATTAAAAGCACAATATAATAATGTCACAAGATAAAATGGTGTCTACCGTGATTGATAGATCTGTCATGTCGGTTCATATGTAATCACAATGTAGGCCCTACCAAAATCAAATCTACTACTAGCGCACTGTATGCCCGGCTTCTTAAAGGAGCTAAATCGGTAATATTTGAGACCTAGAAATTGACCCAAAGGGGTTGCAACGCATATTATAATGTAATCTGATTGTATATAAACTGATTTACATTAAATTGTTTCCGTTTTGACTCTAATTTCAAATCAGTTATGTCCAGCGAAATACGGCATGAGTCTCAACCGAATCGCTATTTCTAGCGTCTGGTTATTACAGTCTATTGCACATGCTCTCATGGCGTCACCGTTTGACATGAGTTGTGGAATATGTCTAGCCTCGTTCTTTCTGGTCACTTGTTACAAATGACGCTGAAACGCACTATGGTACACGATTCGTGTACCAATGGTAAAAAGTTTATTTTATCTTAAATATTGGATATCAGAAGCCTACCTTTTCCTGGTAAGATCACAACATCAATGTTGATTGGAATTGACAAAAAATGGATGATATTGAGTTAGAGACTTAGCAACTTTAAGCTCAGTTGGAGCAGAGCCATTAGAATGTGAAAGCTCATTCATTTGTTCATTGGCAGTAGTGCATTCAATTTAAAGCGTTATTGATTTTTTGGTTAAAACCTTTTTTTTTCTTTAAATAACGAAAGAAATGTACATAAAATTACAGATAAAAAAACTTGTAATTTTTATCCGTATAAATAAGTTGTGTTGTAAATAAACCAATTATAAAAATAACTCAACCACTTGATTTTTAAAGGGCATGTTTGGGCCGTTGGCCGTTGTTTATATATCATCCATTCATTCTGATTAAAACACAGCTCAGTTCCTGATTCGTTTCGTTTTTTATAGTTTAAAATTTCGTTTTGCTTGTCTTTATTACATTACACTAGGATCTAAAAGTGTTGTTATATAACCCGCGTTTTAGGATTAGTAAATGAAACGGTCTGTTACAGCGAGTTCTTGGCGTACGGTGCTCAGAACTAGAAACCACAACGATGATTGGTTATTCAATTGTGTGACGTCATAGGGTCAAAAGCCGTTGTACGACCTGTGACGTGACCTACTACAACCGGTCAGATCTTCATGTAGTGTAGATCATCGCAAGTATAAAAAAAACGAAACGAAATATAGATCTGTATCTTAATCAGATTGTCATCCATTTAAATACTGAAATATTAGTTTTGGTTCAGCCGAATAATGGCCGCATTGACTGGGCGGTTAAATGTGCAAGAAAACAGAAAAAGATCAACTGAGGACCACGAGGGAGGCAACAGACCTGACAGGTGATGGCCGTCAGGGTTTAAAATCCCATCTGAGACTTCTTGGCCTCGTCTTCAAGAGTTTCGAAGTACATGGATGATCTGTTCAAATCGGGATATTTCTTTAAGTGGGATTAGGTCTCATCAAACGAAACACTGCGAGGAGGAGATGGGTTCACTAGTGAGCGGGTGCACTAGTCCGCCGCTACAAGAAATACTATAAATATGGGTATCAATAACCTAACCCTAACCCTAATAATAGATATCGGTGGATTAATGAACCCTAACCCAATCCTAACAACAATAACAAATATCGATCGACTAATTAATGAACCCGCGGACTAGTGAGCATTCCCCGCGAGGAGTATGACCTTCCCGCGACGAGAAGTCGAGTATATAAAATGACCGCAATAGCCTTCCGTAACATATCTTTTTTTTTTACTATAAATAAAATAGTGGGCGGAGTCTAAACTGACACAAAATTTGGGGCGATGTTACATCAGGAATATGTCGCAAGTACGAAATTGAAGAAAGGCAGACTGCGACGTTGTTAGACAACTTTTTAAAAACAAGAAATAAAAACCGTAAGTCATTGGATATTTTAGTTTATTGGTAGTCTATTGGAATCTAAAAGGTAGTTAAGTGAAATGGTGTTTAATCACAAAGTTATATATATGAGGTAATACTTTTCTAAATCAACAGGGCCAATGATCAGCCGTGAATATTCGCTAGGCCTTTGTATACAATCACTGATAGGGATGACATTGGTGTAGCTTAAAGGCTCAATACCACTCTTGTTGTAACTTAATAATATGTCCCAATCTTTATTCTGGTCAACAAATTGTACTATTTTACAATATTCAAATTAATTGATGATACAAATTTCATCTTAACACACCTAATTTAAAAAATTGGAAAAATTCAACTAAATGATTTGAAAAGCCTGACGTAAAGCTTTTCAGATGTGACTTGGATTTAAAAATATATTTGAACCTTTGGACAAGTAAAATAGGATTTAATGGATAATTTACACAACAGGTAGGACACTAACACATCTAGTACTTAGAATAAGGCTATTTTTTTATTTTCTGGGGCTGCCAAGCCAGCAAGAGTGTTATTGTCCCTTTAATGGACCACTGAACCAATGATTGTCTCCGCGTTATGTGACGTCACATGCTAAAAGCGGTCGTCTTTTACAGAGTTATTAGAAGACTTTCTGAAACAGATTGATGAAGACAGCCAAGCGCCATGGTAGGGTGACCCGTGCACCCAGAATTTTCCGTACAGAAAGTTGGACTCGACACAGCGAACGTGCACGCTTCAGTGGCTTGTCTCGAAGTGATTTCTCGCTAACTACGCGGTATGATATAATACTCAGCGGTAGAGTCTATGGGACTATAAATACCCATCGCACGTGCAATTCTCTACACATCTATCAACTATTACAACCGTAAAAAATCTATTGTTGACGATTCTGAATAGCAGTAATATTTAGCTTTTTGGTTTAGAAATTACGATGGGTTTGTTTTTTTTAAATTGCTTTATCATCAACTTAACCTTTAGGAGCGGCATCTTTTGGTTTAGTACAAATAAGATCATGATACTAGCAGTATACGTCATTGGTAGTTTCATTTTACTTTTACAAGGTTCTTAAAACAATTGTTGAGTTGCCTAACGTGCGTGTTTCTAAATTCAATTTCTTGTTCCAGCTTTCTGTTATATACTATTCAAAAAAAGTAGGGGATATTTGATTTTGGGGGCATAATACTAAAATATGCAAATGACTACGAAAAAAGTCACTATAGAACCTAACAGAAGAAACATTTCCAGTTACATGTGACGCCCAAACGCACCAATAGCTACCGCATGGAATGCAGGTGATGCTTGGGATCATCATGGGGGTCCAACCCAAGATTTGCACGACTCTGACTTTGAATGTTACAGTCATTGTGGCATTGAATTCCAGGGTGGAAACATCAGTTTAATTGTTTTAGTGACCAGAAAACAAATTTTGATATGCGTCGGCTTACCCAAAATGAAAGGTTACGTGCCCTTGGCATGCTACAGATCGGCACAACACAGGCGGTTGTGGCACGGACGATGAATGTTTCTCAGTCTGTCATAAGCAGGCTATGGTCCAGATACCGTGATACACAATCTGTACAGGACATACCACGCTCAGGTCGACCAAGGGCGACAACTCAAGCCCAGGATCGATTTATCCGTACCTTGGCCTTGAGAAATCGTGTCATCACAGCAAATCAGATCAGCGCTCGTCTCCAAACAGACACTGGTGTGAGAGTGAGTGGCCAGACGATTCGGAATCGACTGCATAGGGGTCACCTTCGCGCCCGACGCCCTCGCGTGATCCCTTGTTTGAGAGATCATCACATTCAGGCAAGACGTCGTTGGTGTAGGGATCGTCAACACTGGGATAATCGACGCTGGAGCAATGTGATGTTTTCAGATGAGTCAAGGTTCACTGTTGATTTTTTGGACAGACGTAGGAGGGTGTGGCGTCGTCGAAACGAGCGCTTCCAAGACGTTAACGTCATCAGACATGATCGATATGGGGGTGGTTCTGTTATGGTGTGGGGAGGCATCACTGTTGCTGGAAGAACGGCTTTACATGTTGTTGCAGGGCGTGTTACAGGCCAGTACTACCGGGACAACATCTTGGCAGTCCATGTTGTGCCGTTCGCACGACGTCATGGCCGCCGTTTCATCTTCCAGGATGACAACGCAAGATGTCACAGGGCCAGGATCATTACAGGTTACCTCCAACAACAGAACATCACCACATTACCTTGGCCAGCACTGAGTCCCGACCTCTCCCCCATCGAGCATGTCTGGGACATGCTTGGACAGAGGTTACGTCAACGTCAACAACGTCCTGCCAATGTCCAAGAACTTGCTGCTGCGTTGCAACAGGAATGGGACAATCTGGACCAAAATGACCTTAGATGTCTCATTAGGAGTATGCCACGTCGGATCAATGCTTGTTTGGCAAACAGAGGAGGATTTACCCGTTACTGACTTGGTTGTGATGCTGTGGTAACTTTGCTGTTTGACCCCGGGTATCATTTTACCCTTATAATGGTCAGTCTGTGCCTTACTTAGTCTAACGATCATTTGGAATAAATCGATGAATGTGAACTTCATTTCATTTTGTCATTTGTTTCTTCGTCAGTTTCATTAGGTGACTTTAATAACACTTAAAAATCAAATATCCCCTACTTTTTTTGAATAGTATATTTCGTGAAAAAAAAAGTAGTCTTGTTTATCCCGGCCTGTCAGTCAGACGTAGAATGGTCGGTAGACTGGTTAAGCGAGACTAATTTCAAAACAAGGGCACGTAACTTATTTTTTACTTACATGGACTAAGACTAGTAATTATTTCCCCTTATTTCATGATGTAGTGCGAGTTATAAATAGACAATTTTTCCCTTAATTTTTTTCTCCCCTCTTCCTGCATTTTTGGGTTGACTTTTTGGTCTAGAATAGGAGAAAAGGGATCAAATTTGCAATTTTATAGCAGTTTTGGGTAATACTGATGATATTACAGCGGAGGGATAGGGGGTGTAAAATGTCTTTCTGCCGAGCAATCATTGTATCGAAAGTGAGATTTTCACCCCAGTCAACTTCAAATCCCCGTAGCAAAAAATCTAAACGGTCAACCCCCTACAAGTTTATGATGAGGAGATTGCCAAATGTGGTCCCCATTGTGCCTATAAAGATTGGAACCAACGGAATGTTGAGCAAAAAGCTACAGCCTGTGATGTTACAGCTATTTAACATTGAAGTCAATGGGCAAATAATTAATAGTCTGAGTCCACATGTATCCGGATGTTATGGCCGACACTCGTAACAATCTTTCAGTGTATTATTTATGGATGGTTATAGTACAACATGACCGTTTATTTAGAGACTATAAATGTGCGAAACTGGTTTAAGGCTTGGTGTATATATAAATATTGTGGTGTAATTGTCGAGATATTTGGAGATATTTATTTATGGTGTATCACCCTAGTCATGGAGTGTTCTACACTCTTTATATTTCTATCAGTGGGTCGTTAACGGACTTCCAAAGCTGATCAATACGAGACAAATTGAATATTATGTATACATGTATGTAGATATAACACTGGAATAAAATGGGGTTTAACGTCCTACTGTTCTGTCCCGACTGGGCTAATGAAGACGAACTTACGAAATATAGTGGGCTGTAAGGGGAATTTTGCTCGGACAAAGACTCAACAATCCTACTCCTATACCGAATTCCAACTGCCAAAGGATCTTTTCCTACATAATACCAGTGTAGAATTCTATAGAAAATCTATAGAGTTTTTTGGGGGCGTGTCCCATTTTCTATAGGATAAAATTCTATAGTATTCTACAGAATTTTGGGGGCCTGTAGGAAATAACGGCCCCAAATATTCTACAGTTTCTGTAGCGCACATCCTATAGTTTTTCCTACAGATTTATGGCAAAATTTCTATAGGAAAATACTGTAGTATTATATAGGTTTTTTTATTGCACTTTCTGTAGTAAATTCTACAGTTATGTATAGGAATGAATACTGTGGTATTCTGTAGTTTGGAAATTGGGTCACTATAGTTTTCTGTAGGAATGGGTACTATAGAATTCTATAGACTTTTTTTTTTATTAAATCCTATTTTGGGAATAAATATAGTTGGCCCATGATTTATTCTAAATTCATAAGCTTATTTTTCTCTCATGGATTCTTCTAAATTGATAAGCTTATTTTTTTCTCTCATGGATTAATCTGAATTCTGTTGATGATTCACCAACCGGAACCATGAAAAGTTCTTTTCTTGGTAAAACTGAAATATAGGGAAAAGAATAGGTAATAAAGTTAAATAAATAACAAAATCACATAAATCTTATCTTATTAAAGTAATTTAATATTATTGTTAAGAAAGTAATAAAGTATACTTATCTTTCTATCTTTAATAGAATCTGTGAAAAAACACCACCATTCTCTTCAGTTTCTTGTTAATACTAACATATTAACAGTCTTAAGACCAACTAGAAATCAGCCAGATTTCTTCAAGTTTGGGAATGTGACCTCAAAGATTTGTTGAAGAGAATCCTGTCATCAACCTCTCAAAGGGTTTGGAATCAGATTCTATGAAATTTGAATAAGAGAATAAGAAAAACTAATCAAATTAAACACAGAAATAAACAAATTTAATAACAATTTAATAAAATTAAAAAAAATTGATTCAAATATTACATAATGTAATAATAAGCTTATTAATTTGATGTAATATCTACAGCAGCTTGTCTAAGCCAGGGTATAAAATATCTTACATTATTTTACTCATATACTTTGATATTGACCAATTTGATGTTAACCAATTAAATGATTTTGGAACTTTTTCTTGGGGAGATAAATATTCATAAGTAAAACAAGGGTTGTTGAGCACATTACGATTGTATAACTCTTGCCAATTATATATTGATTTCTATAGAAAGGGGCCAGTATCGAAATATTAATGGCCTATTGATCCATCGTACAATACTATTTACGAACTTATCAATTATCAGTAAAAGAAAATTTGATCCAAAATTATCTATTTTGGTGCAAAAATATGAACATTTACTGATTATTTACATACAGGGAAAAGGTCACCCCAAAACAATCTACATGTATTTGTTATTTAAAAGAGCTAAATCGCTAATATTTAGGACCTAGAAATTGACACAAATGGTTCGCAACACAAATAATAATGTAATATGAATGTACATAAACTGATTTAGTATTTATTGCGCATGCTCTCCAGATAGGAATATGACGTAACCGTTTGAGTTACTTGTGGAATATATCTAGCCCCGTCCTTCTAGTCCCTTGTTATAAATGGCACTTAAAGGCATTCGTGAACCGATGGTAAAATGTTTATTTTGTCTTACAATCTTATGGAAGCCTATAACTACCATTTATAATTTCTAGTTTTCGCCCCTTCAAAACACGAAAGTCGAAAAGTGACCTTGAAAGTAGAGACTACATCAACTTCTGAGCCAAAATCAAAGGTCGCTAATATCGCCATCAATACTAGACTTTATAAACTATTTTGTTAACGCGAATTTATTGTCAATGTCAACAAAACAGTACACCTTTAATAATGTATTACTTATATTCTCTGTCACCACAGTGGGATCACGTGGCTAAGTGGGTAAGACGCTAGCTCGCTAGCCTGGAGGTCGGGTGTTCGATCCCTGCATTGGCCGAGAAAGTTCATCCAGATTTTCCGGCGTGGTTCTCCCTCGTCAGTGATGCAGGACGGAGGGGCTGACAAGGAAAGCTGTCTAGTCGTTCGGATGGGACGAAAAACCGAGGTCCCGTGTACACATTGGCGTGCACGTAAAAGATCCCTTGGCAGTTGGAATTCGATATAAGAGTAGGCCGTAGTGCCGCTGTCCGTGCAAAATTTCCCTTATAGCACACTGTATGGCGTATGCCCGTCTTCATTAGCCCAGGTTAGGAGCAGAACAGCAGAACAGTAGGACGTTAAAACTCCATTTCATTTCATTTCATTTCTGTCACCACAGAGTTCTTGATGTGGAAATTTACACGGAAATATTTATTTATGGCTAGGGATATGATATCATATCTTTCTTATCTAAATTAGATCCTGCTTATATATATATATATATATATATATATATATATATATATATATATATATATATAACCAGGATATAATATACTATTCAAAAAAAGTAGGGGATATTTGATTTTGGGGGCATAATACTAAAATATGCAAATGACTACGAAAAAAGTCACTATAGAACCTAACAGAAGAAACATTTCCAGTTACATGTGACGCCCAAACGCACCAATAGCTACCGCATGGAATGCAGGTGATGCTTGGGATCATCATGGGGGTCCAACCCAAGATTTGCACGACTCTGACTTTGAATGTTACAGTCATTGTGGCATTGAATTCCAGGGTGGAAACATCAGTTTAATTGTTTTAGTGACCAGAAAACAAATTTTGATATGCGTCGGCTTACCCAAAATGAAAGGTTACGTGCCCTTGGCATGCTACAGATCGGCACAACACAGGCGGTTGTGGCGCGGACGATGAATGTTTCTCAATCTGTCATAAGCAGGCTATGGTCCAGATACCGTGATACACAATCTGTACAGGACAGACCACGCTCAGGTCGACCAAGGGCGACAACTCAAGCCCAGGATCGATTTATCCGTACCTTGGCCTTGAGAAATCGTGTCATCACAGCAAATCAGATCAGCGCTCGTCTTCAAACAGACACTGGTGTGAGAGTGAGTGGCCAGACGATTCGGAATCGACTGCATAGGGGTCACCTTCGCGCCCGACGTCCTCGCGTGATCCCTTGTTTGAGAGATCATCACATTCAGGCAAGACGTCGTTGGTGTAGGGATCGTCAACACTGGGATAATCGACGCTGGAGCAATGTGATGTTTTCAGATGAGTTAAGGTTCACTGTTGATTTTTTGGACAGACGTAGGAGGGTGTGGCGTCGTCGAAACGAGCGCTTCCAAGACGTTAACGTCATCAGACATGCTCGATTTGGGGGTGGTTCTGTTATGGTGTGGGGAGGCATCACTGTTGCTGGAAGAACGGCTTTACATGTTGTTGCAGGGCGTGTTACAGGCCAGTACTACCGGGACAACATCTTGGCAGTCCATGTTGTGCCGTTCTCACGACGTCATGGCCGCCGTTTCATCTTCCAGGATGACAACGCAAGATGTCACAGGGCCAGGATCGTTACAGGTTACCTCCAACAACAGAACATCACCACATTACCTTGGCCAGCACTGAGTCCCGACCTCTCCCCCATCGAGCATGTCTGGGACATGCTTGGACAGAGGTTACGTCAACGTCAACAACGTCCTGCCAATGTCCAAGAACTTGCTGCTGCGTTGCAACAGGAATGGGACAATCTGGACCAAAATGACCATAGACGTCTCGTTAGGAGTATGCCACGTCGGATCAATGCTTGTTTGGCAAACAGAGGAGGATTTACCCGTTACTGACTTGGTTGTGATGCTGTGGTAACTTTGCTGTTTGACCCCGGGTATCATTTTACCCTTATAATGGTCAGTCTGTGCCTTACTTAGTCTAACGATCATTTGGAATAAATCGATGAATGTGAACTTCATTTCATTTTGTCATTTGTTTCTTCGTCAGTTTCATTAGGTGACTTTAATAACACTTAAAAATCAAATATCCCCTACTTTTTTTGAATAGTATATATATAACCAGGATATAATTTAGATAAGAAAGATATGATATCATATCCCTAGCCATAAATAAATATTTCCGTGTAAATTTCCACATCAAGAACTCGTAGTATTATTCTTACAATTTCTCGTACAATAGGGGCCACAAGGCAAGAAGTTAGGCCCGATATACGCGAACATCAAACCGAGATCTTTGATACATAAACATATAATATTAAGTTTTTTTCAAAACCGGATACAAATCGTTAGAGGGACCACAGCCTTCGATCCGATTATCACAAAATTCAAACCCAGGGTGTAACGGTGTATATTTAAACGGTTTTTAAAATCGGGTATAAACTGTAATTTTTGGTACACCCGGGGTCCATAATCTAGGAGGTTACGGACCGATATGTGCGAATATGGAAAGAAACAAAAATCCGTGGAATATAGACATATATTTTAAGTTTGATCAAAATCGGATAAAAAAATTGTGACTTCTACAGTGTCCACAACCTTGGTATTATATACTTTTATACTATTTGCGAACGAGGGGCGGGCAGTTTCAATCCGATTTTCATGAAATTCGAACTCAACCATCATAAGGGTGGAATGGTGATATGTTAGAACAGCTTTTAATATTGGATAAAATGCCAATATCAAAAGGAACCGCGTGTCCACAAATAAATTGTGGGCTGACAGGGGCGACTCAATACACGTCCACTTGAAAATATGGGCGTACAAAAATAGCTCAGCATGATAAAACTTGCTTTTTGGAAGACTAAACAACTGATATCAAAGACTTTATATGAAATGAGATTTTTATTTTAGAAATTAAAATGTTAAGTTATTTGATACTCCCACTGGCAGGTTAATAGTTGTCAACGCTTATGTAATTTATATTAGGGCAATACTACTCAAGACGGACATGTTGTTTAGATCAGCATACCAAGCAATTAAAATCAGTGAACCGGACCAAACCCAAACATCCAAAATTTAGCACTTTTTCCTAGATAGTCCTAGCACTGTTAAGTTGTTATACACTGAATTTTTGAATTCAGCCAATGGCCAAACAGATTTCAAGAGATTACATTGGCTGTTAATTATAGTTTGTTGACAGGTATGCATCCAGGAAAATTATGTTGGAAAAGTATACATAATTCACACAAGTGCATTACTAAATTCTATTGTAAACTATAGTATGAATAAAAGACATCGCCAATTTATGAAATCTGTAGTATAGAACATTGTTTCTACAATAATATGTAGGAAACTATAGTAGGCTATTTGTTAAAATGGTTTAAGTACAGTATACATATAAATTCTTAGTTTTCAACAGAATGTCATAGACAACTATAGAAATATACTACTGACTTGAGACAATAAGTTAGTTTTATAAAAAAAAAATATAGTTTTTACCACCAAATCTATAGGAATCACAGCTGACATGAGAATACAAGTTAGTTCTATAGCAAACTATAGTTTTTAGCACAAAGTCTATAGAAAACTGAAGGATTACTCAACTGACTCGAGGATACAAGTTAGTTCTATAGAAAACTATAGCAGCATCAATGAATCTGTAGGTTTATTTTTTTCCAATAGTTTCTTACAGTATTATATAGAATTCTATAGGAAATTACACTTGGAAAATATTCATCTACCAATCCTACACAAAACTATAGTACATGTTTTTGAATCTATAGTCATGTAAAAAAAAATACAGAATGAATTCGTTTTCCTGCTGCATTCTATAGCATTCTATAGAATCCCACAAACTTCTATAGAAACCTGTACTCTTTCTATAGGACTTTTTCATAAGGGTTACGTGCACGCCATTCAGCGGGGCTTATGTTGCAACTAGTTGGAGTCAGTGGCAGGTGTGCTAATGTCGATCATATCAGCAACTGAATTTTGAGCGCTTTATGTCGACTCGGAACTGATAGTGATTGCACTTAATACGTGACTGTTAATTTATTCATCACGTGATCAACAAAATGGCGAATAACTTAGAAGACGCACCCTATTCTATTAATATATTATTGTCGACACCATCAACATTTGAAAAGTGGGTGGCTTGGTTCGCTTCCATTTGCTTATTTATAAAGTCACATGACACGTTTTTCTTATGACGTGTCGACTGCAACTAGTTGCAGCAAGTTGCAGAAAGTTGAACATGCGTGCAACTGACTGCAACGAGTTGCTTTGAGTTGTAAGAGGCGCTCAGATCGACCATTTTCAGTTGCGGAAACGTCAGTTGCTTTCAGTTACAAGGTCGACATAGGCCCAACTTTACAAATTGCACTTGTGAGTATAGAGTACACATCGGGCGTTTACTGGTTTTAAAATGGGTTACTGTGTCTTAAAGTAGCTATAATATCATCCAAAATCTTCGACGATGAAAACGCGAATTATTTGTCAATTTAAATCAACATTGGTTTTGTGATCTTACTGGGAACAGGTGGGCTTATGATATCCAATATTTAAGACAAAATAAACATTTTACCATTGGTACACAAATCGTGTACCATAATGCGTTTCAGCGTAATTTGTAATAAGGGACTCAAAGAACGAGGCTAGGTATATTTCATCCGTCATGTCAGACGGTGACACCATATTCTTATCTGTTGACGATTCGTAATAAATACTATCGGTGTAGACTGGAATAACCAGACACCAGAGATCGCCTTTCTATTGAGACTTCTGGCGTATTTCGCCGAACATAACCGATTAGAAATTACAGTAGAAACAGAAACGATTGAATGTAAATCAGTTTATATACATTCATATTACATTATTATATGCGTAGCGACCCACTTGTGTCAATTTCTAGGTCCCAAATATTAGCGATGTCAGGGTTTCATATTGGAATTGACCAATAAGTCGTGTGTGTAGTGGATAATATTGAGTTCGAGCTACACGCCTTTTAAAATATAACATTCATAATGCATACCTGACCGTGGTAAGGTTAGTACATTTTGTATGAATTGATACAAAGCTTATGCTATTGAATAAAACGTTGCAATGGTAAATACAGGAATACAAATACTCTTGTAACGTTTCTCAAACCTAATTGTTTTGCCTGCTAATGCTTGTTACTTCGGACTTTAAATCCCGATAATATGTTAGAGAATAAAACTGCTTAATTTTGTATTAAAACCCCTTAAATTCCCGTACCTAAGGGCCGAGCAACTAATTCAATATTTGTGAAATGTTTTTGAACAACTTACACCTGTCAGTCTTCATCTGGAAATGGAGACCGGTGTCCCAAGCTGTATTATGCGGTGTCTGGATAAAACCAGACTTTTATTTTATAAAATCTATGTGTAGGTGAATTTTACCTTTCGTTATCCAGTATTGCACATGGGTCATTCACTGTATAGACTTCTAAAGGAATGGCGATAGATTATCAGGCCACTTAATGAAAAAATTGACCAGAAATCTTAAAAGGGTTACGTGTCCGGATAAGCATTTTTGACGTTCACGTCAAAACAACTCAATATTTTGAGCTGAACTTTTGAGACAAGGTAAATGCACCATTCCTCTATATTTTGGCGCTTAAATTTCATACGAACTCAGAATTTTATTTTTGAGACTCTGTTCAAATCGGGATAGTCCCTTTAAACCATATTGAGTTCTTTGTATGGGTGTGCGTATATATAATAGTATCTTTTTACTTTAGGGGGTCATACTGTCGTTTTAATAACTTAATATAATTTAACGCGTAGAAAAGTATTTTGTATAGAATACAAAGGAAATGCCGACTATTTGATATGGTGTTCTATTTAATTTGAAGGGCGAGTCGTCTTAAAAAGTCGACGTCGCATTTTGTCGCATACGTAGTCCCGGTGGCTCAAGGGCTAGTATCGCCACCCGAGGGGAGAATTTATGAGACCAGTTTTTTGCGTAGATTTCGATTCTGGGCGTGATTAGGTGTTTGGGTGAGCTTTCCCTAAATACTTGGGTTGGGGAAGATCGCAGAATATCATTTTGTAAAGACCAGTTTCGAACACCACGTGGTGTTTATTCCCAAAAACACATTTTGGACCCTCAATACCTCCACCCGCATTCCCCCCAAAGCAAAACAGTTACCCAGTGCTTTAAGCTAATGTTTGTGAGAGAGAGAGAGAGAGAGAGAGAGATTGCTTTAACGTCCACTCGACACAAACTAGGTCATTTCGGGGCTAACCACATGGTTCAATTTTATTTCAATATTTCGCTTGCGTGTAGGGGTCTTTAGCAGTGGGAGGAAACTGGAGGACCCGGAGAAAACCCACGAGGTTGGACAGGCGACTCTATTCCTTGTCACGTACAACCGGGGAATCCAAACCACGCCAGTTGACTCAATGGCAGCACGTCTAACCATTCGGCCAACCTCCCCTCCTAATCGTCGGCCACGCAAAACAATACACTTATCTAAGAGCATTATATAATATACTTATTTAGAAATGTAAAGTGCTACGAATGATCATCAAAATTCTCACATTTGTATCCAATTTTGACATTGGAGCCACTCCACCCTCACGTATCTCGGAAAAGCTCCTTATACACCTAATCACCACCCAGAATCGAAATCTATACACTTATTTAGAAGTGTACATTGCTAGGAATTAATGTCTTACTAATCTATAAGATGGTCACCATTTATATCTACATTTTCACATTTCCCGACATTTTAGGTATCGGACCGCCTTCTATCTGCCCCACGCCCCCTCCTTCCTGACCCCCACGCAAAAACAAAGTAGTTATCCAAGAATAGAAGACTGACATACATCTTGCAGGGTGCTATGAGGGAAACTTTACTGACACACTTTTCCGTAGCAGGCCCTCCATTCTGCACCACTAACAAGGGGAAACCATTCTGGTAATTTCCGAGGAACTTTTTCGGCTATCACGGGAAGGGCGTGTCGAATTACCCAATATCACCCAATAACTGCCCAATTACACCAAAATAACAACCAATAACTACAAAATGTTGACTTTGGAAACACAAAATAACAATTTAGTTGAATTTAAGAAGCCTTGCTGCTTTGTGTCCAAATCGGAGTTTCACGCTCACTCGCCTGAAGGGGGATAACTCGTGTTATTGGATAATTCGACGTGCCGTCACCAGAACCGAACCCTATTTTCTGGGCCACCATGGGGTAGCAAAATGAACAATAATCTATATCTACAGTCTTATCTTTTCAGGTACATCTCGGTATGGCTGACCAGAAAGATGCCGTATATCAACAGTTGCAGTCGAAAGGTTTCAAGGTAGAAGTGGCGGTCAAAGCTAACATTTTTAAACACAAAGACGACTTTGAAAGTTCCCCTTGTGATAAAAATCCCGGGCATGTTGGTTTTATCCCTTTTAATGAATTCGGTTTGGAACACCTGCCCGTGGATGCCCGACTAGATCATATTGTACAAAATATTAGAAAGTTTGGTACAAGAGTTGTGCGACTGGTTGTTAGAGATGAAACAGGGAACAAAGTGAAATTGTATGGTACGGGTCATGTATATAAGTTACAAGGACGTTACATCATAAGGACAAATAGCCACGTGATTAGAAATGAAACTGACCTTAAAAACTGTGTTATTGAATTTAACTACAATTCAAGAGATCGATCAGAAGTAATCGAAAGTAGGGGTAAGCATCTCATTTTAACTAAAAACACAGATGCTGCAAGATTTACGTTCCAGCCTGTTCCCCAATTTATTCAAGATATGGATATCATGGATCGCTATCTGTACCAGCCGGTTCCATGTGTAACAACTAGCAGATATCAGGTACTCTGTCATCTGTCTTCTTTACCCTTTTTGAAAGAAAAGTGTCGGATCGGATTACTTTTAAAAGAGGAGCCGAAGCAATCAGACGATTTATCTACACACGTTCAGTTTGAAGATGGAACCATCAGTAAGTTTGTAAGCTACGTTGTAAAATTCCAACCTGTTCCAGAGAAGATTCAAACTCTTCCAGCGGAGAACACAGAGTTTCGACACCCTGTGATCCAAATAAAAGAAAATGGCAAATGCAGGACAATTAAAGGAGAAGTGGTTTCAATAGAAGGGAATCATTATCTAAAACTTGCAGAACCGCTAACTCAGGAACAGGCAAGAGGCTGTAAGGTACTCTTCTCCGATGGAAGCTGTAGTGAAGGGACTGGTCTATTTTTTGAGAAATGGAATTTTGAAGAATCCCAGCCATTGCGATACCTGAAAGGGAATGATTTGGATCGATATCATTTATTTTACCGAAATTTTAGATTTTGGACAATGTTTGATCCCATTCCTAAAGATCTTCAACGGTATACTGACATGGTCAATGCTCCACCGATCTGTGATCAGCGTTATCTTCTTGTTATTGGTCATCCACATGGTGGTCCTAAGATGATAACTGTTGGGAAAGAATTATCCTCTGGTGTTGAAATTGTTGATGACTGTTACTTAGATTGCATACAATATTCTTGTAAAACATGTCCAGGGTCGAGTGGTTCTCCAGTAGTTCAATTAGCGGAGTGTCATCCTTTCACCATCGCTGTTAATACACATTTTATGGGAAGAATACGGAGTGTATCTGAAATGGTATCTGGACACACTGATCAAGCCTATGGTGATAACATCAATATTGGATGGAATGGTAAAAAATGGACGGACATTATGTTGAAATATCAAACTGATTAACTGCCTTCAATAGAAGGCTTTATCTCGCTTTAACTACGTACATCTTATCAAGGCCTTCACGTAATATCCTGCATATTTCGGCACTAATTTTGATTGGGTACAAGCCCAGCTTGTGAGCCTATCAGATTCCTCGATTGTCTCGAATACCAAGTCTCGCGCTTTCAAGCTAAAATGTCTACTTGTGATAATCGAGTTGCAAAGTTCAAGGATCATTCAATGTCAAGGTTTCCGTGGAGGTCACGATGTCACAAACTCTGATTGGACGCTACTGCTCACGTGTCTGTAGATAACATAGCTATAAGTTTGGGACCACACCAACGATTATTTATCGGCGATTTTCTGTTAGCGGTAAATTTCCCAGACATTTATCGGTTATATAAATGTGCATTACTGACACACGGTTCATAGCGTAGAAGCCGTTATGGTCGTTTAAATTTATTTCTAAATGCACGCTTTCGGATGGGACGAAAAAAAACAAGGTCCTGTGTACATATTGGAGTGCACATAAAAGATCCCCTGGCAGTTTGAATTCAACATAAGAGTAGGCTGTAGAACCGCTGTCCAGGGAAAATTTCCCTCATAAGCACACTATATGCCCTTCTTATATAAGCCCGGTCGGAGCCATATTCCTGAAGCAATGGCCTGAGAAATCCCTCTCTGGCCATTGCTGGATTGGCTTCTGATACCTGAGCTTTTGAGGGAATGTGTCTATTCTTCCCGTTCAATTAAATCTATCCTGAGCACAGCGACATGACAGGCCTTCGTTTAATCTGAAGTTTTCCCTAAAACTTTGGACAGTGATATAAGGTATTAGAAACAGTGAAAGTATTGTTCGTCTCCAAACAGTCTTGTTTACATTGCATCCACTTTGATAGCCTCGTTTGTCACACAATGAGTTTTTCTGCAATATTCTGCTATGCACTGGTTAATTGAGTGTAATAACGTTATGTAAACATATTTGGTCCAATTGGAGCTCTGTTTAAAGCGTAATGATATTGTTACGCAGTTAGCTATCTTTAAGCACTAACAAAAAAATCAGTTTTGAATACAAATAATTGGGGAAGCACTAAACAATGAGCTGAATATTTGAAAAACATTCTTTAATTCTTTCACTTATTTCTTTTTGACTATTTTTAATGTAGTCTTTTATTCTTTCACTTATTTCAATTTTGACTTTATTTTTTAATTTAGTCTTTTATTCTTCACATATTTCTTTTTGACTATTTTTTAATGTAGTCTTCTATTCTTTCACTTATTTCTTTTCGACTATTTTTTAATGTTTGACTATTTTTAATGTAGTCTTCTATTCTTTCATTTATTTCTTTTTAACTATTTTTAATGTAGTCTTTTATTCTTTCACTTATTCCTTTTCTACTTGTTATAAACTAGTCTTTGAAGATTCTAAGCACTTTATTAATTTAGGTCTGGTTACTAGGTTCCTTTTTAATAGTTCCGTCAGGAGATTCTTCTTTCTTGATTTTCACATTTTTAGTTGATTTTTTGGGAGATTTTTTAAAAGCGTTCGGACAAATGAACTGATTCAAACACTCGGCACATCTTGGAGTAACTGGTAAACAGATCATCTGACCAAATCCAACCAACAAATGATTCACTTCCTGCCAATTCTCCCTGTAATAGATAAATAACACAATCTCATTAAAACACAGATCCTATTTCATTTCGTTTTTTATAGTTCAAAATTTCGTTTTACTTGTCTTTACTACATTAGGATCTGGAAGAGTTGTTATATTATCAGCATTTTGGTTGAAGTGAGGGATAAGCCAATGAAACAGTCTGTTACAGCGACATGCCATGCACGGAACTGTGGGTAAACCACTAGAAACGCCAACGCTGATTGATTAATCAATGTCTGATGTCATAGGATCAAAAGCCGCTGGTACGACCCCTGACACAACCTTACAGTACTACTTTGCAGATCTTTGTGTAGTGTAGGCCATCGAAAGTATAAAACGCGAAGCGAAATATAGATCTGTAAAACGTATCATTAAATAGTCTCAATTACACCAGTGGTCCAGCCCATATTGAATCTGCTTTGATTATGCCAAATATTAGTCTGAGCGAAACATGGTCTAATTTCTATGCAGTGTCAGGACAGAACGCACCTGTCACACACTTTCTCAGACACACATCATCACATATAATATAATATATACATTGTGTGGACATAGTCAGTGACAGGTATCTTATGTCCACCCTTGTTACGTTGTGTGATAATTTGTACCGGACAAAGTCTGCGACAGGTGCCTTATTTTCAGACTCACAGAGAAATGAAATGAAATGTGGTTTAACTTCCTACTGTTCTGACTGGGCTAATGTAGATGGGTCCACACTATACATTGTGCTATTAGAGAAATTTTGCCCGGACAGCAGGACTACGACCATAGGAGGTCATGCAGAGATTATTTCATACAATTAGTCTGATTAATTGAGGGTAAAAATGACCTTCACTTTTTATTTTAAATAATGCAGAATTCAAGATTAACTGGTGGATTGAGACATTTCATTTCAGCAATTCATTAACTTTATAAGCAGACTGAGAGGCAGTTAAAATATGCAAAATTGATGCTAAAGACTAGGTCATGTCGGGATTAACATACAGTTCAATTTTTTTTCAATATATCTCTAGCATGTAGGGTTCTTTAGCAGTACAATGTAGTTGAAAACCGGAGGGCCTGGAGAAAAGCAACAAAGAGAGAGAGAGAAATGGGTTTTAACATCCACTTGACACAGACTAGGTCATTTCGGGACTAACATATGGTTTAATTTTATTTCAACAATTCGCTTGCGCGTAGGTGTCTTTAGCAATGGGAGGAAACCGGAGGAGACTGAGAAAACCCACGAGGTTGAACAGGCAACCTTATTCCTTGTCACGTACAACCAGGGAATTGAAACCCCGCCAGTTGACTCAATGACAGACCGTATGATACAGCGCACGCGTGCTAACCATTCGGTCATCCAACCCCCTGTCACGGTCGTGTGCTTTATCCTTTATCATCAGATGGTGGGATGGGATGGGCATTCAAACTAATTCAAAGTGCGAGATAGTGATACTGACATATGTGATATCACAATTAATGCTTTGCATCAATGAAATTGAATCACAATGTCATTGTATTAATCATAATAAAAATTGACGTCAAACGGGGTGTTGGATTTCTCTCTTTAAAAAGTATTCCTCCAAAATTTTCAAGGCCCAAAGATACATTGTCCCAGTTACCAGGCAAACCCCTTCCTGCAAAAATTCCTAGATAGGCCCCTGGTGGCGGTTTGCCCACTCAAATTCCAATTGTAAATGATGCAAATGTGTTTGCAGTGGACTTCTTTACAGATAATTGGAATTTGATATAAAAGTAGTGCTGCTGCCGCCCGGGCAAAATTTCCCTCATAGCACACTGCATGGCATATGTCTTCATTAGCCCAGTTTAGGAGTAGAACAGAAGGACATTAAACCCCATTTCATTTCATTTTTTGATAGTACTAATTTACCTTGGTAACCAATCTTCTAAGGCCTTTCTAGTATCTTCTGGTTGATTGGTCGGTTTTCGAACCCACTGAATACGATTGGATATCCTATGAACGTGCGTATCTACACCAATACCAGTTAAGGTATTCCATGCACAGTTCATCACCAAATGTGCCATTTTTGGTCCAACACCAGGTAATTCACACAGAAGCTTCACAGAATCAGGAATATCACCTTTGTATTTCTCTTTTAAAATCTCAGAAGTCTTTTTGATAAAAACAATCTTTTTCTGAAAATGTAAAAATATATCATGAATAACATAGGTAAGCTGAAATGAAATGAAATGGGGTTTAACATCCTGCTGGGCAAATGAAGACATGCATACATACACCATACAGTGTGCTATGGGGGGAAATTTTGCCCAGATAGCAGCGCTACGGCCTACTCTTATATCGAATTCCAATCGTCAAGAGTTCTTTTACGTGCACGCCAATGTGTACACGGGATCTTGGGTTTCTTTTGTCCCATCCAAACAACTAGACAGCTGTCCTTGTCAGGCCTTCCGTCCTGCATCACTGACAAAGGGGAACCAACTTTCTTGGCCAACACCGGGAGCGACCCCATGACCCCCAGATTGGTGAGGCAGCATTTTACCCACTTAGCCACCGTGGTGTGGGGATCGAAACCATGCCACTTGAATCAAAAATAGGCCTTAAAATGTGCAAAATGCAGGCATTAGACTTTTCAGCCAGCCCTAACAAACAGTTTTTCTCTGACATTCCTACTTATAGTAGTTGTGGATTTTCTTTGGGTTCACTAGTTTATTCACACTGGTAAAGACCCGAAATGAAATGAAATGAGGTTTAACGTCTACTGTTCTGCTCCTATACTAGGCTAATGAAGACAGGCATACGCCATACAGTGTGCTATGAGGGAAATTTTGCCCTGATAGCGGCGCTACAGCCGACTCTTATATCGAATTCCAATTGTCAACGGATCTTTTATGTGCATTCCAATGTATACACGGGACCTCGGTTTTTCGTATCATCTGAAGGACTAGACAGCTGTCCTTGTCAGGCCCTCCATTCTGCACCACTGACAAGGGGAAATCTACTCTTTTATCGAATTCCAATTGTCACGGGATCTTTTACGTGCACGCCAATGTGTACATGGGATGTCGGTTTTTCCTCCCATCCCAACAACTAGACAGCTGTCCTTGTCACTTGTCAGGCCCTCCGTCCTACACCACTGACAATGGGAAACCATGCCAGAAAATCTCAATGAACTTTCTTGGTCAACACCGGGAGCGAACCTGTGACCCCTAGACTGGTTACCCTACTCCTTGTCACATACATGTGTGGGGATCGAAACCATGCCACTTGAATCAAAGATAAACCTTATGGTGTGCAAACTGCATGCCTTAGACTATTCAGTTAGTCAGAACCCCCCTAAACCACAAAAATTCTGTCCCAACCTTGAAAAGTCAAAATGCGAGGGGAAAATTATTTCTGCAAAGCACATTCTATTAAACATACATTATACAAGAGCTAAATCTACCTATTGCAGGTCTTTCTTTAGGCCTGAAATGTTATATGAAATAAAACCAAGTACGAACAATCCAAACCATTAGATAAAATTCGAAGTCCTAAAAAAACGGTATAGGCAAAATAGTGTAATAAGGCAAAATAGTGTAATCAGCATATGGACTGTTCACCGTGTACAAAATACACGACAAATAGTAGACATTTATTAATATGAAAAGACCTTAATCAACTCTCGGTGCAATCTTATGTGTCAGATTTTGACTAGATTTGAATCCGAAACACTGCTCAATGCTCATTAAATCCAAACATGGATAATCAAGATTGTTTTTTATCGTACCAACTTTAGTAATGATGATTGAGGGCACTAGGCCAAAAATGTGACTGAAATTTTCAGCAAATTGACTTTACATTATCTAGTTTTTAACTATTATAGTGAGAACTGCCAGCTCTTTATCTAATCTCCCATAATGTATCTTTAAAGTAATTTGAATGAAATTTTCAATATATTCATTACACATTATGTATTTTGGAATTATTAAAGCAAGAACAGCCAAGGCCACAGTTTAACAAAGCATTCTCAGAATTAAGTCAAGTTTACTCAACTTTCAATCACTGTTTATGAGAAATATCTTTGACCCAGAAACACAAAACTTAGCACATAGTTTCTTATTGATTTATTCGATACATTCAAACCACAAAAGTTTTCTAAAGGGCTATATTTTAGGTAAAATAAGGCGAACAATTTTCAGTCAATTCTTTACTTAAGCTTGACAATGCTTTGTGAAACCGGGGCCTGCTTTTCCATTAAATATGGTATCTTTATTCTGAATTATTGTATTTTTACGCCAAAAGAATAAAATTTACATCTACCTTCCAAAATCCAACTGGGTAAATCAGTTCTCCCAGTTTTTCGTCGGATGTTTTAAGAATATTTTCTACGTTACAGCCATGTTGTCGTAGTCTAGCCATTGCTGCAGACGTCACTTGATCTCGGGTTTGACTTGATAACATTAATGAAAGCAAAACTTGGTAACGGAACTCCTGAAAAATAAAATGATACAGTGAGCCTATTCAGTATCTAATCAATGTATTTGGATAAAAACAAAAGTTAACAAGCGGTTGCCATGCAATATATATCCGCATTTTGCAAGTGATGGACAGAAAACAAGCTATAAAATAGAGATTTTTCGTACAATCAGGGGACATAATCCAGGAAGTTATGGTTTGATATGTGCGAATATCAAAAGCAATCGAAATCTGTGGGATGTTAACATATATTGTAAGTTTCATAAATATCAGATCAAAATTCTGACCTCTAGAGGGTCCACAACCTTGGCATAGAGTAAGCTGTAGCCTCGCTATCCGGGCAAAGTTTCCCTCATACTGCATGGCATATGCCCTTCTACATTAGCTCAGTCAGAGCAGGACAGTAGTACGTTAAACCCCATTTCATTTCCTATCCTATTGGAGATTTAGCTTTCACAATACCGTACTGCAGTTTGCAAAGGATTCAATCAGGGCTAAATGATGCAATGATCGAGACTTTAATATTCATACTTTTAATTTTTACCCCAATCCAAGAGCATTTATACTTATAAAAAATTAAGTGAGAGAGAGTGAGAGAAATGGGGTTTAACATCCACTCCACAAAAACTAGATCATTTTGGGACTAACATATGGTTCAATTTTATTTCAATAATTCGTTTGTGTGTAGAGATCTTTAGCAGTAGGAGGAAACCGGAGGGCCTTGTCATGTATAACAGGTGATTCGAAACCAAGCCAGTTGACTCAATGACAGACCTTATAATACAGCGCGCATACGCTAACCATTCGGCCATCCAACCCCACAAAATAATTAAGTAGCCTACTATCAATAAAAAATAAATAAATAAACCTTTGGTTCTGCCTTATGATCACTAATCACATCACAACCCATCGTATCGACTGGAGCATCACGATTTTTTCTCATTTCACGAATATTATTCAACATTTCTCTCCATTTTACTGGTTGCCATTTCAACTTCTTGCCATCTTCATTTTGATCCATCTCCTCCAATACTGTGTCTAATGCCCTGTCTTCACCCTCAACATATTCCTGTTTCAAAATAATGTCTGCTTCCACTTTCCCTTTCAAGCTTTGTTCTTGAAATACAGAGTCTTGAATATCTGTTGGTTCCAAAGGTTCTGATTTTATTTTCCTAATGTCTGAACTCTCATATTCGATTTCCATATGTTTTCTTTTTGAAGAAATATTGATATCTTTTTTAGAATCGGTGTTGGGTTGCTTCGATGTATTATTTTGTTTTTCGAACATGGCCGATTCACTTTTTGTCAAATTATTGTCTGTTTTACTTTTCAAGAGCTTTGGTGCCTTGAGAGTCACCGCTGGTTTGTAAACATTTCTCAAACATGCCCGTGTAAAATATTTCGATTGTGCCATGATTTTGTCTAGAACAGTCAGTCCCTTTCTAGTCATCAAAATACCTATGTCATATCTATAATAATTTGTGGACCTTTCAGTTTTAAATACTGTAGTTTTTAAAAGTTTTAATTCACAAATAATTGTTCTAAAATATTGTGATTTAATTAATACATCCTGTTTTATGTAATTTAATGTTCTTTATAAGACCACACCTCAAGGTATTAATGTTTCGATTTCTCACTTGTTAACTATCTGGAATACTCTGAAATAAAAACCCTTTAGAAATAGCAGGGGTCCATAGATTTACCCAAAACTACTTCAATTACCCAAAACAACCTGCATTTTATCATATTCTTTTTTTTATTTTGGGATTTTTGTAAGTATAAAGAGTAAAATCAACACAGTGTTCAAAAAAATGTTTTAGGGGATGGATTCGGGTTTGAAAAAGGGGTGGAGTTAATGTAGTTGTCAGCTGCACAAGTCCTGGGAAACGTGTGACCTAGAGTGTTTGATGATCATATCTTCGAGATCATAACCGTTGCCCTATATACCATAGCAAATTTATCTAAACCAACCCTACTTCATGGCTTTAACATTGAAGTCAATGCAGAGAGAAATACTTGTCTAACATAATCACTCAGATTCTATCTTTCATTTATTTACGGGTTTGGTTTTGTGGGGAGGGGGCAGAGTAAAGTTAAGGGAAATGAAATGGGGTTTAACATCCTTCTGCTCTAACTGGGCTAATGAAGACGAGCATACACCATACAGTATACAGTGTGCTATGCGGGAAATTTTGCCCGGGCTGCGGCACTATGACCTACTCTTATATTGAATTCAAACTGCCAAGGGATCTTTTACTTGCTCGCCAATAGATACACGGGACCTCAGCTTTTCATCGGCCGATCCGGACGATTAGACAACTGTCCTTGCCAGGCCCTCTGTCCTGCACCACTGACAGCGTCTTAACTTTTAAAAACTTAGCCACCGTGGCTACAAGGTTTAGGGAATTTAAATCATAAATTAAAAGAAAGAAGAGTAACGGACATAATAATGACACGTGTTTGTTTTGGCTACGGTAATGAAAGATGTTGAGCGTTTTGGGTAAACCCCAGGACAGGATGGTGGATATATCTTTCCCAACTAATTAATCAAAGCATCTCGCGCGGTCTAAATTTGACAGACTTTCATTAACTGAAATCTGGTGATGTAACGAACTGATTATAAGAATCAACCCCCATAATCCCTCGTCTACAACTGTCTATCTATTTATAGCCATAGGTAGGCTACAACAAAACTTTGACAGAACCGAGTGAATTAAAATGCCTTTTCATTCCCAATGTTACATAATATATTAGTAATGTACTAAATCTATTCCAAAATTCTGGTGTTGTTTTAGTCTCTGTGGAGAAACTTTGTAGTCATTCACCTTTGTCTTAGGATATAACATTATAACGTAGAAATTCTGCAAACTTAACACCCGCCATATTTCATTTTCGGTTAACTAGACATAATAATGGGTTATAATATTTCAATGTCAAAAAGACTGGGAAACTACGACTACACAACTGTGAGAATCCAGTCACGTGAGAGCTAAATTTGTTACGTTCAGCACGTGAGAGGAGTTTCCAGTCACGCGACATCAATCTAAGTCAGCGAAGAAAGGAATGTTGCGACGAAAAATCTACGGAGACTGTTATTCTTAATCCAGACGCGGATACGTGGGGAAGGGGGGAAAGGAGGCGCATCCCAACCTAATTTTTTTTTTTTTTTTTTTTTTGGGGGGGGGGGGGGGGGGGGGGTTATATGTTGACACCACAAAAGCAATTGGCGCAGTTTACAAATATTACCACTATTGAATTGTCCTACTATTTTATTTGACAATGACAGTTCGTGGTACAGGATGGAATGGAGGGCCTGGCAAGGGGCAACGTATAGTCTTTCGGATAGTATAAAAAAAAAACAGAGGTCCCTTGTACACATTGGCGTACATGTTAAAGAATAATCATAAACTTTAAGTGGCATATAGCGATCGGTAAACACATTAACATAAAAACTGTGTATCATCATAAGCTCGAGTAGGTAACTTTTCCCTCTCAGCACACTATGTATGGCGTACAATCCGCCTTTATTAGCCCAGTAGGTACAGAACGGTAGCCTACGTAGGACCTTGTAGCCTACCCCATGTCATACATTATCCCTATTCCTAATTTGTTTCACCCGCCTTCTATAGAAACATATCGTTTTGCCAATTTATTTTGGACTGTCGGAACAGTGGAATTTTATTGGTCTAGAGGGATTTAAATTTAACTTTGATTCAAAATCTCATTTGGAAGATTAAAATGTAATTATCAATCTCAAGAAACTCCCGCTCGTGTGGTCTTTTAGAAGCATAAAATGCCTTAAAAGAAGTTTAATTGTCTGGTATACACTAGCTTTGCTTGACCTGTTAGGACCCCCCCCACCCCCCCCCCCCACCCCCCGCAGGAACCCACATTGCCCCAGTTCTTAAGATTTTTTAAAAATGCCTTAACACCTTACAGGAGCGGATCCAGAGAGGGGGGGTGTAAATCAACACTTTTTATGAGAAAAGTTTCTCGGCCGTGTGCTTTATCCTTTATTGTCAGATGTGGGACAGGATGGGCACTCAAAGCGCGAGATAATGATATTATAGACATTATGTGATATCACAGTTAATGCTTTGCTTCCATGAAATTGAATCACAATGTCATTGTATTAATTCATAATAAAATTGACGTCAAACAAGGTGATGAATTTCTCTGTTTAAAAAGCTCAATGTGTATGTATATATATACGCCAAATTGACGATAGAGACTATGCGGGAGGGGGGGGGGGAGATACATTGTCTCAGGAACCTGGTAAACTCCCTCCTGCAAAAATTCCTGGATCCACCCTTGCCTTATTATGTAACACGTAAGAAGTATACACCACTGGCACGACCTTGATTGCATTCGCGAACATATGATATGAAAATAAGAGTCCCCCCATCTGGGGGTTCCACGGTGGCGAAGTGGGTAGGATCCTGGCTCACTAGCCTGGAGGTCTCGTGTTCGATCCCTGCATTAGCCGAGGAAGTTCATCGGGATTTCCCGAGGTGGTTTCCCCTTGACTGTGGTGCAGGACGGAGGGCCTGACAAGGACAGCTGTCAAGTTGTTCGGATAGGACGAAAAACCAAGGTCCCGTTAGCCCAGTATAGGAGCAGAACAGTAGGATGTTAAACCCCATATCCCATATCATTTTCTCCCCATCTGTTTTAACGTATATAACGAATTGTAGTTTTAGTCGACATGGTCGTGATGCTTTTCTCGGGAATCACAAGAAAAGGTTCCGAAAGGTTTTCGACCCCCCTATACTCCGTAAGATATACCTTTTGCACCCATCTTTTTAGACCGTGTAATCTGTGGAGTAATCAAGATAAATGTACAAGCTAGCTGATAAGTTCAATAAGACCCATGACAGTATCACGAGGTAACTTATAATATAGGGAGACACATCGAAACATTGAATCCATTTAAATCGAAACAGGAAAGTAGAAAGACCTTTTAATTTTAAAATAATTTCTTAAAGTGTTGAATTGAAAATGAACTCTTTCGTTAAATCAGCAGCCCTATTGTTGCTTGCTACAGTGGGAGTATTAGAAGCTGCCGTGGCTCAAGATGAAATTAATTATATGCCAGGTTTAGCTAAACAACCTAATTTTAAACAATATTCGGGTTATTTGAAGGCATCAGGAACAAAGAAATTACACTATTGGTTTGTGGAATCTGTTGGAAATCCTGCCAAAGACCCTCTTGTTTTATGGATGAATGGTGGTCCAGGTTGTAGTTCTGTTCTCGGATTATTGACCGAGCATGGACCATTTAGAATAAACCCTGATGGAAAGACCGTGGTTTATAACCCATACAGTTGGAATCTCTTAGCTAATATGCTGTATCTTGAAGCACCTGCTGGTGTAGGTTTCTCCTATTCGGATGATAAAAATTACACAACAAATGATGATGAAGTTGCTCAAAATAATTTCCTCGCTTTGAAAGACTTCTTTTCCAAATATCCAGAATATTCCAAAAATGAGTTTTACGTAACTGGTGAAAGTTATGGCGGTGTGTACGTACCAACACTCAGTGCTTTGGTGGTTGATGATAAAGAGATAAATTTCCAGGGAATGGCAATCGGAAATGGTTTGTCAAGTTATGATCTCAATGACAATTCGTTAATTTATTTTGCATATTATCACGGGTTATATGATGAAGTTATTTGGGACTCCCTTGTGCAGAATTGCTGTAATGGAAATGCAACCGGTCGTTGTATGTTCACAAAAGCCGTGAGTAACCAGAAATGTAAGGAAGCCGTCACCACAGCCAGTCAGATTGTCTATTCCAGTGGACTTAATGTTTACAATCTGTACGGAGAATGTGCTGGAGGAGTCCAAAAAACAAGTGTACGCTTCGACGCTCAACGAAACAAGGTCGTTTCCAATAATTTTGGCTGGTTGTTGTCCAACACCGATTACATCAAGAAGGAATTCGAACTTTTAAAAACTCTTGCACCTGGAAGTTTGTCTTTAGATCCACCTTGCATTAATGCCACCAATGTTGCTAAATATTTAAATTCTCCAGAAGGTCGACAAGCTCTTCATATACCAGAACAAGTTCAACCTTGGACAACCTGTAGTGGCGAGGTTAGCGCCAATTATGTTTCAACTTACATGGAAATGTCAGCTCAGTACAAGAAAATTCTGGCTGCCAAGAAACGAGTTTTAGTCTACAATGGTGACGTTGATATGGCTTGTAATTTTCTCGGTGATGAATGGTTCATTGAAGATCTTGATCTCGATGTCGTTGCTGAAAGAATGGAATGGTTCTATATGGCCGCCGACGGAACAAAACAAGTCGCAGGATTTGTCAAACAATTTGAAGATTTGGATTTAGTGACTGTTCGAGGTTCAGGTCACATGGTACCCACAGATAGACCAATAGCAGCTCTTAGAATGTTTTCAAATTATCTAACAATTAGACAATAATTATTAACTTAAAGATAAACAGTAAATATAATATTAATATTAATACTAATTAATTAATGTAGATCATCAATGACTGAACGATCCCTAATGTTGTGTGTTTTTTTAAGGAGCCACGGTGGCTCAGTGAGTTAGGTGCTGACTGCTGGTTCTCTTGTCACTAGGAGATCCTGGTTTCGATCCCAATTTTGCCACGAAAGTTCTTTGGAATTGTCCAGTGTGGTACCGTCAGTGGAGCAGGACGCGGGACCCGGTAAGAAACAACATCTAGTCATTCGGGTAGGACGATAAACAGGTGCCATATACACCTTGGCATTCAAGAACCACTGACAGTTGAAATTCGACGAAGATTCACAGCACAGAACCTGTCCGGACAAAGCACACCGCATGGTGTATACCCGTCTTCATTAGCCCAGTCGGTGCAGAGAAGTAAAGTAGGACTTTTAGAACCATTTCATTCTATCCTTTATAGCACACTGAATGGAGTAAGCTTGTCTCAACTGGCCCGGTTGGTTGTGAATTTTCAGCATGTGCGCGAGAGTGCTATTGACCGTGTTCGATAGAAACAAATCCTTTGTTATTTTTAATACGGTAAAGTGCTATATTTTCTAGCATTTCTACTTTAATTTTATTGTTTTGCAAGGTGCTAGAAAATAATGCCGAATAAAGACCGAATTTGTCGACCGCTGAAAACCAAGTCCGATTTGAAAAGTAGTGTCATTCGGTTAACTGCCAAGACACATTTTCTCAAGTGTGTGTATTTCTAAATCAAAACATTTTTAAAAATGTCAATAAATTATTTATGTCATTTCTGGTTTTAATTTCAATTTCTTCTGTATGTCATTAGGCTAGCCTGCATCCAGTACCGGATCTAGGGGGTGGGGGGCAAAGTGGGACAAATGTCCCGCTCCCCCCCCCCCACATTTAGGGGCCACCCACAATTCTGGGTCATACTAATATTTTATCCCGGACGGAGCTAAACAGTACCTGGGCTGAGAGGGCGAGGATTGGGGCCCTGGGCAGTAAGGGATATTGGGGGCCCCGTGACTGGTAGGTACCAACAGATTTATTTTCGGGGGCCCAGGAAATCGCTGCCTAAATTGTCTCCGATGCACTGAAATTAATCCTAATTTTAAAAAAAAATTGTTCAATTTTATTTCAATAATTTGCTTGCGCATAAGGTTCTTTAGTAGTGGGAGTAAAACCAGAGGACATGGAGAAAAAACCCCGCCCCACCAACCCATGGTTCCTAAATTAACATATATTTTTCAAAATAACTATAAATTATATATGTCATTTCTGGTTTCAACACATTTGATTAAACACTGTTTTTAGCAAAACTTGGCCTAGTCGTTTAGGTGGTACGATAAATAGGGTCCATGCTAGTAATAGCAAATAATATAACAAATCATCAAATAAAATTGAGAGAAAAACAGAGAGAGGGAGAGGGAGAGAGAGAGAGAGTTTAACATCCACTCGACACAAACTAGGTCATTTCAGGACTAACATAATATGGTTTAATTTTATTTCAATAATTTGCTTGCGCGTAGGGGTCTGTAGCCGTGGGAGGAAACCGGAGGACCCGGAGAAAACCCACGAGGTTGTCACGTACAACCGGGGATTCAAAACCACGGCAGTTGACTCAATGACAGGTCTTATGGTACAGCACGCACATGCTAACCATTGCCCCCCCCCCCCCCCCCCGAAATTGATAATTCAGTGACAGAAATTCAATTATTTGTCATTATTACCGTGTATCTTTCCATCTAAATTTGTATATATTTTTTTTTTTTTTTTTTTTTTGTAAGCCTTTTACTCGTTGAAATTGCAATAAAATGATTTTTTACTTTTACTAATTTGATGTGTAGATATCAATTTCAAGTATCTTATTGCTCCAGTTATCTTTAATTGTTACAGATAACATCAAAGTGTCAGGTTAAGCGTATTCCTGATTTTATTTGTGATACATTGGGGGTGGGGAGCTGAACATGGTAAATGATAGAACCGCCCGTATGCCTATGTATAAGGCCTACTACAAAACATAATCAAAAGTTATGCTGTATGAAAACATGATAGTCGCTTGGAATATACATGAAAAAGAAATTTTTATAGAAAGATTATGAAATAGCAATATATGATTTGCCTGTTTGTGAATATATTTTCCACACAATATTTATGTAAACATAAGCCTTAAATTTCTGAGTAAAGGGAAGGCCAGAATTAACATTGAAGTCAATGGGGAAATTAATGGTGGTCTGCCTCCAAATGGGGTTTAACGTCCTACTGTTCTGATCCAACTGGGCTAATGAAGACGGGCATATGCCATACAGTGTGATATAAGGGAAATTTTGCCCGGACAGCAGCACTATGACCTACTCTTATATCAAATCCCAACTGATAAATATTGTTTTACACAAGAGCTCGTTTTTTTTTGTGCCACCCGAATGACTAGACACCATCTTGCCAGGCCCTGACACTGACAAAGAGGAACCACCTAGGAAAATCCATGTCCTCCTGGTTAAGGAGCTAGTGTCTTGCACAATGAGCCACAGCTGGAAATCATTAGGTATAAGACTAGTAATTTTTTTATTTCCATTTCGTCTATTTCTGCCTGACAAAGATAGCTGTCTAGTTGTTCGGATGGGACGAAAAACCGAGGTTCCGTGTACACATTGGCATGCACGTAAAAGATCCATTGGCAGTTGGAATTCGATATAAGAGTAGGCCATAGCGCCGCTGCCTGGGCAAAATTTTCCTCATGGCACACTGTATGGCGTATGCCCGTCTTCATTAGCCCAGTTTAGGAGCAGAACAGTAGGATGTAAAACCCCATTTCATTACATTTCATTTCATTTCGTCTATTTCTTTTCTTTGAATTTCAATAGTTCTTCCTTACCGGACATGAAACATCCCAATCCAGAGAGAGAGAGAGAGAGAAATGGGGTTTAATATCCACTCGACACAAACCAGATCATTTTGGGACTAACATATGGTTCAATTTTATTTCAATATTTCGCTTGCCTGTAGGGGTCTTTAGCAGTTGGAGGAAACTGGAGGTCCCCGGAGAAAACCCCCGAGGTTGGACAAGCGACCATACTCCTTGTCATGTAAAACCGGGGAATCGAAACCACACCAGTCGACTCAATGACAGACTTTATGATACAATGTGCACGCGCTAACCATTCGGCCATCCACCCCCCCCGTCCCCAAATGCACCTCCACTCCACCCCCTTGCTTGTCACCACTTAAAAGGCTCAATACCACTCTTGTTGTAACTGAATAATATGTCCCAATCTTTATTCTAGTCAACAAATTGTACTATTTTACAATATTCCAATTAATTGATGATACAAATTTCATCTTAACACACCTAATTTAAAAAATTGGAAAAATTCAACTAAATGATTTGAAAAGCCTAACGTAAACCTTTTCAAATGTGACTTGGATGTAAAAATATTTTCGAACCCTCTGGACAAGTAAAATAGGATGTAATGGATAATTTACACAACAGTTAGGACACATAAACATCTAATACTTAGAATAAGGCTATTATTTATTTTCTGGAGGTGTCAAGCCAGCAAGAGTGTTATTGTCCCTTTAACCAAGATAGGATTAAAAAGTTAAAAGTCAGAGTAAAAGTTGGCAAAAAGTAAATGTTTTTAATTAGAAATAAAAAGTTCTTTCTGCAGGTTATTTTTTGTGATGTTTGTATGTACACAAAAGAAACAGAAGAGCTGAGAGTTGTCCCCCTTTAGTCTTCAAGATTTGAGATGTGAAGAGAAAAAATATATGCACATGTATATTAAAGAAATGTTGTTTTAGGGGTGTCTTTTTTATTTTTTTTAAGAGTACTGTCCCTTTAAAGACAGGAAATGTGGATTAACATCCTACTTATCTGCACCGACTGGGCTAATAAATACGGGCATTCGCCATGTTGTGTGCTATGAGGGAAATTTTGCCCGGGCAGCAGCGCTATGGCCTACTCTTATATCGAATTCAAACTGCCAAGGGATCTTTTACGTGCACGCCAATGTGTACATGGGACCTTGGTTTTTCGTACCATCCGAACGACTAGACAGCTGTCCTTGTCATGCCCTCCGTCCTGCATCACTGACAAGGGGAAACCACCATCGAATTGGGGGAATAGTAAAATCGGGCATTCGCCATGTAGAGTGCTATGAGTGAAATTGTGCCCAGACAGCAGCCTACTCTTATTTCAAATTCAAACTGCCAAGACATCTTTTACGTGCACATCAATGTGTGAACGAAACTTTGTTTTTTCGTTACATCCTATCGACTATATACGTTCTCCATTGCCACTGATGAGGTTTAACCACTGGACACAAACTAGGTCATTTTTCAGGACTAACATATGGTTCAATTTTATTTCAAAAATTCCTTTGCACGTAATGGTCTTTAGTAGTGGGAGGAAAGCGGAGGTCCCGGAGAAAAACGACGAGGTTAGACATTCGACCCTACTCCTTGTCACGTACAACCGGAGAATCGAAACCACAGAAGGTAACTCAATGACAGACCTTAAGATTCAATGCGCATGCACTAACCATTCGGCCATCCACACCCCCATCCACTTGAAGATGACTGAATAATGTTTAATAAGATAGGATGATGTCCCCCTATTCTCTGGAAATTTACACTTAATTATCAAAAAAATCATTTTATTTCAATTTCAACAAGTAGCATCTACACAAAAAAAAAAAACTACGTAAGAAAGTCAAATGGAATGACATGATGATGATATACAAAATACATAAATATTATATGTCCAAAAATTCAAATATATAAACTACTGTATGCAAAACAAAATAAAATTTATTAAGTACCAAATCTCTGGGAAATGAAAAGTTGTGTCTTTAAAGAAGTTAAATCGCTAATATTTGGGACCTAGAAATTGACACAAATGGGTCGCAGCGCATATAATAATGTAATATGAATATATATAAACTGATTTACATTCAACGAAATATGCCAGAAGTCTCAATCGAAGGGCAATGTAATATGAATGTATGATTTACATTCAATCATTTCCGTTCAATTCAATTTCAAATTGCATTTGGGCCGTTTCCATGTAAGCATGGAAAAAAGGTTTTATGCCGACTAGCTTAGTATTACAGGATAAATGTTAATTTTTTTGGCAAGCTGAAACCAGAATATGGCCAAACAAATGAATGTGGCATAATGAACAGACTAAAGACTATAACATGACACTGGAGAGAGAGAGAGAAAGAGAGAGAGAGAGAGAGAAATGGGGTTTAAGTCCACTCCACACAAACTAGGTCATTTCGGGACTAACATATGGTTTAATTTTATTTCAATAATTCGCTTGCGCATAGGGGTCTTTAGCAGTGGGAGAAAACCGGAGGACCCAGAGAAAACCCATGAGGTTGGACAGGCGACCCTACTCCTTGTCACGTACAACCGGGGAATCGAAACCCCGCCAGTTGACTCAATGACAGACTTAATGATACAGCGCGCGCGTGCTAACCACTCAGCCATCCAACCCCCAAAAAAATGACACTGGAATGACTAATTTAAAAAAAAAAAATTTCTAATAATAATATATAATTTTATGAATTTACATTAGATACAATAAACTTTTAAATGCTGTGTGTCAATCGTAAAATGCAATTCTTTGTGGAGAATCACTTTACATGACTATTTTTACTAATATATTACAGTATATAGACTGTAAATTGTTAATTTTGATTAATTTTAAATGGGGTGTACACTACAAACTGGAACTTGTGTTAGTTCTATTCTAAAAATCTTACTGTGCATTACGAAGAAAAATACAAATTTCTGATATACAGTAAACTTCACGTAAGTTGGAATCGTATAAGTCGGATCTTCGCTCAACTCGGATAAAATCGTTTGGACCCTTTGACCCTGCACGTTTTTCTTATTAAATTTCTGGGCGTAAGTCGGATTTCCAAAGTCGGATCATTGTTCAACTCGGATCAAAATGTTTGGTCCGTTTGATTTAATTCCGTCTTTTTTCCTTCGCCTAAGTCGGATCAGCACAATACGAATAAAAGCTTGAAATGTGCCTTTGAATCAATTATTATCCACCCGGCTCTTGCAGTTTATTTGTCATCAAGCTAAGATTGAATTTCGGATTCGGCTAACTCGGATCGTCTCTTAACTCGAATGAAATTGGTCAGTCCACTTGGATCCAACTTATGCGAAGTTTACTGTATGCATTATCTATTTTTGAACTATTATAGCAAAACAACCAGCTCTTTATCTTACTTGCACTAATTATTTTCTAATTGTTAGATAATTTGAAAACATTCTAAGAGCCACGATTGGTTTATCTGTGGGTACCATGTGTCCTGCACCTCGAACAGTCACTAAATCCAAATCTTCAAATTGTTTGACAAATCCTGCGACTTGTTTTGTTCCGTCGGCAGCCATATAGAACCATTCCATTCTTTCAGCGACGACATCGAGATCAAGATCTTCAATGAACCATTCATCACCGAGAAAATTACAAGCCATATCAACGTCACCATTGTAGACTAAAACTCGTTTCTTGGCAGCCAGAATTTTCTTGTATTGAGCAGACATTTCCATGTAAGTTCGAACATAGCCGGCACCAACCTCACCACTGCAGCTTGACCAAGGTTGAACTTGCTCTGGTATATGAAGAGCTTGTCGACCTTCCGGAGAATTTAAATAATTAGCAACGTTGGTGGCATTAATGCAAGGTGGATCTAAAGACAAACCTCCTGGTGCAAGAGTTTTCAAAAGTTCAAATTCCTTTTTGATGTAATCGGTGTTGGACAACAACCAGCCAAAATTATTGGAAACGACCTTGTTCCGTTGAGTGTCGAAGCGGACACTTGTTTTTTGGACTCCTCCAGCACATTCTCCGTACAAATTATAAATATTGAGTCCACTGGAATAGACAATCTGACTGGCTGTGGTGACGGCTTCCTTACATTTCTGGTTACTCACGGCTTTTGTGAACATACAATGGCCGCTTGTATTCCCATTACAGCAATTCTGGACAAGAGAGTCCCAAATCTCTTCACCAACTAAACCATGATAATATGCAAAATAAATTAACGAATTGTCATTGAGATCATAACTTGACAAACCATTTCCGATTGCCATTCCCTGGAAATTTATCTCTTTATCATCAACAACCAAAGCACTTAGTGTTGGTACGTACACACCGCCATAACTTTCACCAGTTACGTAAAACTCATTTTTGGAATATTCTGGATATTTGGAAAAGAAGTCTTTCAAAGCGAGGAAATTATTTTGAGCAACTTCATCATCATTTGTTGTGTAATTTTTATCATCCGAATAGGAGAAACCTACACCAGCAGGTGCTTCAAGATACAACATATTAGCTAAGAGATTCCAACTGTATGGGTTATAAACCACGGTCTTTCCATCAGGGTTTATTCTAAATGGTCCATGCTCGGTCAATAATCCCAGAACAGAACTACAACCTGGACCACCATTCATCCATAAAACAAGAGGGTCTTTGGCAGGATTTCCAGCAGATTCCACAAACCAATAGTGTAATTTCTTTGTTCCTGATGCCTTCAAATAACCCGAATATTGTTTAAAATTAGGTTGTTTAGCTAAACCTGGCATATTATTTATTTCATCTTGAGCCACGGCAGCTTCTAATACTCCCACTGTAGCAAGCAACAATAGGGCTGCTGATTTAACGAAAGTGTTCATTTTCAATTCAACTATTTCAACACTTTCAGAAATTGTTCGTTACGTAATTAAAACGTCTTTCTACTTCCCTGTTTATAAAAAAAATGTATTCAAGGTTTTAATTTTTCACCCTATATAATAATTCTTCCGAGTCACGTGATACTGTCATAAGTTTTGTTGAACTTATCTTATCAGCTGACTTGTATGATCTTTAGGATAACAGCAATTTCTGAAATTCGATCATCGGTCTACAACAATCATTCTCCTTTTTTCACGTGACTTGGATGTCATGTGACAGGAAATTTTTATCACGTGCTGAACAAGATAAATTTGGCTCTCACGTGACTGTGTTCCCTCACGGTTGTTTTGTTGAGAGAGAGAGAGAGAGAGAGAGAGAGAAATGGGGTTTAACGTCCACTTGACACAAACTAGGTCATTTGGGACTAACATATGGTTCAATTTTATCCCCATAATTCGCTTGCGCGTACGGGTCTTTAGCCGCGGGAGGTAACCGGAGGACCCGGAGAAAACCCACGAGGTTGGACAGGCGACCCTAATCCTCCTTGTACGTACAACCGGGGAATCAAAACCCCGCCAATTGACTCAATGACAGACTTTATGATACAGCGCGCACGTGCTAACCATTCAGCCATCCAACCCCCCGGAGAGAGAGACACAAACCAGGTCATTTCGGGATTAACATGTTTCCATTTTATTTCAATAATAGGCTTGCGCGTAGGGCTCTTTAGCAGTGGGAGGAAACAGGAGGGTCAGGGGAGCCTCGGTGGCTAGCCTGGAGGTCACGGGTTAGCTCCCACGGTGATGGGCGAGAAAGTTCATAGGCCTTTCATGGCGTACGTGGTTTCCCCGTGTTTGTGGTGCAGGGCGGAGGGCCTGACAAGGACAGATGTCTAGTCATTCGGATGGGACGTAAAACCGAGGTCACATGTACACATTGGCGTGCACTTAAAAGATCTCCTGGCAGTTGTAATTCTATATAAGAGTAGGCCGTATCCCCACTATACGGGCAAAATTTTCCTCACTCATAGCACACTGTATGGCGTATGCCCGTCTTCATTAGCCCAGTTGGACTAGGACGTTAAACCCTATTTCATTTCAATTCATTTCATTTTAGTGGACCCGGAGAAAACCCACGAGGTTGGACAGGCGACCCTACTCCTTGTCACGCACAACCAGGGAATCGAAAATACGGCCATCCAACAGCCTTGTTTTGTTGAAGTCTTCTTTCAATATTCAATCTGATTATAACACAGGTCCTATTTCGTTTCGTTTTTTATAGTTCAAAATTTCGTTTTACTTGTCTTTACTACACTAGGATCTGGAAGAGTTGTTATATTACCAGCGTTTTGGTTGAAGTGAGGGATAAGCCAATGAAACGGTCTGTTACGGCGACTTCTCGGCGTGCCATGCACGGAACTGTAGGTAAACCACTAGAAACGTCAACGCTGTTTGATTAATCAATGTCTGACGTCGTCGGGTCCAAAAGCCGCTCGTACGACCTCTGAGACGACCTTCGAGTACAACTTGTCAGATCTTCATGTACTGTAGGCCATCGAAAGTATAAAAAAAAAACGAAACGAAATATAGATCTGTATTTTGATCAGATTGTTGAATATTATGAATACGATCAGAATATGGATCAGTTATCTTGTCCATTGTCGAAGACATAGACTGCTAATAGGCCTAACTCTGCATGGTTCGTGATTTGCCTCTCAATGTTCACGAAAAGGTAGAAAGTTGTATTAAAATAATGGAAATCACTTTAATAAGACAGAGAATATTCGCCACTCAGGTAATTCGCCGCCCGTTTTCGTTATTTGCCAACTTTCTTTAAGATCGACATTCTCTATCCTTTCACGATGTGTGGTCGAAGTCAAGGAATTTTGAAAAGGGGGGGGGGCGGCGCAAATTGAGGGCGCTGACCGCGGGGACGGGGTACGCCGCTGAGAATGTTTTGGTTTTGGTTTTTTTAGGGGGGGGGGGGGGGTCCCCAAGAAAATTATCCGTCATTTCCTTGCATCTGTGGCCATTCCAAGAGCTATTTGGCTGATATTTTCGTCTAAGTAAACGTTCGGAAATCGTTGAAAAAGAGCCTTAAAATCGAGCAAAAAAGCCAGTTGAACATGCGACTCGAAAATTGGCAAGGCGAGCGAGGCATTATGATGGGAAAAAACGAATCTATTCCCTAGCCACTTCACTATTTAAGCCTTGTAACTTGTACTGACTGTGTACTGTCCACACTTGAAACAATGCTACATCAAGTTGCAGTCATGTGCGTCGGTGATGGGCATGAGTGTAGGGCCTATACGCCGCCGATTCCACAAGATGCTATCATTGATGTCTGTCTATAGTCACTCTATAGGATTAGGGCACCGTCAGCTAAACAACAAGAATTCGTTTGAAAGTGGAAGCATTAATTAGACCAGACTGGTGTGTTTGAGTCGATGGTTTGAGTCATTTGGGATCCCTGCAACGGGTTGCGAACGGACATATTTGGGTCTGAGAAAAGGCACTTTCAGCAGTAAAAAGGGCACTGTCGAAAATTAGGGGGACAATAGGGTTGAACAGGAACGGTCAGAGGAAAGCGTCCGATTAGAGACCGTTCCCAATTTCAATTTCTCGTTATAGGTCACGAGATGTAAACAGGTCTAATGCTAATCCCAACCCTAACCCTGTATCTAGCCCTAATGCCTACCCTAACCCTAACCTACAATTTCGCCAACAATCACATGCCCTAACCAACGAGCTTGACAAAAATTGAGCAGCCCTTAACAAATAGATCCTGTTTTTTGTTGTTCGCACCGGATTCCGAATGTTGCGTAATTTTTAACTCATCATACAGGACGAAATTGGAGATTCATATTTCACAATACCGGTATTGTAGTTTACACGGATTCAAAGAATTAAAGAAATCATAGTAGCTAATGTTCCTTAACTTTTATAAATTTTTAAACCTATATTTTAGCTCAGGGACGTCACGTGTTAACAAAATCAAGTTGTTTCAAGGGCGTTTTCAACACTGCTGCAACTTAAAGGGATGATACCCGGGCGAGTTATTAAAGGAGGTAAATCGCTAATATTTGGGACCTAGAAATTGACACAAATGGGTCGCAAGCATACAATAATGTAATATGAATGTATATATATTGATGTACATTCAATCGTTTTTGTTTTTACTGTAATTTCTAATCAGTTAGGTTCGGCGAAATGCGCCAGTATTCTCAATCGAATTTCAATCTCTAGCGTCTGGTTATTCCAGTCTACGCCGATAGTATTTATTGGGCATGCTCTCCAGATAAGAATATGACGTCACCGTTTGACATGACTTGTGGAATATGCCTAGCCTCGTTTTTCGAGTCCCTTATTACAAATATCGCTGAAACCAATTATGGTACACGATTCGTGTACCAATTGTAAAATGTTTATTTTGTCTTAAATATTGGATATCAGAAGGCCATCTTATCCCGGTAAGATCACAACATCAATGTTGATTTAAACTAAAAATATATCGTGTTTTCAATGTCGAAGATTTTGGATGATATTGAGTTAGAGACTTAGCTACTTTAATCTCTCAATATTAACTGGAAATTAAATTCTAAAATGATGTTAGGAGTACATCTGGATACAAAATATTTCTTTTTTTAGTGTAAATGGGTATCTAAAAAAAGTAAGCGAAGGCATAAAATGAGTAAAAATCACCAATTCTGCCCAGATCAATTTGTTTTACCACGTCCGATGTAAACAACGCACGTGTGGTGTGACGTCACACGTAGAAATGCACACGACCTTTTATACAACAAATTTTGATTTCAAATTTGAACCATATTGTTTGTCATCCGACGGAAGAACTTTATTGATTTTCAAATTCGGGGTAAAGCATTTGGTTCAGAGAGGGTGAACCCTGTTGAGTATTCTAAAGAAATTTGACATTTCTCGAGAGGCTAGTGTACTCGACAGAGATCAGGCCCCGATTTCCCAAAGCATTATCTGACTTAAGTTAAGAATTTACTCAACTTTCAATCACTGTTTATGAGATATATCTTTGTTCCTGAAACACGAAACTTTGCACATAGTTTCTTATTGATGTAATTGATACATTATAACAACAAAAGTTTTATAATGGTCTATATTTTAGTTAAAATAAGGTGAACAAGTTTGAGTAAATTCTCAACTTAAGTCTGAGAATGCTTTGTGACCTCGGGGCCAGATCTTTTTAGCGGCATCCTAATCAAATTTGGTTAAAATCCAAGTTTCCCTTTGGATAAACTGATGCCTATGACTATCCTGTTTTTGTAGCTGTTGCGTGTGTGCGTATTTTGTATGACCTTTTGGTCTAGAATCGAAGACAGGGGTCGGAATTAACTTAATTATTATGTCAGGATTTGGTTAACACACCCACATATTTTAAGTTTGTGAACATCAATAATGTTCACCCTGGTACACGGAACAAGACATTGTCAGACGTTTCTGTCTCTGTTGTGTAGAGCGTTCAGTCCAACTGAATTTAGGGGGAAAGCCTGGCGAGGTCGATATCATTAAAGTCACTAGAAAACTATTTGGTGGTCGGCTTCCATAAGTGTCAAGGGCAATATTCGGAAATAATAATTCCCGGACTGTGAGATTAAATACGGCAACAGACACGGATGTTAACTGCTGTTATCAATCCGTAGCAGATGTGGTACTGACGACAATATTTCTATACAACAATTTGATGAGTTAAAGATTCACTCTCATTCTTGTAAGAACATACATTTGCAACAAATTTTATATAATTTCATATTCAAATTAGTTCCCGACACGCATAACAATCGCAAATCCAGTCACTGGCGTTTCTTAGGCGTGAAATGTTATCTAAATTATTAATTAGACATTAATGAACTTATCCAGACCATAATAATTAATTCCCGATGTCATCTCTAGCCTGCGATATTTACTGGATTTGAATCCGATCTGCTTCTCAACGCTCATTGATGATTAAATGCAAAATTGGACAATCCAGGCTATGTATTTTATCGTACCATCGTGGTAAGGCCTAAAATTCAAAAGCTAATATCTCGGTTCAGAGTGGATTGACTGAAATTTTCAGCAAATTGTCTTTACATTACGGTATCTAGTTTTTAACTACTATAGTGAGAACTGTCAGCTCTTTATCTAAATCTTCCATAATACCCTTTAATCTTTAAAAATGTATTATGTAAGATTTAGATAAAGACCTGGCCGTTCTTGCTATAATAGTTAACAAATAGATAATGAAAAATGAATATTATATTGACAATTTCAGCCACATTACTTTATTCACAGAGAGAGAGAGAGAGAAATGGGGTTAACGTCCACTCTACACAAACTAGGTCATTTCGGGACTAACATATGATTTAATTTTATTTCAATAATTCGCTTGCGCGTAGGGGTCTTTAGCAATATATAGGAAGCCCCCGACCGAGGTGTATAATATTTTTGACACTGGCATAAGTCTTTCGTACACATACGTCTTAAATATCATCCGTCACAATTGGCTTTGCTCAATTGTGTTCTAGTTAGTCGTGAGGGCAATCGGATTAAAATACAGGCGCGGGGGGGGGGGGGGACGTCCACTCGACACAAGCTAGGTCATTTCGGGACTAACATATGATTTAATTTTATTTCAATAATTCGCTTGCGCGTAGGGGTCTTTAGCAGTGGGAGAAAACCCGAGGAACCGGAGAAAACCCACGAGGTTGGTTTATACTTTTGATGGCCTACACTACATGAAGATCTGACCGGCTGTAGAGACAGGTCGCGTCAGAGGTCATACGAGCGGCTTTTGACCCAATGACGTCAGACATTGATTAATCAACAAGCGTTCGACGTTACTAGTGGTTTACCCACAATTCCGTGCATAGTACGCCAAGAACTCGCCGTAACAGACGACATCATTGGCTAATCCCTCACATTAACCAGAACGCGGCTTATATAACAACTCTTCGAGATCCTATTGTAGTGAAGACAAGTAAAACGAAATTTTGAACTATGAAAAACGAAACGAAATAGGATCTGTGTTTTAATCAGATTGGTCGAGAGGGTGGGGATTTGGATGGGCCTCATAAGGGGAATAGCCTAGGGTCTTTCTTCATCTGAATGTGCAGTAGGCTTACTGATTCCTTATCAAGCCCCTCTCCTACACCATTGACGAAGTGAATTGTATTAAATCCAATTTTAACTTTTTGAACGTCCAAGTCAAATAAAACAAAAACAAACACGAATTTTAAAAAAAAATACAATTTTTATTAATCAGCAAAGCCAGGGCCCCTCTTTAATACTAAGAACGGATGGGTGTACATACGCAGAATTGTTTGAATTAAGTTCACGGAAAGCTACTTGAAATCCAAACGATGCCGCTTTTCCGTTAACAAGAGAAACTATACATCTGAAATATATGAGATCCGGCTTATTCGAATATCATGTTAGTATAGATATACAACTGGCGGTAGTTTTTTCTTTGATGTCCATAGCAGTTATATCTCATAACAACCTGTCATGACGTCATCATAGGTTGATATATTCGTTCATATGAACCGCTGATGACGTCATGACAGGTTGATATTTCATATCAACCGCTAATGACGTCAACTCAGGTCGATATATTCGGCTCATATCAACCGCTGATGACATAGATGATCGAAATAAAACAAAAAAACACAGAAATAAATTTTTATTCTTTTGACAATTAAAAATTGTTATGGTACAGTTTGTAACATTCCGGGCCGAAATAGACGGCGTACTTATCGATATACATGTATTTAGATCGGTTATCCATGTCAAAGACATGTCAGAATTTTCTTTTCGTCCACATTGCGATTATTTCTCCACACACTACAAGACTTGAAAGTATTTATCGCCCAAGAGTTCCTTTGTAAAGTATTTTTGGGTACAGTTCACTTAAAACAGTCGGTCAAATCCTTCTCTGAACATACCGAAAACCTTCAATCATGGTTTACTGTCTCATATCTTGGAAAAGAATGCCTTTTGGTCCAAATTTTCTGCAGGCTTTGGATAGATCCTCGTCGATATTTGCATTCACATCTATTCCATCGTCAATATGTTGGCTAAAAAGGATTGATTATTCGTCTGACTTCGTATTACTATCCATTTTGTTTTTGCTTTCAATTCAATAGTCCAAAATGGCGATGTATAAACAAAAACATGCACGTAATTACACGTAATTACACGTGATTACTTCGGTAATTTTCGCTATTTGGCGGAAACTATCGAGCAATTATCCAATCATTGTTGCCTTTTAATGGAAGAGCCCATTAAATTTAAGGGTGAAATGGCGTTGTATATGTCGGATACAAACCTACTCTCCCTCGGATTGATATGGTAGAGAACGCGCGGGCTTCCATATCAACCTCGGGTAGGTTAATATCCTATACATAACACGGAGGAACTATGAAATATATGAGATACGGCTTATTCGGATACCAAGTGAGTAAATAAGATTATATCTACTACTTGATATATCCGTATCCTATAGCTCTTGTAATAAGTAGTAGAAATAAGCGTCGCTGTCCGGGCAAAATGTCCTTCATAGCCCAGTGTATGATGTATGCATGTCTTCATTAACCCAGTCGGGACAGAACCGTAGGACATTAAACCTTATTTCGTTTCGTTTTCTTATTTTCTGTTAAAGAATTAAATTGAAAAAGATTAATGCTTTAATATTAACAAAAGTAAAGTATACATTCAAAGAGGAAATAGGGGATCCATGCGTGATAGGACCCTGGACCCTGTTTCTCGAAATCTTAATTAAAGATAAAATCAAAATTTTAGTAGATACTTCAATTTTGATTGGCTAAGCACTAAAATCAATCTAATATTATCCAATCAAATTACTAAAATTTGGATTTTATCTTAGTTAAATTTTCGTGAAACAGACCCCTGGTCTTGCTTTTCGACTAGCATAACGCGGGTTCGAATCCCGAAGTGGGCCCTAAAGAACCATCAGGATTTTTCAAGTCAGCTTCTCACTGAAAGTGTGTGGGTGTGTGTGTGTGTGTGTGAGAGAGAGAGAGATAGAGAGAGATAGAGAGAGAGAGAGAGATGGGGTTTAACGTCCACTCGACACAAACTAGGTCATTTCGGGACTAACATATGTTTTTTAAATTTTTATTTCAATAATTCGCTTGCGCGTATGGATCTTTAACAGTGGGGACAACCGGAGGAAACGGAGAAAACCCACGAGGTTGGAGGTTGCCAGCAGCCGCCCAGGTTTGCTCGTACGCACGCCTAAGGTTCCTGGTTCAAAAAACCCCCAAACATCAGCCATTATAACAGCTTTAGGGTTTTTAAGGTAACTACTGTAGGTTATAACTAATTGGAGATGCTAATTGTAAGCCGGTTGGGGAGGTTCGGGAATTTCCTGAGTCCACAATAAACGAGTATTTTGGGGAATACTAACCCTAACCCTTTTTAGAGGGGTTAATTGGATCCATGTTCAGTCTTCTAAAAAGGGTTAGGGTTAGTATTCCCCAAAATACTCCTTTATATAAATCGATTTTTTATTAGTATTAATCCGCATGACAATTCTATATAATCAAGTAAGTTACAGAGAGAGAGAGAAATGGGTTTAACGTCCACTCGACACAAACTAGGTCATTTCGGGACTAACATATGGTTTAATTTTATTTACATAATTCGCTTGCGCGTAGGGGTCTTTAGCAGTGGGAGGAAACCGGAGGACCCGGAGAAACCCCACGAGGTTGGACAGGCGACCCTACTCCTTGCCACGTACAACCGGGGATTCGAAACCACGCCAGTCGACTCAATGACAGACTTTATGATACAGCGCGCGCACGCTAACCATTCAGCCATCCAACCCCCCAAGTAAGTTACAAAAAAAAAAAAAAAAAAAAAAAAAAAAAAATATATCGATAAGTTGACGCTCGTTATATCAATAATTTATGTCAACTTATTTGCTTTTGCAAATTAATTTTATGATAATAAAACTTATTGACTTAAATTCAGAGGTTGACAGTTTTCACGGAAAGGAACTTATTGAAATTAGAGTGGCTTAGTCATGGCTGTTAATTTAGCCAATCAATAGGCCCCTACTAACCGGTAGTTTAATTATGAATGATGTTATATAAGTTAACGTGGGTTCATTTCGAATTGAAAAGTCTTCAGAAAGTATAGCATCTAGTTCTATTTTACTTTCGTGATTGTTTTGATTTCAAGTCAAAGATGGGATTTGGAGACAGCTCGATTTGCTATAAAATAGCGACTGTTGTTTCTGGGTTCGGTCTTTTATTCTTTATTATTGGATATTCGACGGACAATTGGTTTGACATTGAATCAGGGGATACAAAGGGATCATATGGATTGTGGGGATGGGCGCTCGAAATCAAGGGTGATGAAAGAGAAGGAACGAGTAAGAATAATTTATATAATTTATTTACATTATGTATTAGATCACTTATTAAACATACATTATGCAAGAGCTAAATCTGTCTATTGCAGGTCTTTCTTTAGGCCTGAAATGTTATCTAAAATATAAATTAGACATTAATTAACCTATCCAGACCATAATCAACTCTCGATGGCATCGCTAGCCTGCTATCTTTAGTGGATTATGAGCCGATTTACTGCACAACTTTCCTTCTCGATTTATTGATTAAATGGATAATCGAGACTTTATTAATAATAAAGATTTTCGGGGATTACAGATTCACCATTTTACACATGCGGGTCCAAATAGTTCGCTTCTGATCATGCGAAAGCCCACACTGATCAGTAGTGAATATTCGAATGACCGCGACAATCACTGAAAGGGCTGGCAGTTCTTACTAAAATAGTTAAAAACTAGATAATACGAGAGCATCGCTATCGCTGCAATATACGTCCACATTCCAGCTTTGATTGATATGGTACTTTTTAAAATGAAGAGAATGAAATATGAAATGGCTGTAATATGATCAGAGGCAAAGAAGGCTAGGCGTTGGGTTTGTTTTGCCAAATTTACAGACAAAATACTAACAAAAAAGTGGGTGTGACACTGCCCCAGGAGGTCGGGGCAAGCATCAAAATAAATAGTTGCTGTCTTTACGGTATAAGGAATAAATATGCAATGTTCCAAGATGATCCATTCAGAATTGCAGGGTTGGCTTTGGAACAATATAAATAGGTACCACCCTGTTATTGAAATGAAAACATCAATAGTGCCGTCCTTAAGGTATAAGGAATAAGTATACCAAGTTCCAAGATAATCTATTCAGAATTGTGGCCTTCTAGCGCTAAAGGCAAAAATTGGGCGTGGCTCTGCCCCTGGGGATCGGGGCATTCACCAAAATCAATAGTTGATACCCTTAGGCTATAAGGCATATGCCAAGTACCAAGTTGATCCATTCAGAATTCCGGCCTGTAAACGATAAACACAAAAATTGGGCGTGGCTCTGCCCCTGGGGGTTGTGACATGCAGTTGTTGTCCTTGGGCTATAAGGAATACATATCCCAAGTTCAAAGACAATCCATTAAGAATCGTGGTCTGTAGGCAACTCACAGAGACACAAAGAAAAAATGGGCGTGGCTCTCCCCCTGGGGGTTGGGCAATCACCAAAAAACAACAGGGGGCATCCTTAGGGTATAAGGAATAGGTATGCAAGGTTTCAAAATGATCTGTTAAGAATTGCGGCCAGTAGGCGACACAAAAGGCACACAAACATTGGGGGTGGCTCTGTCCCAGGGGGTCGGGCATGTACCAAAAATAATAGAGGTCGGCCTTTGGGCATAAGTATGTAAAGTTTGAAGATGATAACTTAAGAATTGTGGCCTGTAGGCGACACACAGACACACAAAAAGAAAATGGGTGTGGTTCTGTCCCTGGGGGTTGGGCATACACCACAAACAATAGGGATGTTCCTTAGGGTACAAAGAATGTGTATGCAAGATTATAAGTTAAGAAATGTGGCCTGTAGACGACAAACAAACAAATACTAGAAATGGGCGTGGCTCTGCCCCTGGGGGTCGGGCATGCACCAAAAACAATAGGGATCTTCCTTGGGGTATAAGGAATAAGTATACCAAGTTTGAAGAAAATCCAGTAAGAATTGCGCCCTGTAGGCGACACAAAGACACACGAAAAGAAAATGGGCGTGGCTCTGCCCCTGGGGGTTGGGCATGCACCCCAAACGATAGGGATGTTCCTTAGGGTACAAAGAATGTGTATGCAAAGTTTCAAGATTATTAGTTAAGAAATGTGGCCTGTAGACGACAAACAAACAAATACTAGAAATGGGCGTGGCTCTGCCCCGGGGGGTCGGGCATGCACCAAAAACAATAGGGATCTTCCTTGGGGTATAAGGAATAAGTATACCAAGTTTGAAGAAAATCCATGAAGAATTGCGCCCTGTAGGCGAACCACAGACACACACACACACACACACACATACATACATACACACACACACACACACACACACACACACAGACAGGGGCGACGGCATAATACGTTCACATTATGAATGTGGACGTATAATAAAGGGAATTCGCTGAAAATTTCAGTCAAATTGATCCACTCTGAACCGAGATTTTAGCGATGGAATTAAAACACATAGTCTCGATTATCCATTTCATGATTAAATTATGAATGGAAGTCGAAAAGCAAATCGGAACCTAATCCAATAAAAATCGCAGGCTAGCGATGCCATCGAGAGTTGATTATGGTCTGGATAAGTTAATTAATGTCTAATTAATAATTTAGATAACATTTCAGGCCTAATGAAAGACCCCCAATAGGCATATTTACCTCTTGTATAATGTATGTTTAATCAGCTCTCAATATTAACTTTTTTCTTCTGCAAATTAAATTCTAAAACATTTTTTTTTTTTTTTAATTATTAAAATATAAATCTGTTGGAAGTAGCCTATATCTGTTAAAAACTATTTCCCTTTTAGTGTGTGGGGGTGGGGGTGGGGTGGTGGTGGCCGAATTGTTAGCACGTGCTCGCTGTCACTCTAAGATTCGTAATTCTCTGTGAAACAGGTTAGCGCGCTGTATCATAAAGTCTGTCATTGAGTCAACTGGCGAGGTTTCGATTCCCCGGTTGTACGTGACATGGTGTAGGGTCGCTTGTCCAATCTCGTGGTTTTTCTCCGGGTCCTCCTGTTTCCTCCCACTGCTAAAAACCACCACGCGCAAGCGAATTATTGAAATAAAAAATTGAACCATGTGTTAGTCCCGAAATGACCTAGTTTGTGTCGAGTGGACGTTAAACTCCATCCGGCCTTGATTTCCACTTATTGCTTCCAGATTAGATTTCATAGCCGGGTACATATTTCCATAATATCCAGAATCAATTTATCTGTCTTTGTCTTATCTATTTGGCTAAATCAATTTAGGACAATGAAAAATCCCAGCGGCTGCCAGGCAGCATACGCCCACATTTTGCAAGAGATGGATAGAGAACAAGCTAAAAAACAAAAACGATTTTGTGTACAATCAGGGGCCATAATCCAGAAAATTATGGTCTGAAATGCGCAAATATCAAAACGGACTGAGATTTTTGGAATATAAAGATATGTTTTAAGTTTCATCAAAATAGGATAAAATATTGTGACCTCTAGAGGGCCCATAACCTTTGTATTACATACTTATACACAATTACACAAAATTTTCCTCATAGCAAACTGTATGGCGTATGCAATGACATGAAATGAAATGGGGTTTAACGTCCTACTGTTTTGCTCCTATACTGGGCTAATGAGGACGGGCATACGCCATACAGTGTGCTATGAGGGAAATTTTGCCCTGGCAGCGGCACTATCGCCTACTCTTATATCGAATTCCAACTGCCAATGGATCTTTTACGTGGTGCATTCCAATGTATACACGGGACCTCGGTTTTTCGTCTCATCCGAAGGACTAGACAGCTGTCCTTGTCAGGCCCTCCGTTCTGCCCCACTGACAAGGGGAAACCACGTCGGAAAATCTGGATGAACTTTCTCGGCCAATGCAGGGATCGAACACCCGACCTCTAGGCTAGCGAGCCAACGTCGTAACCACCTAGCCACCGTGGCTCCCCGTATGGCGTATGCCCGTCTTCATTAGCCCAGGTTAGGAGCAGAACAGTAGGACGTTAAACTCCATTTCATTTCATTTCATTTCTCAAAAACACTGAAAATTATAAAAACCACTGCGGGCAGAAATGCAATAATTCAATGATAAAGTGCAGGCTGCTATCACCCAAGAATAACGATTTGGTGCAAACTATTGCTTAATCATTCCCGAATTTAGAATAGGACAATTCTTGAATTTGGGTTTATGTTAGAGAAGCGATCGCTCACATTATCCAAATCCGAACTCAATGCCGGCTCCCTGTGCAATTAAATTATTACAGCCAAGTTGCGGAGACGCTTATAAATAGCTTATCCGACCAGAGAGGAAAGTGTCAAACGAACTGAGCTAGTGAATCCAAATGAATGAATATTCTCGCCGCGTTGAACCTCTACTCCAAAACTTTGAGGATGATAAAAAGCACACTGATCAGCAGTGAATATTCGCTGGGCCGCTACAATCACTGATAAAGATGACATCGATGCGACTTAATGAGTTTAAATATTAATTTTTTTCTTCCGTTAAATTAAATTCTAAAACATTTTTTTGTTTTGTGTATTATAAAAATAAATAAAGACGTTTGAATTATTTGTATGTAAAAATCATTTCCTATTTAGTGTAATTGGGTATTAAAATAAGTAAAAATCACCATTCAGCCCGAATCAGTGACGTCTTATGTAAACAATGCACGCGCCATTGATTGAGATAATGATTGACGCTGCGTGATGTGAAGTCACGTGTCGAAACAGTCATCTGTTACAGAGATATTAGAAGACTTTTGTAATCCTCTGTGAAACAGATTGTATAAAAAGCACTTCTCAAGTGGTTTACGTGTAATTGTTTATAGGAGGTTTACAGCAGGATGGGCTTGGTAAGAGATAACTCTATGACTGAGTGGGAATGTGTATTAATCACCCTAGAAATGAAATGAAATGGGGTTTAACGTCCTACTGTTCTGCTCCGAACTGGGCTAATGAAAACGGGCATACGCCATACAGTGTGCTATGAGGAAAATTTTGCGCGGACAACGGCGCTATACGGCCCACTTTTATATCAAATTCCAACTGTCAAGGTTTTTTTTTTGTGCACGCCAATGTGTACACGGGACCTCGGTTTTTTCGTCTCATCACAACTGTCATTGTCAGGCCCTCCATCCTGCATCACTGACAAGGGAGAACCTAGAAAATTACCGAAACTCATCACAAATATTTTATTTTATTATAGTTATAAGGGGAGAAGGGGGGGGGCAAACAGAGGGCAGATCATATAAGGGGCGTCCACCCACCCCCAGCCCCCCATCCGGCTCCTTGACCAGTACATAGTGTGTAAAATTTTCTTGCACTTGTTTTTAATGCTGGACCCTTTCTTTCAGGCATGTTAACCATTTGACAATTAATTAACCATTACTTTATCTTTTTTTCAGAATCGGAGAGTGGTAAAATTTCAAGTACTGTAAAATTACTATATGATTTCGACTTTAAATTAAGTAAGTACACTACTTACTTAATGTATTGTATTGCCATGTATTGCCATAGAAGTATTAATAGAGTCGTTATTTCCAGTAAAAGTATTGTAGCAGTGTAAATGTTCGATAATAACTAAAGACTGGAACTATCCTTGTAACCATTTATTACCGGAATACATTAAATATCATATACGGAGAACAGCACGTGCGACAAGAAGAGTAACTGTCCTTGAAACAGGATGCAACTTAGAATGCTTTATCTATGTGCAAATCGGTATTTATAATAAAATGTCAACTCGACACATAGTGTAATTTTATTTCAATAATTTGCTTGCGCGTAGGGGTCTTTAGAATATCGTATCGTGACTGCAGTAATTGAAAGTAGAGACGCCCAATCTTACTAGACAAATACTGGATTCCCCGAAAAACACCCATGTGGCAAACAAAAATGAAATGAAATGTGCTTTAACGTCCTATTGTTTTGCTCCGAACTGGGGTAATGGAGATGGGCATACGCCATACAGTGTGCGAATTTTGCCCGAACAGCGGCACTACGGCCTACTCTTATATCGAATTCCAACTGTCAAGGGATCTTTTACGTGCATGCCAATGTGTACACGGGACCTCGGTTTTTCGTCTCATCCGGACGACTAGATAGCTGACTTGTCGGGCCCTCCGTCCTGTAACACTGACAAGATGGAACCACGACGGAAAATCTGGGTGAATTTTCTCGGCCAATGCAGGGATCGAAAATCCGACCTCCAGGCTAGCGAGCCAGCGTCTTATCCATCAGCCACGGTGACCCCCCACCCGTGGCAAGCACCGGGTAAAATGAAATGGGGTGTTCAACCTCCTACTGTTCTGCCACTGAGCAAAAATGATCCGAGAATATACTTAGGCTTTAATATGTATGGTAAATGGACATTTCGGGACAAACATATTAAATTTTATTTCAATAATTCACTTGTGTGTAGGGGTCTTTAGCAGTGGGAGGAAACCGGAGGCCCCGGAGAAAACACACGAGGTTGGACAGACGATCCTACTCCTTGTCACGGACAAGTGGGGAATCGAAGCCCTACCTAGTTGACTCCGTAACTCAATGACAGACCTTATGATACAGGGCGCACGTGCTAACCATTCGGCCATCCACTCCCGCTGAAAGGCATTAAGGGATATTGGAAGTCCGCCAATATTACAGATGTGATAGAACTGGTTAATCCAAATATTGTACAAGTGCGCTTTTCGTGTATTTTCTGGAATCTCCGTTGTTGATTAAAAGAAGACAAGACTGTTGATGGTTGTTAATATTTCTCTATATTCTTTTGGTAAACAGTAATCAACAGATATCACAACAGACAATTAATATAACAATTATTGGTCAAATGCTTAATAGTAAATAAGCTCCAATGTGGATATTGGAATTGACATCAACTTATGTCTCCAAATATCCAAATACAGGTAAATAAGGTCTGTCCTTAGGTATGTGATCTAAGTTGATCTCCGAAGACACGTGTGTAGCAAGCTCTTCCCAAATTCTGTCATTTGGGTCTATATATCCCCATGCATCGCCTAGGGCATTAATCCTAAAAATCTATCGTCTATACAAACAATATACCCTGGTAACTAAACGCTATAGCCCGTAGACGTTAATTACAATTTATAAGCTCAATTTAAAGTTTAAAACAAAGAATACTGGATACAGGTGATCAATGAAATATATAAGACAATATGAAGTAGATATAAATGGTGGGTAATTAAGGTGGATTAAGATCCATTAAAATATAATTAACTGAATTAAGTAATACTGTGCGGATTAGCATGACGTATTAAACATTTACTATTGAGTCCAAATTCACCCTACTATAATATAACAGATACTGTCAGCGCTTTTGCAGCAGCGATCACGCACTGATCAGCAGTGAATATTTGCTAGGCCGCAACAATCACTGATAAGGATGACATCCATGCGACTTAATGGCCCACAAATATTAACTTTTTTCCTCCGACAAATTACATTCTAAAACATTTTTTTATGGATTAGAAAAATAAATAAAGACGTTTGACGTATTTGCAGGTAAAATTATTTCCTATTTAGTTTAAATGGGTATTAAAATGGGTAAAAGACTCCATTCTGCCCGAATCAGTAAGGTCTTATGTAAACAATGCACGCACCATTGAGCCAATGATTGACGCCGCGTGATATGACGTCATGTGTTGAAGGCAGTCATCTTTTACAGAGATATTAGATGACTTTCGTAAACCTCTGTGAAACAGATTGCGGCTATTATATGTTGGGGTTTCAGTTTGATGGATGGAATGACTTGTGGTGAAACTTTTCCATATCTTTCAGGTGAAGCCATAAAGTTAGGGAGAGTATTTGGTATAATGGGTTTGGTCGCCGCTGCAGTTTGTATTGCTCTTCTCTTAGTTTATATGTTTTCTATAAAGAAACAATTGATAAAAACATTGACCCTTACCGCTGGTATTGGATCCAGTAAGTAGACGTTATTGTATTAGGGGGGGGGGGCTGAATGGTTAGCACGTGCGCGCTGTATCATAAAATCTGTCATTGAGTCAACTGGCATGGTTTCGATTCCCTGGTTGTACATGACAAGGTGTAGGGTCGTCTGTTCAACCTCGTGGGTTTTCTACCACTGCTAAAGACACCTACGCGCAAGCGAATTATTGAAATAAAATTGAACCATGTGTTAGTCCCAAAATGACCTAGTTTGTGTTGTCTCTCTCTCTCTCTATTATATTAGCGGTCATCGTGGCTAAGTGGTTAAGACGCTGGCTCGCTAGCCTTGAGGTCGGTAGTTGCAATTTATAGCCGTGATAATTCTTATCAACGGCTGCAATTATGATACACTATTCGAGGCTTTGAGCAAGTAAAATTAAGTTCAATTGCAAAATTTTCAACACATATCATCACCATTTGCATGGAAATAAGTAATTATGTTACAAATAGTGAAGAGTGGAACACTGAAATCATAATCTTATCTTACCAAACAGTACTTCTGTATTTTCGAGTGGCACGACACAAGTGATTCTGGTTTGGTGGCCATTTTAAAGTGAACAGAAATTTCGCATAGCAGTTGGGCTTAATCAAAGCAAAGAAATGAAACGAAATGGGGCTTAACATCTTACTGTTCTACTCCGACTGGTTTGATGAAAACAGGTATACAGTGTGACCCGATGGAAAGGGAATTTTGTCCGGCCTACTTTATATCGAATTACAACTATATTACGAGCACGCCAACGTGTAAACGTGGCCTCGGTTTTTCGTTCCAATCTGAATGGCTATGCGTTGCTCAATACTGGGATCGAACTCGCAAGCCGATATTTTACTCGCTGAGTGAGCTACTGTGTTTACGAATAAAGATATTGACAACTCATTTTTTCAAACATTATTGGGCCATTGTGTTGTTAATATATGTCTATATATTTTTCAGGTTTACTTTTCTTGGTGGGAGTCATAGTGATGAGTGTGGATGTTACAATCGAGTGCATTTTTAAAACGGCGATAATTAGTTTTGGTTATTCATTCTGGTTAGCAATGGTTGGTGGAATTCTCTACTGGGCAGTAGGAATCTTGATCATAGTGGATATTAAGTTATCTGAACGCCAACCAGAGAACCTGCATGAATAAAAATCTGATCAATCTGATTAAAACACAGACCCTATTTCGTTTCGTTTTTTATAGTTCAAAATTTTGTTTTACTTGTCTTTACTACACTAGGATCAATCTGCTTCACAGAGGATTACGAAAGTCTTCTAATATCTCTGTAAAAGAATACCTTCAACACGTGATGTCACATCACGCGGCGTCAATCATTGGCTCAATGGTGCGTGCACTGTTTACGTAAGGCATTACTGGTTCAGGTAGAATGGTGTCTTTTACTCATTTTAATACCCATTTACACTAAATAGGAAATAATTTTTACCTACAAATATGTCAAATGTCTTTATTTATTTTTCTAATACATAAGAAAAAATGTTTAAGAATTTAATTTGTGGGAGGAAAAAAGTTAATATTTGTGGCTCATTAAGTCGCATCACTGTTATCCTTATCAGTGATTGTAGCGGCCTAGCAAATATTCACGGCTGATCAGTGTGAGCTAGGATCTGGAAGAGTTGTTATCATTGACGTATTCTGGATGATAGCCTTTGAAACGATCTGTTACGGTGCACAGAATTGTGGGTAATCCACTAGAACATCAATGCTGATTGGTAAATCAAATATATGACGTTGTAGGGTCAAAAGCCGCTCGAATGACCTCTGACGCAACCCCCCAAAACAACTGGTCAGAGCTTCATGTAGTTAAAGCCATCGAAAGTATAAAAAAAAACGAAACGAAATATAGATTTGTATTTTAATCAGATTGAACTCAGATGTAAATTACTAAATATTTTCCAAAATATATTTCCGTTCGACCATACTTTCCGTGCACATTCCTATTTTTGAAATAAGAGGGCATATTGGGATCTTTGCATTCTGATTAAAGGAGCTAAGTCTCTAACTCAATATCATCCAAAACCTTCGACAATGAAAACACAAATTATCTGTCAATTTTAATCAACATTGGTGTTGTAATCTTACTGGGAAAAGATGGGCTTCTGATATCCAATATTTAAGACAAAATAAACATTTTATGATTGGTACACGAATCGCGTACCATAATGCGTTTCAGCGCAATTATTAACAAGCGACTCGGAAGAACAAGGTTAGATATATTCCACAAATCTGGAGAGCATGCGCAATAATTACTATCGGTGTAGACTGGAATAACCAGACGCTATAGATTGCCATTCGATTGAGACTTCTGGCGTATTTCGCCGAACATAACTGCTTTGAAATTAGCGTAAAACGGAAACAATTGAATGTAAATCATTTTTTTTAGATTCATATTACATTATTATATTCGTTGCGACCCATTTGTGTCAATTTGTAGATCCCAAATATTAGCAACTTAGCTCCTTTAAATCAGTTATGTTTTATGTTGTGTACAAATTGTAATCTATCTTTAGACAGGGGTCTTGACAGTAAAAATTTAATATTCAGACAAAAAGGTATATGCTCTTCTCTTTTTCAGAAATGATCTGTTGTGGTAAAAAATAATGTTGCATGCTTATATTTGAAAAGTTCGTTGTAATTAATATTTTTTTAGTTAATATGAGTATTATAAGGTCACAATTCTATGGAATACAATTACTGCTTATTACAGAGCAACGTTTCGACTAGTTCAATTACTAAATGTCATTGAAACAATTTAATATCAGTATAATGTTGTCTTTGAATGTACACATAGGTTTTATACACCAACATTTCATATGGGAGTGTTTTGTCGTGACGCCCATCTGCCAGTCTCGTCATGGAGAGAAAATGAAATGGGGTTTAACGTCCACTTGATACAAATTAGGTCATTTCGGGACTAACATATGGTTCAATTTTATTTCTATAATTTGCTTGCGCGTAGGGGTCTTTAGCAGTGGGAGGACCCGGAGAAAAACCCATAAAGTTTGACAGACGACCATACTCGTTACGTACAACCGGGGAATCGAAACCAGGCCAGTTGACTCAATGACAGACTTTATGATACAGTGTGCACGTGCTAACCATTCGGCCATCCAACAACCTGTCTCGTCATGGACTGTGCATAGATAAACAGACAAGGCCATCATAACCTTCAGAATGCTATGCCACGTAAAAGAAGTCTTGAGAATCTTGACTAAAAAAGAATACCCCCCCCCCCCCCCAACAATATGATTTAAACACAGATCCTATTGTTTTGTTATTATACTCCAAATTTCATTTTATTTGTTTGTACTACACTAGGATCTTGGAAGAGTTGTTATATAACAGGCATTCTGGTTGGCGTGAGGGATTAGCCAATGAAACCATCTGTAACAGCGAACTGTGGGTAAACCACTAAAAATGTCGACGCTGATTGATTAATCAATGTCCGACATCATAGGGTCAAAAGTCACTAGTCACATATGCGTTGAAGTTCCGATAGTTAAAAAAAAAAGTTCCCCACTCGATTTCATACATACATAAACTGCGAACTGACAGGACTTGCTCTACGGATTGTTATATCTGAAATACTGGATTGATTCGATAAGTCACATTGAAAAAATGAATATTTACTGTTTTTATAGAAAGGGCTCGATGAAAAATTTTATTTTTTCTATTTTGGTGGTAGATAAATTGCCAAGTCTCTGATAAAAAAGAAATCGAGTGGGGAACTTTTTTTTAACCCTATCGGAACTTCAATGCATATGTGTAGTATGAACCCAGCCGCGACCTTCCAGTATAACTGGTCAGATCTTCATGTTGTGTAGGCCATCGAAAGTATAAAACAAAACGAAACGAAATATAGATCTGTATTTTAATCAAATTGCCCTTGTGTTTCCTACAGTAACAACACATTCCAAATGAAAATGAAATGGGGTTTAACGTCCTACTGTTCTGCTCCTATGCTGGGCTAATGAAGACGGGCATATGCCATACAGTGTGCTATGAGGGAAATTTTGCCCGGGAAGCGGAACTATCGCCTACTCTTATAACGAATTCCAACTGCCAGGGGATCTTTTACGTGCATTCCAATGTATACACGGGACCCACTTCATTGATGTCGACTGGGACCATATACATTCCATGGTCTGGTCAATCTACATATCTAAGTTCGAGACTTCCTACGATTGACTAGCCATCAAGATCAATCCCCACGAAAGGTGAAATGAAATGGGGGTTTAACGTCCTAATGTTATGCACTGACTCGGCTAATGATGACGAGTATATACCATAGCGTGCTATGAGAGTAATTTTGCCCCGATAGCATCACTACTCTTATACCAAATTCCAACTGTCAAGCGTTTTTCAGCCACTGTTGACGTATGTTTCATTGCCTGGCAAACTATCTTTTGTGTTAAGGTTGTGATCTAGTGTTATATTCAAAACTGCAGGGTCCAAGAGAGAAAAGGGGTTTAACGACGAGCACAAACTAGGTCATTTTGGGACTAACATAGGGGTTTTTAGCAGTGGGAGGAAACCAGAGGGGAGTGAGATAAATGGGGTTTAAGTCCACTCGATAAGGAAACCGGAGGACCAGGGGAAAACCCACGAGGTTGGACAGGCTACACTACTCCAAGTCACGCACAACCGGATAATCGATACCAAACCAGTTGACTCGATGACAGACCACCTTATGGTATGATACAGCGTGCATGCACTAACCATTTGGCCATCCAACCCCCCTCAAGACAAAAGAAAACCAGATATGACCGTACACATAAAATTTTATTGCGATGTTCATATCATAAAAATTGTGTGAACTTATAAAAGATGAATAAAAAGTTTTTTAAAATGATTTGATAAATCTGTGTTTTTAGAAACATTTTTTTTTTTTTCATGACATGAACAAAACTTGACAAAAACAATGCATTGATGATTTTCTGACAACACACTGATTTAAAAAGCATACATTAAGGCCTCAAAAAGCTGGGACACGAAACAAAAAAAAAAAAATTAAACACAAATTGAGCATGGATTTCACTGACTACATGAAAATATGAAATTTATTTCTTTTTTGAGCTGAACTTAATAAATAGTAATGCCGACATAATAAATATTTTGTTATATATTTCCATAATTTAATCTTTTCCCTGTACTAAAGAACAATATGAACTGTGTCAAAAGTCAAAGTTTGTTTTTATGGAGAAACATCGCTGTCAAAATGCCTAATATATTACCTCAAAAGAAACAACATTTTGGCTGATTTGTTTCTCCATAAAATATATACTTTACAAGAAAACCTGTACCTGTTGGTTTAAAATTTAACGGAATCAGATTCAAAATTTAACGGAATCAGATTCAAAATTTAACGGAATCACAGAAGTTTTAAATCCACAAGTAAAAGTTTCAAGATCATAAATACAAAGGGATTTTTTTTTCTCAATAATACAATGGATGATGTTTGGGTTTTTTTTTGTCTCAATCTTTTAAGTGTAATGTTTTCATGTAATAAATGCAAAAATTGTTTAGTCTGTTTTTCTCAAATGGATGAAAATAAAACTGAGTTGCAGAACTTGTAAATTTGTTTTGGAGTGATCTGAGTTCAGATCTGGGATATGGAATGCAAAATTGATATAAAGACAATTAACTAAATTATATTCATTCCCACATACTGTAATTAAATTTATTCATAACAAAACACAAGGTATATATGGATATAACTACTTCTCTATTATTTAATAACGACGACCACGTTTCATAACATATACAGGTCACGTTTTAATAAATGATAAATATCCATCTAGTCAGAATATTTATACATATTTTGGCTTTCACCCACTTAAAGATACATTATGGGAGATAAGATAAAGAGATGGCAGTTCTCGCTATAATAGTTAAAAACTAGATAGTGTAAAGGTAATTTGCTGAAAATTTCAGTCAAATTGATCCACTATGAGCCGAGAAAGAAGCGGGTGAAATTTTTGCATAGTCTCGGTCATCATTACTAAAATCATTAATATAAACAGCATAGTCTCGATTATCCACTTTTTCTGATTTAATTATCAACGGCCGTTAGCGGCATATAGGAATCTAATCCAGCCAACATCGAAGGCTAGCCTTGACATCGTGCTTCTAATTTATTTCTTCTGATTATTAATTAGGTGTAAGCCAAAATATGTATAAATAGGCCGACTAGATGGATATTTATCATTAACTTGAAGATGTGACCTGTTATTTAAAGAATTAAATTGATGTTAGTTGTGTTTCTGTAATCTCATAATCCAACATAAATCACTCCAAAATAACTTTAACATACAACCCCAAGATATAATGACAGGGGAGTTATTCAAAAAAATCTTCTAACATTAAGAATTCAATAATTTCATTGGCTGAGAATCAAAAATCCTAGTACAAATTTTAGCTTTCGGCCAATGAAAATGCAGCTTTCTTACAACATTTTAGTATAAAATTTTATGAATAAGTCCCCCAATTCGATAAAATAAAATGCAAGAATGATTTGAAGAGTCCCTACATCACAATTATATTTGCATACAATTTACAAAAACACTAAATACTAAAAATACAAGGGTCTCAATCAACCGTTAGGCTACTAACTGAACACGCCTCTTTATCACTGTCGACACCTTCTACAATGTACAACCCCGCAGTGAATGAAAGCAGAAATCATTAGGAAATGTTTCAAGCCAATTTGGGTGCACTTTTCTCTGACAAACTAAATGAACGAATTAAGCAGCCCAGGGAACTTCCAGTTTAAATACAAAATCAGACATGTCCTAATTAAAAATATAAAATCATTTAATTATGGGTTTGGTTGGTATTTTTAAAAGACATGCACAAAAAAAAATATAATTTAAAATTTAGCCTCCATATTTTAAAAAAAAAAATATGACAATTCTCATCTGACCAATGAACATCACTGTATAATCGACTCATGATTTTAAACGTAACACACAAACAAAAACAAATGACCCCGCCCCCTTTTTAAAAATGAACCAATGAGATGATGAGTATATGATGATTGACATGAATGCACTAATTCTAAGTTTCATTGCACTAAGGGAGATAACTCCAAGATTACATAAATTGAGTAAACAGATGCGCAAGTCGAATAATCAAATCATATGGAAAACTATTTGTGTCAAAAATACTTAATACGCTATTTCTTGATGTAGCAAATTTCTACATTTTTTTACAGATTTTTCTGTCTATAAACCGTAATCTATAGATTTGATGAATCGACAAATGAGCCATAGGCCAGAAAAACTTCAAAGGCCTTCACCTTGCTATATATATTTAAACATATATTACGTTTTCAATACCAAAAGGCAGAACGAACGGGTAAGCACATTCAGAAGACATCGCAAACATGAACGAATTAATCGCAATCACAATGTCGGTTAAAAATTTTAAGTTTTAAAATATTACTGAGCACTGGAAAGTATATTTAAACACAATAGTTGTTGCACTATAGTTAAATAAAGTGAAAATTCGCAAAATTAATTCATAGATTTAAAACGAATCCTGACATATTTCTGGAGTTTTCAATACTGGCAATTATTGGCCGATCAAACATAATTTTAATTCTCCGTTAAAACAGTTTTGACCGGGTCACCATTGTTCATGATCTTCTTTTCTTCGGATAATTTAAGGTCCGTTATTTTCTCCGTTACTTCAGTCGTCTGTAAAAAGAAAAAACAAAAGATTTATAAATTAAATTGTAAACAGTGTTCAAATCAACGAGGTTACTGACCAATCGAATCTGTATTGCTAAAATATACCAGCGGCTGCCAGGCAGGATACGCCCACATTTTCGAGAGATGGATAGAGAACATGCAAAAAAGAAAGTGATTTTTCGTACAATCAAAGGGCCATAATTCAGGAAATTACAATTCGATATGCGCAAATATCGAAAGGAAACGTAATCTTTGGGTTATAAACTAACATTTCAAGTTTCAAGAAAATCAGATATAAATTGTGACCTCTATAGGGTCCACAACCTTGATATACCATATTTTTTCGCTATTTGAGAACGAGGGGTGGCCATTTTGTCTGTCAGTTTTGGTACGATTTTCACGAAATTCAAACGCAGCTGTCCTTGGGGTGTAACGGTCATATACTAAAACGTTTTTAAATCGGATAAAAATTATGACCTCTATAGGGTCCACAACCTTGATATACCATATTTTTACGCTATTTGAGAACGAACGGCAGCCATTTTGTCTGTCAATTTTGGGTCGATTTTCACGAAATTCGAACTCAGCTGTCCTTAGGGTGTAACGGTGATATAATAAGTTTTTTTTAAATTGGATAAAAATTATGACCTCTATAGGGTCCACAAGCTAAAAACACGATTTTTCGTACAATCAGGGGAGATAATTCAGGAAAATCGAAAGGAACCGAAATCTTTACGTTATAAACCTACATTTCAAGTTTCAACAAAATCGGATAAAAATTGTGACCTCTATAGGGTCCACAAACGTGATTTTTCATACAAACAGGGGCCATAATCCATGAAGTTTCGATCCGATACATGCCAATATCGAAAGCAGCCGAGATCTTTTGGAGATAAACCTATATTTCAAGTTTCGTCAAAATCGGATAAGAATTGTGACCTGTAGAGTGTCCACAAACAAATTGTGGACGGACAGACAGAGGCGACGACAATACACGTCCACATGAAAATGTGGGCGTATAAAAAGCATTTGGGAAGGTCAGTATTGTTAAAGTATCAAAATAGCTGAAAGGAAAAGGAGTTATACTGTCACGTTATCATTAGACAGAGCCACCAGTTTCCTAGGAAACCTTTCAAACAAAACCACCAGTTACCTAGGAAACCTTTCCGAGAGAAGAAAAAAAAACAAACGGTAACCCTTTAAACAAAACCAATCACAAAATAATTGTATGAATTATGAACTACTAACCAAAGAAAATGAAACTTTGGTCTAGGAATGTCATCATATGGCGACAGCCAATGAAAATGGAGAGAGAGAAATGGGGTTTAACGTCCACTCGACACAAACTAGGTCATTTCGGGACTAACATATGGTTTAATTTTATTACAATAATTCGCTTGCGCGTAGGGGTCTTTAGCAGTGGGAGGAAACCGGAGGACCCGGAGAAAACCCACGAGGTTGGACAGGCGCCCCTAATCCTTGCCACATACAACCGGGGATTCGAAACCACGCCAGTCGACTCAATGACAGACTTTATGATACAGCGCACGCACGCCAACCATTCAACCCCCCCAATGAAAATGGAGATGCAATCAGTAACATCAAATGTAAACACACAGCCCATCACAACCCTAACGAAATAAAATGGGGTTTAACGTCTTACTCCAAACTGGGTTAATGAAGACGGGCATCTACTATACAGTGTGCTATGCCGGACAGCGGCACTACGGCCTACTCTTGTGTCGAATTCCGACTGTCAAGGGATTGTTTACGTGCACGCCAATGTGTACACAGGACCTCGGTTTTTCATCCCAATCGATCGACTACACAGCTGTCCTTGTCAGGCCCTCCTTCCTGCATCACTGACAAGAGGGAACCACGCCGGGAGATCTGGATGAACTTTCTCGGCCAATGCAGGGAGCGAACACCTGACCTCCAGGCTAACGAGCCAGCGTCTCACCTACTTAGCCACCGTGAACCCCACACAACCCTAACCCTTTCTGGAAGATTTATACAATATTTCGGTGAACACTTTAATAGCTTCATTTTCACTGGCTGTTTCAAATGATGACTGCTCTCCTAACCCTGTATGAACCCCAATCTGTTTAAAATACAGATCTATATTTCGTTTTTTTTTTTTTTATATATATTTCCGATGGCCTACACTACATGAAGATCTGACCAGTTGCACTGGAAGATCACCTCAGGAGCCATACGAGCAGCCTTTGCTTATGACGTCAGACATTGATTATTCAATCAACACCAACGTTTCTAGTGGTTTACCCATAGTTTCGTGCATTGCACGCCAAGAAATCACCATAACAGATGGTTTCATTGGCCAATCCCTCACGCCATCCAGAACGACTGTTATATAACAACTCTTCCAGATTCTAGTGTAGCGAAGACAAATAAAACAAAATTTTGAACTGTAAGAACTAAACAAAATAGGATCAGTGTTTTAATCAGATTGTAAAACATGAATAATCAATGAAACATGAATAATCAATGCAAAGGATGGAAAATGGTATGAATGAAAATGGACACAAATGAAATGGAAATGGGGTGTACTGTCCTAAGTTTTTATTCAATGTCAACTGTGTCAAACTACTGTTCCTTGATTTCTTATACAAGACACCACCTCTTAAGGGGTTTTACATAGGCGAAACCAATTCCCCAATCCCATTCAGATGGCCTGAATACATATTTTGTGCAAAAAAAAAAAAAAGATAAAGCAATTTTTAGAGAAAGAGAAATGAGATTTAACGTCCACTCGACAAACTAGGTCATTTCGGGAATAACATGGTGCAATTTGATTTCAATAATTCACTTGAGCGTAGGGGTCTTTAGCAGTGGGAAGAAACCAGAGAAAACCCACGAGGTTGGACAGACGACCCTACTCCCTGTCATGTACAACCGGGTAATCGAAATTTCGCCAGTTGACTTAATAACAGACCTTAAGATACATGTACAGCGCACACATGCTAACCATTCGGCCATACCCCCACCCCCCCCCTGCAATTTTTAGAGTTATTTCTCTTTATCTTTATCAACGCAAACATCAAATACCATACTCAAATTTATAAAGCAATGCAACTAAAATTAAACAACGAAAACACATGAATAAAAGCGCCATGAAAACGTAACAAAGGTTTACAGGGGGCATTAAATCAGCTCACCTCTATCGTCTTGGTAACCGTGGCTTTTGTATCATCATCAATATTTTTCAGGTTGGGTTCTAAAAGGGAGGAAACCATAGCGACCAAATTAAAGCCAAGTGCACAAGAAGCAACTAATACAAATAAAACAGTGCCAAGCTCAAATGAGAAAAATTTATATCTTTGTCGAATTTAATCCTGCCAAAACTTGATATTTGATTTTAAAGTTAATCAATTTTTTTTTTTAAAGCATTATCTATAAAATTACACTTGGGGTTTAACGTCCACTCGACACAAACTAGGTCATTTCGGGACTAACATATGGTTTAATTTTATTTCAATTTGCTTGCGCATAGGAGTCTTTAGCAGTGGGAGGAATGCCATACAATGTGCTATGAGGGAAATTTTGCCCGTACAGCAGCACTACGGCCTACTCTTATATCTAACTCCAACTGTCATGGGATCTTTCAGGTGCACGCCAATGTGTACGACATCTACATTAAGCATTACCGTGACAGTATAGTGTAATTAGCCATTCTTGATAACGGCATTAATACTCAAATTAATTCAGATAAAAGTTTTTCTCATATAATTAGAAACATTAAGCATATTAAAATGGAAAGATTCAACAACCAAACGATACACTGTCCACTTCGTAAAACCGGAGATGACGCATAAATAAGATTGGGATTGGGAAACTTTATGAAGTGTGCAGTAAATATGAAATGAAATATGATAGTGAGAAATTGGGAAAATGTAAAACAGATTGAAGTAAAACAAGATAAGCCAGACAGAGAAATGTAGTCCGGCTCATTTCATTTTAAATTAGCTGGACAGGTGAGAATTCTACTTCTTATAGATCTAACACCTCCATCCCCCAAACAAAATATGTATATTTTTCTAGCTAAATAATGCATGTAAAACATACAGAATATTTTTAAAGATCATCATTTCAAAAGGTGGCATTCCCAGCCATCAAGGTGATGTTAAATGGAATGGTCCAAATAGTGCCCAATCAAAATCAGAAACTTAACAGAAATCTATTATGAAAAATCCTTAGTAAAAATAAACAGATCCAATGCAAACATATGAACTTTTATGCCATATTCCTTGTGAAATGCTGACAAGGTTTAATAGGAAATAATCAGTGTCAACGGTAATCAATAAGTATTGTTTGATGGTCGAGAGCGAGACATTAAGTAATATATTGCAACAACAAGAGGGCTGTGAGGCCCAATTGTTTTTACAATATTTTACGCAATGTCTTAAGCTCGAGACCATTAAACGACTTAAAATACAGACACTTCGCACATGCTTTTACAGTGAAATAAGTCACACAAGTCCAATATGTCACTAGTATAAATAACGTACCATTGGCACATTGCCCGTACGATTATTTGAAATAATGGTACGCCAACATCTGTATTTTAATTATGAATAATGGGTATTATGTTCATTGTACACATTATGACATGTTTATTTTTCATTAAAGATTTCTCATCTCATCTTAGCTTAGATATTGTCAAATCTTTGTACTGAAAAACCGTCAAAACATCTACAGATAAAATCAAGAAATCAAATGCCCTTGAAAATAGAAAATGTTTCCAACAGCCAGAAAATATGCATAAAGAGTAAAGTTAGATCTGGCCTTAAGCATTTTTAATATGTATAAATTAGTGGTGTGAAAATTTGAAACAAGTATTAATAAATTTCTTAATTTTGTCTATAATGACCGACGGTCTTCACTTTTCTTACCTCCTCCCCCCGTATCTCCACTGCCCCCATCATTGCCTCCTCCTCCGCTATCTCCTCCACTCGTCGTTTCCTGCACATCACTAGATTGATGTCGTGAGAATGATGTCGTCACTTCGCGGACACTTGACGTCACACTAGACTCCATGGTCGACATGACAGTAGATGAATATGTCGTTACACTTTGAATGACGTTGGACGATTCGTTTGCTGCGGCATTGCTGGCATTCGTAACCATGTTTGTAATTGTGTCTTCGCCCTCGGCACTGAAATTGCAATTTAAAATAAGAAAAAAAATCTTTTATTTACTTGAAGAGTAACATGTAAATCATTTATTGAAAATGAAATGGGGTTTAACGACCTACTGTTCTGCTCCGACTGGTTTAATGAAGACGGGCATACGCCATACAGTGAGCTATGAAGGAAATTTTCCCCAGGCAGCCTCACTATGGCCTACTCTTATATCGAATTCCAACTGCCAAGGGATCTTTTACGTGCACACCAATGTATACACAGGACCCAATTTTTTTTTCGGACAAACCGAACGACTAGGTCCTTAGGAATTTTTATTGGGACAAAGTTTACCATTTCATCAATCAGACTCTTTCTTGGTGGTTCTGATATTTTGAGAGGTGGAAAGATCGTTAATCTTAAAGATGCATTATGTAAGATTAAGATACAAAGCTGACAGTTCTCAATATAATAGTTTAAAGATACATTATGGGAGATAAGATAAAGAGATGGCAGTTCTCGCTATAATAGTTAAAAACTAGATAGTGTAAAGGTAATTTGCTGATAATTTCAGTCAAATTGATCCACTATGAGCCAAGAACAAAGCGGGTGAAATTTTCGCATAGTCTCGGTCATCATTACTAAAATCATTAATATAAACACCATAGTCTCGATTATCCACTGTTTTGATTTAATTATCAATGGGTGTTAAGCGGCATATAGGAATCTAATCCAGCCAACATCGAAGGCTAGCCTTGACATTGAGAGTTTATTATGGTCTGGATAAGTTAATTAATGTCTAATTGATAATTTAGATAACATTTCCGGCCTAAAGAAAGACCTGTAATAAGCAGATTTTGCTCTTGCATGATGCATGTTTAAATGTAGACAATGAAGAATTTCAGTCAAATTACTTGTTTCTGAACAGAGTTATCAGACTTTGAAGCATTCAAAATATAGTCTTGATTGTCAAGTACCATTTTTAAGGTAATAAAGAAAGTCTCTTTTATCCAGTTTTAAATTAAATGGTGATCCTGTTTCAATCTAATGAAAATTGCGACCATCCGATAGTCTAGAGAGTCGATTATTGGCTTGCCACGTGATAAATTTCCATAAAATTTGAGATCAAAATAAAGTCCTGCAATTGGCAGATTTAATTCTTACATAATGTATCTTAAACTGCAAGGTGAGAGAGAGAGAGAAATGGGGTTTAATGTCCACTTAACACAAATTAGGTCATTTCGGGACTAACACATGGTTTAATTTTATTTCAATAATTTGCTTGCGCGTAGGGGTCTTTAGCAGTGAGAGGAAACCGGAGGTCCCGGAGGAAACCCACGAGGTTGGACAGGCGCCCCTACTCCTTGCCACGTACAACCGGGGGATTCAAAACCACGCCAGTCGACTCAATAACAGACTTTATGATACAGCGCGCGCAAGCTAACCATTCAGCCATCCAACCCCCCCCCCCCCCAACCGGCTAGGTGTTCCAGGGACAAAATCTACGACTTTAGTTTAACCAGACATGCTGTGTGTATATTTAAATTTATCTGGGTATATCTAATATATACCAGGTTTCATCGATATGTGTTTATATTAATTTTTATTATAACCAGAGTATGTTTAATAGATATACATCATACCTATACCAGATCATATAAATATTTCAATTTACCAGGGTATATTTAATATATCATACCTACACCATATTATAAATATATAAACATGCATAATATAATTTATATTGAGTAACAAATAACTATGTGTTGAGGATATATAGTCTTATGTGAAGAGAGAGAGAGAGAGAAATGGGGTTTAACTACACTTGACACAAACTAGGTCATTTTGGGACTAACATATGGTTCAATTTTGTTTCAATAATTCGCTTGCGCGTAGGGGTCTTTTAGCAGTGACGAAGACCTTAATTAGCATATAAAAATTGCAATAAACAACTTAAAAAGTTGTCAAAACTAAATGAACATAGCACCGAGCACTCATAATTTACTCTTATTAGCTGTAGCAATTATTCCAGCACTTGGCAGGTTCCACTAGCTTCAAATAATTGGATATAATAAGCTCAAATGTACAGTTTTCTAAAAAAAAAGCATTTTGGATGCGTGGATAGAGCAAGGTGTATAGCGCTTAATTAAACTAATGCTCCTTACGTGTATTTGAGGGGACACGTTACCCACAAACATACTCTTGACTATAACTTTTGATTGAGCAAAGACAATCAAGTAAAATTGGACAGCTTATGTCCGATTTGAAGTCTGTACAATATCTGTAAATTAATAATATCACATGTTGAAGATGAACCTGGGATTCAACTTACGCTAGGTCTCGTATACTGTCCACTGTAATATCTCCGGTGGTATCTCCTCGTGAATCGTTATGTTGACTGTCGTCTGCTAATCCTATCGTTATATCTGCCGTGCTGTAATTAGCATCGTTCCTGATCAATATAAATATTAGAAAGACGCTACGACTACATCTACGCTACCAACTACAGTCATGCATTGGATTAGTATCGGGTAGTCTACAGTTAATCATACACTTGTTGGTTCAAGCCGATTAAAATACAGATCTATATTTCTTTTCATTTTATACTTTTGATGGCCTACACTACATGAAGATCTGACAAGTTGTACTCGAAGGTCGTGTCAGGGGTAATATGAGTGGCTTTTGGCCCTATGACATCAGACACTGATTTATCGATCAGCGTTGGCGTATCTAGTGGTTTACCCAGAGCTCCGTGCATGGCACGCCAAGAAGTCGCCGTAACAGACTGTTTCATTGGCTTATCCCTCACTTCAAAACGCCGGTAATATAACAACTCTTCCAGATCCTAGTGTAGTAAAGACAAGTAAACGAAATTTTGAGTTATAAAAACAAAACGAAATAGGATCTGTGTTTTAATCATGCACTTGTTGGTTAGTCGACAGTTGATCAATATGTTAGACATTAGTAGGCTACATTTATTATTCAAAAAAATTTTAACGATAGAAATAATTCCATGTTCTGTTTTTACATGTAATTTTATTCTATTTAGGCTTCCACAATAATTTTCCAAACTTACAAAAAAAGCATTATATTCTGGAAGAAATGCTTTGGGACATGGTAATGTCTAATTTTCAATGCAAAAGCAGCAAGCTCAAATACCGATCATGAATATAAAGAAACTGATACAGGCCTAAATAATGATACATTGTTTCAATGGTATTTAGTAATTTCTAAATTGTTTCAATGGCATTTAGTAATTGAACTGGAATATACAGGTCACAATTCCATGGAATACAATTACTGCATATTACTGAGAGACGTTCTCCCGTCAAAAGGCAAAACCTAGTAACTCACTTTTTTCTTATTTTGAGAAAACAAAGTAAAACGTAATGAATGAATATTAAACCCCAGTGATTTCACTATTAAGTTACAAGGTTTTGCTATGATATTCTAGGCAAATGAAGGAAGTTGCTAGGTTGTGTCATGGGTGTAACTGCTTACAAAATAAAAGATCGGAAGATCTAGTACAACAACAGGAAGCACATACCCTAGTAACTACAAATTTGGTCCTAACTCAATTTTGATAAAAAAAAAAAGTGAGTTACTAGGTTTCCCCTTTTGACGGAAGCCTTGCAACTAAAGACTAGAGAAGCCTAGTTGAAACGTTGCTCAGTAATAAGCAGTAATTGTATTCCATAGAATTGTGACCCATGTATATACTAAATAATGATATTTAAAATTTAAAACTATTAGTTAAATTATTATAAACATATATGCTGGTCCATTGTGTTAGGTATTAGGAAATGGATGGGAAGAATAAATAGGCTAAGCACATTGTCAAGCACATACATAAATATATTATTCGTGTCAAACTTCATTAGAATAAATATAACTCAAAATATATATGGCGTTTTTAACAACACGCTTAACCATTCTCAAGTACTACACGTACCAAAAATACATTGCCATCTTATTTGGCAGTTGGCAGTATTTTGCCCAGCCATGATTAAAAGTAATCAAATTGCTCAAAGTAAATTTATCTATTACACTAATTACAGGGTAATCCCCCTTACATTTTCAATATTGTGATCATAATCTTACGAATCTTTAAAAGAAAATCAAAAACTATTTCGTGTGAGATTAATCATGCCTATAATAATTTAATATTAACAATCCAATTAAAACACGGATCCTATCTCATTTCGGTTTTTTTATTTTTATAGTTCAATTTGTCTTTACTGGGGGACCATGTGGCTAAGTGGGTAAGACGCTGGCTCGCTAGCCTGGAGGTCGGGTGTTCGATCCCTGCATTGGCCGGGGAAGTCCATCCAGATTTTCCGGCGTTGTTCCCCCTTGTCAGTGATGCAGGATGGAGATCCTGACAAGGACAGCTGTCTAGTCGTTCGGATGGGACGAAAAACCGAGGCCCCGTGTACACATTGGCATGCACGTAAAAGATCCCTTGACAGTTGGAATTCGATAGAAGAGTAGGCCGAAGTGCCGCTGTCCAGGCCCAGTAAAGGAGCAGAACAGTAGGACGTTAAACCCCATTTCATTTCATTTCATTTGTCTTTACTGCACCAGGATCTGGAAAGAGTTATGTAATCCGCATTCTGGTTGAAGTAAGGGATTAGCCAATCAAACGGTCTGTTACCTTGAGTTTTTGGCGTGAGAAGCAAGGAACTGTGGGTAAACCACTAGAAACACTGATTAATCAATGTCTGACGTCATAAGGTCAAAAGCAACTCGTACGATCCCTGATGCGACCGTCCAGTACAACCAGTCAGATCTTCATGTAGTGTAAGCCATCATTTCGGGACTAACATGTAGTTCAATTTTTTTTCCATAATTCACTTGCGCGTAGGGGTCTTTAGCAGTGGGAGGAAACCGGAGGACCCGGAGAAAACCCACAAGGTTGGACAGGCAACCCTACTCTTTGTCACGTACAACCGGGGAATCGAAACCACGCCAGTTGACTCAATGACAGACTTTACGATACAGCGCGCACGTGCTAACCATTCAGCCATCCGACCCCCCCGTCATGGTCTTCTAATGTAGTAAAGACAAGTAAAACGTAATTTTGAACTTTAAAAAAAAAAACGAAATAGGTTCTGTGTTTTAATCAGATTGATGAATATTATACCTAAAAAAGAATTTTTTTTTTTTTTTTTTTTTGTTATTTATTGGGTTTTTTTTTAACAGAAATCAAACTTACTCGTCAGCTGGGTTATCTGCTTCTGGGTCAGGATCTGGTCTCATTCCTTCTTTTAGATCCAACATACCAAGAGCACATGTCACATGTCTCGGACTTAATGTAATACGATCAAACTCGGATGATGATTTCAGATAAAATGCTTGACCATCTTTTGTAAATATAAATGATGCAATACCACTGAAAAGTAGAAAGAAAATATCTTCAAAGTATTATAATCTCACTACGAAAATGAATATATACTAGAACCGACAGATTTCATTCAAATCGTTGATAAACTCCAATAAAAAAAAATATATCAGAACTCAGAAATTGAAAATTGAAATGTCAAATCACACGAGACAAATGGGTATAATGTCCATTCCACATAAACTTGGTCATTTTGGGACTAACATATTCTATTTCACCGGAGAGAAACAAATGGGGTTTAAACGCCCACTTGACACAGACTAGGTCATTTTGCGACTAACATTGTTCAATTCTATTTCACCGGAGAGAGAAAAATGGGGTTCAACGTCCACTTGACACTTTGTCATTTCGGGACTAACATGGTTCAATTTAAATTCAATAATTTGCTTGCGCGTACGCCGCGTAGGGGTCTTTAGCAGTGGGAGGAAACCGGAGGACTCGGAGAAAACCCACGAGGTTGAACATACAACCCTACTCCTTGTCATGTACAACCGGGGAATCAAAACCACGGCAGTTGACTCAATGACAGACCTTATGATACAACGCGCACATGCCAACCATTCAGCCATCCACCACCCCCCCCCACCCATTTCACCGTAGAAAGGTAGATTGATTGGATTCGCAGACAGTAATTCATAATTGCAAAATTGATCTTGCTGATCTGAAAATCTTTAATTTATTTTGAAGTTTTCTTGTCACCTTGTTAATTTTCTAAAACAATTCATATTCATACAGTTTAATCGTAATTATAATACATAAATTCTTACTTGATGTCTTCTTTACGGATGGCAGTAACATGCATCTGTTGTCGTAATGTTGTTACAGCATAAACTAATATTTCACCCAAGTTACTCAAACATGCAATATCAAACTCACTATAGTTATCAGCTGAAATAAAGTCAATAAAAATAAAACATTCAATACATGTACACGTGTGTACAGCAGAGCTGGCGGAAAATGTCGATATTGCCGATAGTCGAAAATTGATTATCGATACAGTTTTAAAATATTGATTATCGCGAAATTATATGTACTTCACTTGTAAGAGAGAGAGAGAGAAATGGGGTTTAACGTCCACTCGACACAAACTAGGTAATTTCGGGACTAACATATGATTTAATTTTATTTCAATAATTCGCTTGCGCATAGGGGTTTTTTAGCAGTAGGAGGAAACCGGAGGACCCGGAGAAAACCCACGAGGCTGGACAGGCGACCCTACTCCTTGTCACATGTCACTCCTTGTCATGTAACTTTGAATGGTTTGCCCCTTATTTTAACTCTTCATTTCTTTCGTCTTCTCTGTTTCAAAGTCAAACACGTACTTTCCCTTTATTATTTTATCAAGGAATTTGTGAAAAAATGTCTGAAGAGGAAATAACTACATTTTACTCATTACTGTTCAGGTCATAAGCGACAAAGATATGGCGTGCGGTCGCAGTTGTCTTCCAAAAGAAGTTGATCGAGTTTCTTTCTACACCTTAGTTTTGCTACGGAATGCTATTATTTTATTGTCAAAAAAAAAATTCTACATGTATACAGAATATCACACAACATAAAAATTTCCATATAATAGTTATTCATGTACAAGTTATGATTGTTTTCAAACCAATTATAAGTAAAAATAATTTGCCGATATTATCGATTATTGATCGGGGGATGGTCAGCGATAATCGATACTTGAAACAGGATCGATTGCCAGCCCTTGTCTACAGATACTTGCCAAGGAATATATTTGGTTTTTGTGTAAATTACGTGTGGTGCAGTCCCCTTGCACTTACTATTTTAAGGCCACTGAATATCTTTACAAAAGCTCAAATCATTCTTACCACTTTTACTTCTGAAATTAACAAAACCTATTCTTCTAATACGGGAGCCATCTTGGGCTGTGATTTTAGATTTCCATTTTGGTTTTAATGCTGGTAATGTGAATGTCTGAAAAAGATAATAAAATAATAATTTTGTTTGTAATCATTTACAGACAAGTATTTTCTGCTTAATTTTTAGTCAATATGCCTTGAGGGTTTTCATGGGAGCATCTGTGTACACCAAAACTTAAATCAAATTTGTTTCCTAGGAAATGATCAAATATGAGAAATTTATAACAAGCAAATGAAATGAAATGGGGTTTAACGTCCTACTGTTTTGCTCCGAACTGGGCTAATGAAGACGGGCATAAGCCATACAGTGTGCTATGAAGGAAATTTTGCCCGGGCAGCGGCACTACAGCCCACCTTATATCGACTTCTAACTGTCAATGTGTACACGGGATCTCGGCTAACAGTCCCATCCGAACGACTAGACAGCTGTCCTTGTCAGGCCCTCCGTTCTGCATCACTGACAAGCAGAAACCACGCCGGAAAATCTGGATGAACTTTCTCAGCCAATGCTGGGATCGAACATCCGACCTCTAGGCTAGTAAGCAAGCGTCTTACCCACTTAGCCACTGTGACCAGTCCCCCTTCTAATAAGCAAAAGGAACAACTACTACAATAGGTTGATGCATAAATTAAATGTTCAGCAACAACTGGGCTAATGAAGACAAGCATACACCAAACAGTGTGCTATGCAGGAAATTTTGCCCAGACAGCGGCACTATGACCTACTCTTTTTTCGAATTCCAACTGTCAAGAGGACGTTTATATGCACGCTGACGTGTTGCCTACATCCAACACCACTGACAAGGGAGGGGGATAACACCGGAAAATCCTGGTGAACTTTCTAGGCCAACGCCGAGATCGACCACTGTACCTCCAGGTTAGCGATCCACCATTCCTTAATGTGTGTATAGAGTTTCAAAAATATTGTTTATGCGTTATGCACCAGAAATATAACCAGGACAGTAAAACGGACTGACTTTGCTGCCTCAACCACGTTCTGCACATGACAACAAATCTAAATTAACTCTATTTCAATATTACATTTTAAAAATTTCTTAGTGTACCTTTAATTGTTCCTCTGAGCAAATAATAACACTGTGTGGTCCAACCATATCGGCTGCCTTCGCTCGTTCATTCTGTACTTCTAACGGTTCTGGTAAAATCCTCGCTCGACTGTCAATAACAGCCATACTGATAACGGGTGCCCGATGTTTTAATTTAATTTCTTTCGCTAGTTGACATCCGACAGCATCTGATGAACGTTTATCACTGGCTGGTACAGTAAGATTGTAAATGTAGACATGGCCACCATTTGTTCCGACCCATAACGATGGATTGTGTGGAGCACCTGAAACACAAATATTTTAAATTAGTATGTTATCGGTCATTTCAATGTTTTGTACAAGCATTTTTATTGATTTGTCTATTAAAGCTTCAAACATCATGTAAGATTTAGTTAAAGAGCTAGTCATTCTTGCTATAATACATGTAGTTCGAAAACAGATAATGTAAAATGAGTAATTTGAAAATTTCATTCAAATTACTCTATTCGAGCGAAGATATTAGCCTTTGAAGGTTTGACTAGATGTGTACAATAATTTCAACCACCGTACTGGTTGATCCAAGCCAAGTCTCGCTCCTCCATTTTTAGCTTAAATCAAAATATGGCTGATATGTTCTAATCTATTTAATAACAAAGAAATCCAATGCCATCAAGAGTTGATTATGGCCTGGATAAGTTAATTAATGTCTAATTAATAATTTAGAAAACATTTCAGGCCTAAAGAAAGACCTGCAATAGGCAGATTTAGCGGTTGCATGTTTAATAAATAATTTCACTGCTAGTGTGTCAAAACTGACAAGTACCTGATTTTGGACATGTTCATATTTTTAAGATCGCAATTACACAAATCTTTAGGGAGAACTATGAAATGGCTACTGAAGGGCATACACCATGCAGCGTGCTTTGAGGGAAATTTGGCTTTTCCACATTCTTTTTTCAAATTTCAACTGCCGAGGTTCTTACAAGAACCTATCAGCGTATATATATAGGGACCTCAGTTTTCTGTCCCATCCGAATAACTAAGTAATACTAAGTAATACAGGGGGGGGGGGGGGGGGGAGAGTTTAAATCCACTCGACACAAACTAGGTCATTTCGGGACTCACATATTGTTAGTCTTAAGCAGTGGGAGGAAACCTGAGGGCCTGGAGAAAACCCACAAGGTTGGACAGGCGATCCTACTCCTTGTCACATACAACCGGGGAATCGAAACCATGCCAGTTGACTAAATGACAGACCTTATGATACAGCGCGCACATGCTAACTATTCAGCCACCCCACTCCCCCACTCAGTAATACGGAGAACACATAAACTTACCATTAACGATGAATGTGTCTGCGAAATAAATACATCTAACCATAGAGCACATGGAATCTTCGTTACTCCTTGCCTCTATTTGACGTTCTACGGGTTTATGTTCAGGAGTACCTGGTGCTGCTGTGGCTCCTTCAGCTGTTTCTGCTGCCTGCTCAATATGCTGGGTTTCACTGGAAAAAAAAAATTGAAATTCAGTGTAAGAAATTCTATCTATAGATAGAAAATAAAGCCTGACAGGGCCAATGAAGGCAGGCATACACCATACTGTATGCTATGAGGGAAAGTTTGCCCGGACAGTAGCACTACAGCCTACTGTCAACTTGAATTTCAACTGTCAAGGGTTCTCTAAAGTGCATAAAGGACCTCGGTATAAAATATTAATTTTCAGAGGTGAAAGACAGAAATGGGGTTTACCGTCCACTAAACACAAACTAGGTCATTTCGGGACTAACATACCGTTCAATTTTATTTCAATAACTCGCTTGCACGTAGGAGTCTTTGACAGTGGGAGGAAACCGGAGAAAACCCACGAGGTTGGAGGTGACCCTGCCCCTCGTCACTTACAACCTGTTTGAGACAATGACAGTCCTTATGATACAGCGAGCGAGAGAGAGAGAGAGAGAGAGAGAGAGAGAGTTTAACATCCACTCAACACAAACTAGGTCATTTCGGGACTAACATATGGTTCAATTTTATTTCAATAATTTGTTTGCCCCTAGGATTTATTTAGCAGTGGGATTAAACTGGAGGACCCGGAGAAAACCCACGAGGTTGGACAGGCAACCCTACTCCTTGTCACGTACAACCAGGGAATCGAAACCACACCAGTTGACTCAATGACAGACCTTATGATACAGCGGGTGCATGCTAACCATTCGGACATCCAACCACCCGTTATACATAATGTGTTCAGAAAGATGACAAAATATATTGAGAAGCAACCCCCTGTAGCCAGTGAAGACTAGATGAACTCCTTGGTAGTAATAAACATATATATTTGATGTTAGTGTTCAACCTATAAGTACTTTATTTCTAAGTTTATTGTACTTACGTTTTAGCTTTAGCATCCCTAGCTCTGCGTTCAGACCTGCCCTTGCGTAATCGACGGAATGATTCACGTAAAGATTTCTTTAAAGATTTTCGTCTAGACATGGCCGTTTCTGATGTTCCTGTTAAATCTGTTGTAAAAAAAAGATCAAGTTTTTAATAGCAAATAAATAGAGGTTCAATGTCCACTCTAGACACAAACTAGGTATTTTCGGGACTAACATGTGATTCAATTTTATTCTAATATTTCAACGGTGGGAAGAAACTGATTAAATACTGAAATAGATTTGTAGGGTTAAAATTTAGTATTGAAATATACCTGTAGGATTAAGTGTACATCGTGAACTAATTTCTTTCTTTTGAACATAATCATATAACCCAAAACCATGAGCTGTTCCCGCACCAATTCTACAAAATAAATTACACAAATTAATAAAATTTATTTTGAGACAAACACATATGGTTTGTTTTCTTTCTACATTTAAAAGGGCCATGCAGGTTTTGAAAAGATGGATACTTACATCTGCCATTCTGAATGTAAAGCTAGGGCTGTGACAGCTGCTGGTGGATAAAGCTGCATCATTGCGATTGGTTGAAATCCTGCAGCAAACTTAACATCCCCTTCCTTGGGTACGAGAGCTTCGTGTCCCTTCCACACAAAGCTATCACGATCGCTTACTATGTTGACAGTGGTCGATTTAACTTCCTGTTCTCGTTCCTCTCGCTCCATCTGGAAAGTTATGACTTGACCAGCCGTGCCGGCAATGACTAGGGTTTCACTCAGGGGACAAAGGGTGATTTTCTGTATACTCAAACGAGGATCGTCACTGTATGGGTCGAAAGTTCCAACCTTTCTGAATGGAGGCCATTCCTCTTCCTCTTCAGCTGAATTCTGATCGCCAGCCGATATATCAAAATATGAAACGGTTGTTAATTTATATAATAATCGTAGATTGGATGAAGAGGCATCCCAGAATCGTACGGTACCATCTTCATGTCTGCAGAGAGAAACAAACATCTCATAATGATTAATTCCACACAAATCGTCTTAATGGGGACTACATCATTCCTAAGTTCAGAACAGAAACGAAAATGAAATGTGATTTAACGTTCTACTCCTACTGGGCTAATGAAGACAGGCATACGCCATACAGTGTGCTATGAGGGAAAGTTTGCCCTGACAGCAGCACTATGGCTTACTCATATCAAATTCTAACTGCCAAGGGATCTTTCATGTGCCTGTCAATGTGTACACGGGACCTCAGTTTTTTGTCCCATCCTAACGACTAGACAGCTGCAGCAGAAAATGAAATGGGGTTTAACATGCTACTTTTCTACCTCGCTGGAATTTTTCCCCAAGGACTTTCACAGCAAACCCCTGAGGATAGTGTTCTTAACTTTAAAATAATTTACTGAATATGGACTTTCCTGAATAAATTATTATACCACTGTTCCTAACATAAAGCATTGAAGATATAGTATCTACTATGCTATATTAATCTTAGGATATATTATCCCCCTACTAATATTTAGAACTGTTACATAATAATAACATCTAGTGCACAGTAGGGAGATTAAAAACAAATCTGACGGGTCTACTTTCAATTTCCACAATTATTTCACACTTCTTATCAGACTATCTTGTTAGGGGGCCTGACAGGATGGACTGCTTGTGTCACCCAATAGCAGTTGCTGGTCGAGATAATCGTGCATCCCAAAATCCTTCTTTTAAAGCGATAATTTCATATTTTCTAAGAAAGTCAGAACATAATTATTTCTATGTCTTTCGTTCAATAGGTTGTCAACTCACTATTATACGATTATAGGTATTCTTCTCCCTCTTAAAAATCCTTTGACCCCCAGAAATAATAACACAATTACCTCCCTTGTTTTTCTATTCCCCCCCATGGAATAGCTATCTTCAAACGTTTGAATTTAAAGTTGAAAATGATATTTTTGCCAATTTCTCAACTGGCAATAGTGAATTATAGGATTAATAAGATTATTCTTTAACAAGGTAGGACTGTTTATAGATACCATCTATTTTAAGGCTTTATTTTAATCAATTTTAAAAATATAACTTAAAAATATGAAATTGCAGCTTTAACTTTCGTAAATATTCACAGGTTTGAGAGAAAGTAACTGGGGGGTGCTATAAGAGAAAGGAATTGAGAGAATTGAATTCCGGAACTTTTAATCATGTATCTGTTTTTTGATGTGTCAAGGGAGGTAATAATATGAGGAGATGCTAATTGTAGGCCGGTTGGGGTTGTTCCAAAATGGCCACGTTATATAAATGAGTATTTTGGGGAATACTTACCCTAACCCTTTTTTCAGAAGACTGAACTTGGATCCAATTTATCTTGTACCCCTTTTAAAAAGGGTTAGGGTTAGTATTCCCCAAAATACTCATTTATATAAAGTGCCCATTTTGGACACTGAAAATTCCCAAACTTTCCCAACCAGCCTACAATTAGCATCTCCCAATGTTATGTTACAAATGGTAGAAATCCCAAGCTGCTTTCACTGTAACCCAGGTATCATTTAATCTTGTGTATCTAGCACTAAAAATGTGTAAAAAAAAGTTTAAAATCACCATAAATCATCTAATTTGTACTTGTGTCCAGTTTAAAGCTGACCATTCAATTTTAATAAACTGGACACAAGTATAAATTAGATGATTTTTGGTGATTTTAAATGATTTTTACGAATTTTTAAACAAAAATTTGATATTAAACAAATGTGAAAGAAATTAGTGCTAGATACACAAGATTAAATGATACCTGGGTTACAGTGTTTGTACCAGTCAGACAATTGTGGTCAATATGTCAACTTGAACTATTTATGGACCAAGTAATCTGATTGAATGAAACAACTTACCCAGTTAATAAAATAGCTTTACTGGTTGGATCTTTAGATAAACTTCTACCTCCATTAATAGGCCATGTCTACAAAAACAAATACACATATTACACAACACAGAAGTGAAATGGGCTTCAACGTTCTACTGTTCTGCTCCAATTGGGCCAAAGAAGACGGGCATGCGCCATACAGTGTGCTATGAGGGAAATTAAGAGGGAAATTTTGCCCGGGCAGTGGGACTATCGCCTACTCTTGTATCAAATTCCAACTGCCAAGGGATCTTTTACGTGCATGCCAATGTATACATGGGACCTCCGTTTCTCATCTCATCCGAATGACTAGACAGTTGTCCTTGTCAGGCCCTCCTTCCAGCACCACTGACAAAGGGGAAACCACGTCGGAAAGTCCCGATGAACTTTTTCTGCGAATGCAGGGATCGAACACACAACCTCTAGGCTTATTAGCCCATACAATAAAACAGTTCAGACAAGCCTTCAAAAAATTCTGAAGGGGGAACGTGGATTTTTGGGGGTTTTGTGATTTCAGCTTTTAAACAATGATATTTTATATTAAACATTTCTCGTGAAATGAAATGGGGTTTAATGTCCTACTGTTCTGCTCCTATACTGTGTTAATGAATACGGGTATACGCCATACAGTGTGCTAAGAGGGAAATTTTGCCCGGGCAGTGGGACTATCGCCTACTCTTATATCGAATTCCAACTTCCAAGGGATCTTTTACGTGCATGCCAATGTATACATGGGACCTCCGTTTCTCATCTCATCCGAATGACTAGACAGTTGTCCTTGTCAGGCCCTCCTTCCAGCACCACTGACAAAGGGGAAACCACGTCGGAAAGTCCCGATGAACTTTTTCTGCGAATGCAGGGATCGAACACACAACCTCTAGGCTTATTAGCCCATACAATAAAACAGTTCAGACAAGCCTTCAAAAAATTCTGAAGGGGGAACGAGGATTTTTGGGGGGTTTGTGATTTCAGCTTTTAAACATTGATATTTTATATTAGACATTTCTCTTGAAATGAAATGGGGTTTAACGTCCTATTGTTCTGCTCCTATACTGGGCTAATGAAGACGGGCATACACCATACAGTGTGCTATGAGGGAAATTTTACCCGGCTGCTCTTATATCGAATTCCAAATGCCAAGGGATCTTGCATTCAATGTATACACGGGACCTCGGTTTTTTCGTGACGTTCGAAGGACTAGACAGCTGTCCTTGTCAGGCCCTCTGTTATGCACCACTGACAAGGGGAAACCACGTCGGAAAATCTGGATGAACTTTCTCAGCCAATGCAGGGATCGAAGACATTTCTCTTACCCTGGGTGAAAAGTTCTTTAATTGAGCCTCTCCTACATCATTAATCTTCTGCCATAGCTGATCTGGAACGTTTGCGATATGTTGAGAACAAGTGATAGCGGAGGAATGGATGCTGTTTAAATATGGTAGTCTGAACGTCGGCCAGTTGACAGAATCAAGATCTATAGCTACTATTTCTTCTTCTGCTAATACAACTAAACTGTGGGGTTCATCATTATCTGCATAATAGAAATTATAAATCACATAAAGGTACATATTCCTGAAGCAACGACCGTAAGTTTTATAACATCTAGACGTTGCTAAATTGGCATCAATACTATATACCGGAAAACACCATTTTATACTGAATACCGGAAAACACTGGAAAAACACTAAATACCGGAAAACACACTAAATAGGTTACCCAGAGACTGGCACCCTAAATAGGTAACCGGGAGCCTGGTCCTCTGTGTGCCTGGGTTAGGGTTAGTTTCAGGTTTATAGTATAGCCCTTCTGCGGGTTATCTATTTAGGGTGTTTTCTGGTATTTAGTGTGTTTTCCGGTATTTAGTGTTTTTCCGGTATTCAGTATAACATGGTGTTTTCCGGTAAATAGTATAGCCCCTAAATTTTCCTGTAACTCACGAACTTATAGCTACGTTATCTACCTTTATCGCCGACACATGAACAGTAGAGACCAATCAGGCTTTGACACAAACACTCAAATAAAACATGGCAACCTCCATGGAAACCTCCATGGAAACCTTGATATTGAACTTTGCAACTCGATTATCACAGGTAGACATTCTCTTCGAAACGTCGCCCAAATGAATAAGTAGCTGTTTTTCCATAAGTATGTGTTATAGTTTATTGCACTATCCAGTTACTAAATGCCTCTCAAAGATTATTATCAAATGAAATGAAATGGAGTTTAACGTCCTACTGTTCTGCTCCTAACCTGGGCTAATGAAGACGGGCATACGCCATACAGTGTGCTATGAGGGAAATTTTGCCCGGACAGCGGCACTACGGCCTACTCTTATATCGAATTCCAACTGCCAAGGGATCTTTTACGTGCACGCCAATGTGTACACGGACATTGGTTTTTCGTCCCATCCGAACGACTAGACAGCTTTCCTTGTCAGCCTCTCCGTCCTGCATCACTGACAAGGGAGTTTTTATCAAATTAATATTGTACCTGAGCGATCATCTGGAGTATCGCTTTCATCAGCTCTTGATAAAATAATAAAATCTATAATTCTTGATGTAAAATCAAATACAGTGTGGTTCTCTCCCTGCATCACGGTAACGGTATGTTTATCACCGTAACTAGCTCTCGGCATACCACCAGAAAATATCAGGAATGGATCGCTGAAATAACAGAATCGTGTTAATAATTGGGGTAACCTTGTTAATGACAAAGCGGCAAGACTATATACCGGAAAACACCCAGAAAACACCATGTTATACTGAGTACCGGAAAAACACTAAATACCGGAAAAAACACTAAATACCGGAAAACACACTAAATACCAGAAGACACCCTAAATAGGTAACCCAGAGCCTGGTCCTCTGTTTGCGGGGAGTTAGGGTTAGGGTTAGGTTTTTCCGGTGTTTTTCAGAGGACCAGCAGTGGGTTAGGCTTTTCCGGTGTTTTCCTGAGGACCAGGCTCAAGTTTCCTATTTAGGGCGTTTTCCGGTATTTAGCGGTATTTAGTGTGTTTTCCGGTATTTAGTGTTTTTCTGGTATTTTCCGGTATTCAGTATAACATGGTGTTTTCCGGTTGTTTTTCAGTGTTTTCCGGCATATAGTATTGCCCTGACAAAGTGCACATACTATATTATCGGGTTAATGATAATCGATGTGACGTGTACATACTATAATTGTGTTAATGATAATCAGGGTACACGAGAAGCATGTAGGGGTCTTTAGCTGTGGGAGGAAACCGGAGGACCCAGAGAAAACCCACCAGGTTAAACAGGCGACCCTACTCCTGTCATGTACAAGCAGGGAATCGAATCTATGTGACTTAACTCAATGACAGACAATATGATGTAGTGAACACACCTTTAATCCATTCGGCCACCCAACACCCTGTCTATCATTATATAACACATGACACTATTTTATGGAATACAAGTTACTTGAAGAAGGGGAGAGAGAGAGAGAGAGAAATGGGGTTAAGTCCACTGTCCACTGACACAAACTAGGTCATTATCAAGAGAGAGAGAGAGAGAGAGAGAGGTCATTTTGGGACTAAAATGGTTCAATTTTTTATTTCAATAATTTGCATGCGCGTAAGGGTCTTTTAGCAGTGGGAGGAAACCGGAGGACCCAGAGAAAACCCACGAGGTTGGACAGGTGGCCCTACTCCTTGTCACCTACAACCGGAAAATCAAAACTACGCCAGTTGACTCAATGACAGACTTTAAGATACAGCGTGCACACGCTAACCATTCAGCCATCCAACCCCCCTCTTTACCAAGCAATGAAAGACAACCATAGTACAATGAAGATATATATAAACAAAATATGGAACAAAGATAAACATCTATATATACAATCAGAGATTCCATATAATTGTGTCATTTGTTATTCTCATCCAGTTACTAAATGCCACTTAAACAATTTAATCATTTGTCCAATATAAAACCCAACTTGCTTAATTATTTCAAAAGGAGATTTTTATTTGGACAGCGTTTTTCAACATTTCTTAAAAATCAAATTGCCAACGGTTCTTTTATGCGCGCTGATACTCTGTATATTAAACCTCAGCTTTCTGTGCCACCCAAAAGATTTGAGGCAATGAAATGAAATGGGGTTTAAAGTCCTACTGTTCTGCTCCTATACTGGGCTAATGAAGACGGGCATACGCCATACAGTGTGCTATGAGGGAAATTTTGACCGGGCAGCAGCAATATCGGCTACTCTTATATCGAATTCCAACTGCCGAGGGATCTTTTACGTGCATTCTAATCTATACACGGGACCTCGGTTTTTCGTATCATCCGAAGGACTAGACAGCTGTCCTTGTATTTGGGGCAATTTCCTTGTCAATTACAGATAGTGTTATAACAGAACCCATTGTGTATAATGTAAGAGGACTCAGTGGACCCAACATTACATAAAATTTTACGGAGGATTCTACTTACGCTTTGGCCGTTTTACGTTCTAATTTGGTAATGGCTTTACAAGGGAATGGTCCGTATGGAGTTTGTTCTTCCTTGGCTTTTGATGCATCACTGACACTCCAAATACTATAACTACCATCGGAATGAGCAGATGTAAATTCTGTTCCGTTGCGATGCCAAGTTAAACTCTCTAGTTGCTGAAAACATGATTTTTTGTTAATAAAAAGTATAAAGTTTACCTGTCGGTTTCTATCAACAGGTTAGCAGTTAAAACTGGTCAAGGTAAAAAAGAATATAGTACAGAATTGGTTTCACCTAATGTATTATTTCAATTAGTGATGGGACAAGTTCTATGCAACTCATTTATTAATTTATTTGACTAAAATCATTATTATACACAATGTTAACTTGTATTACACATACAACTTAGATATCTATGACCTACAGTACAGAAGTCAAGAGTTTTACTGAAACAGGAAAACAATAAATGATTTCCATCGCTAGTTTCTAAGAATTATCAACACGTCATTTTGTTGATATTTATTTCACAAGCCATATTTAAATACTTGGCAGGTCAGATCTGGCCTGCGGGTCGTATGTTTGATACCCCTGCTTTAAAGATACATTATGGGAGATTCGATAACAAGTTGGTAGTTCTCACTATCATAGTTAAAAACTAAATAATGTAAAGGCAATTTGCTGAAAATTTTATTCAAAATGATCCACTATGAACCAAGAACTAAGCAATTGAAATTTCCGCCTAGCCTCGGTCATCATTACTAAAGTCAGTATGATAAACAGCATAGTCTCGATTATCTATTTAATCGTTAAATCGTGAAGGAAAGTTATGCAGTAAATCGGCTCATAATCCACTAAAGATCGCAGGCTTGCGATTCCATCTAGAGTTGATTATGTCTGGATAGGTTAATTAATGTCTAATAATTTAGATAACTTTTCAGGCTTAAGCATGCATTATGCAAGAGCAAATTCTGCTTATTACAAGTCTTTCTTTAGGCCTGAAATGTTATCTAAATTATCAATTAGACATTAATTAACTTATCCAGACCATAATAAACTCTCGATGTCAAGGCTAGCCTTCGATGTTGGCTGGAATAGATTCCTATATGACGCGAACGGCCGTTGATAATTAAATCAGAAAAAGTGGATAAACGAGACTATGCTGTTTATATTAATGATTTTAGTAATGATGACCGAGACTAAGCAAAAATTTCACCCAATTCTTCCTCGGCTCATAGTGGATCAATTTGACTGAAATTTTCAGCAAATTACCTTTACACTATCTAGTTTTTAACTATTATAGTGAGAACTGCCATCTCTTTATCTTATCTCCCATAATGTATCTTTAAAGAAAGACCTGCAATAGCCAGATTTAGTTCTTGCATAATGTATGTTTAAACAATACGTCCACCCAACAACATCTCTAATGTATAATAATGATACTTACCCGTGACACGTTATAAGTCTGATTAGCATTACTTTCCTTATTATCCCATAATACTATTAAACCACGATTATAGCCAATCAGAAACTTATCTGGATTGGTAGGATGTACTGCAATGGCTTCAACTGCTCCAGGGTTAACTTTAAAATCATCTGGAACACTACAATAAAATAAACAATACAGATGGAGAAAAAAATTGTATTTCTTTAACCAAATTTCTTCGGCCTTCAAATCAAATTATATAAAATACAGTCCTACGAGCCTAAAGGATTTTTTTTTTTTGTAACACATTAATAATTATCAAAATTTCTACCTCATTCGTATAATGAAATAAAATAGGGTTTAACGTTTTATTATTTCTCGGCAGCAACTGGACTTGTGAAACAGCTATATGCCGTGCACAGAGTTTAACGAAATTTATAGTTAACAGAACCGACCTTAGGCATATGTACTGCAGCATGCCATCTCATGTACTGTGTGGATCGAAAATGAAATGAAATGGGGTTTAACGTCCTACTGTTCTGCTCCTATACTGGGCTAATGAAGACGGGCATACGCCATACAGTGTGCTATGAGGGAAATTTTGCCCAGACAGCAGCACTATCGCCTACTCTTATATCGAATTCCAACTGCCAAGGGATCTTTAACGTGCATTCCAATGTATACATGGGACCTCGTTTTTTTGTTTCATCCGAAGGACTAGACAGCTGTCCTTGTCAGGCCCTCCGTTCTGCACCACTGACAAGGGGGAAACCACGTCGGAAAATCCAGATGAACTTTCTCGGCCAATGCAGGGATCGAACACCCGACCTGCAGGCTAGCGAGCCAGTGTCTTAACCACCTAGCCACCGTGTGGATCGAACCGCAGTACGAAATTTGAAGTACTGTGAACCGAACCGTGGCATGTATATCGTTGCATCGTTGGAAATAGTGCCACAGCCTACCCATATTTCTATTATACTATTCAAAAAAAGTAGGGGATATTTGATTTTTAAGTGTTATTAAAGTCACCTAATGAAACTGACGAAGAAACAAATGACAAAATGAAATGAAGTTCACATTCATCGATTTATTCCAAATGATCGTTAGACTAAGTAAGGCACAGACTGACCATTATAAGGGTAAAATGATACCCGGGGTCAAACAGAAAAGTTACCACAGCATCACAACCAAGTCAGTAACGGGTAAATCCTCCTCTGTTTGCCAAACAAGCATTGATCCGACGTGGCATACTCCTAATGAGACGTCTAAGGTAATTTTGGTTCAGATTGTCCCATTCCTGTTGCAACGCAGCAGCAAGTTCTTGGACATTGGCAGGACGTTGTTGACGTTGACGTAACCTCTGTCCAAGCATGTCCCAGACATGCTCGATGGGGGAGAGGTCGGGACTCAGTGCTGGCCAAGGTAATGTGGTGATGTTCTGTTGTTGGAGGTAACCTGTAACGATCCTGGCCCTGTGACATCTTGCGTTGTCATCCTGGAAGATGAAACGGCGGCCATGACGTCGTGCGAACGGCACAACATGGACTGCCAAGATGTTGTCCCGGTAGTACTGGCCTGTAACACGCCCTGCAACAACATGTAAAGCCGTTCTTCCAGCAACAGTGATGCCTCCCCACACCATAACAGAACCACCCCCAAATCGATCATGTCTGATGACGTTAACGTCTTGGAAGCGCTCGTTTCGACGACGCCACACCCTCCTACGTCTGTCCAAAAAATCAACGGTGAACCTTGACTCATCTGAAAACATCACATTGCTCCAGCGTCGATTATCCCAGTGTTGACGATCCCTACACCAACGACGTCTTGCCTGAATGTGATGATCTCTCAAACAAGGGATCACGCGAGGACGTCGGGCGCGAAGGTGACCCCTATGCAGTCGATTCCGAATCGTCTGGCCACTCACTCTCACACCAGTGTCTGTTTGAAGACGAGCGCTGATCTGATTTGCTGTGATGACACGATTTCTCAAGGCCAAGGTACGGATAAATCGATCCTGGGCTTGAGTTGTCGCCCTTGGTCGACCTGAGCGTGGTCTGTCCTGTACAGATTGTGTATCACGGTATCTGGACCATAGCCTGCTTATAACAGACTGAGAAACATTCATCGTCCGCGCCACAACCGCCTGTGTTGTGCCGATCTGTAGCATGCCAAGGGCACGTAACCTTTCATTTTGGGTAAGCCGACGCATATCAAAATTTGTTTTCTGGTCACTAAAACAATTAAACTGATGTTTCCACCCTGGAATTCAATGCCACAATGACTGTAACATTCAAAGTCAGAGTCGTGCAAATCTTGGGTTGGACCCCCATGATGATCCCAAGCATCACCTGCATTCCATGCGGTAGCTATTGGTGCGTTTGGGCGTCACATGTAACTGGAAATGTTTCTTCTGTTAGGTTCTATAGTGACTTTTTTCGTAGTCATTTGCATATTTTAGTATTATGCCCCCAAAATCAAATATCCCCTACTTTTTTTGAATAGTATATGATCTTTAAGATTCTGGTAATTTCAAAATGTTCACAAATTCAAATTTTTTAAATTAGTTTATTACTTTTTCACTTTGGCTGGCAAATTTAAAGCAAAATTAGTTTGGGATAATTTTTTGACTTACTTCTGCATAACAACATCTTGGTATATGACTTGTTCACTGAGTGAGAAGTCTTTGACATCCAGTATCTGTATATTACCACCTTCAGTACCGAGAAATAACTGTTCACCATTAACCGATAGACAACATGTAGAAACAGACTTAGTTTTACTGGAAGAACAAGACAAATTATTTAATTAGACATTGAGATTTTGGTCAAACGACTTTTCCTAGACAAGCCTGGACTTCAGTCACCTGTGAGACTTTGTCAGATACATATTATCCATCACGTAACGTTTTTATTATAATATATACATTATGTGATGTTTGTCTGACAAATTCCTGACGTGTACCTGCCCACCCTTGTATATATATTATGACAAAGTTTGTGAAAGGTATCTGATGCCCACCTGTGTATATACATTATGTGATTTGTACCTGAAATATCTGACAGGTACCTGATGTCAACTCTTGTAGATATACATTGTGATAATTTGTACCTGAAATGTCTGACAGGTGTCCTATGTCCAGGCTTGTATAGATATATATAATATATATGTTGTGTGATAATTTATACTTATGATGTCCAGGATTGTATATACAGTAAACTTTGCATAAGTCGGATCTAAGTGGACTGGCCAATTTTATCCGAGTTAAGCAAAGATCCGAGTTAGCCGAAGATGTGTAGCAGACAAAGTCTGTGACAGGTGCCCTATGTCTAGGCTTGTATAGATATTATATATATATATATATATATATACACGTTGTGTGATAATTTGTACATGAAAAGTCTCTGTCAGGTGCCTTATGTCCACCCATGTATGAAAACTTGAAAAGTTTGGTACAATTGTCTTTATGCCCAGGTTTGTTCATGGGGTAAGAAAGTTGGACCATGTCCAAAACAACCTTCTGGTTTTCAGCAAGCTTCAGCAAATCGATTCCAGCAACAAAACAGACTGCCCCAGAGGTCCGGTTCCGAGATTGTACCAGGATGTTTTTACTCTTTGTTTCGCTGGACACAAATCAAATGAGCTGAGAAAAACTAAATAAATTTCTGAATTTGAATGTTTTTATTGGGTTTTTTTTCAAATCTGTGAACTAACAATCTGTTTGAATTGACACAAATTCAGTCTAAAGCTTGTGCGTTTCTGCTGCCTTGCCGCTGTAATCGATGAGAGAGAGAAATGGGGTTTAACATAAACTCGACAACTAGGTCATTTTGGGACTAAAATATGGTTTAATTTTATTTCATATATTCGCTTGCGCGTAGGGGTCTTTAGCAGTGGGAGGAAACAGGAAGACCCGGAGAAAACCCACAAGGCTGGACAGGCAACCCTACTCCTTGTCACGTACAACCACGGATTCGAATCCCTGTGAGCTGACTCAATGGCAGACCTTATGATACAGCGCGCACATGCTAACCATTGGCAATCCAAAATCCCCTGTAATCGACGCTCGTATAAAAGTCTACATAGATAATGTGCTTTATTCAATATCAGATTAAACAATCTTCACTGTCTAGTGATTCATGCATCAATTTATTCCTGTAATAATTTCCACTTGACATTTACCACACCTATCAAACGATTCGAAAATAAAAGGAGATTATTCAACTTATTTTAATGCATGTAATTTGATATTTATTGTACAGCTGTATATTTTAATACGACAATAACTTGTATTAATAATTGACTAGGTGTGAATCATACACCAACAGGTGGTACAGTATAATTACTATATAAATGTATGTTAGCATACCATCAGAGAATATGAAATGTTGTTCACTGTCCTGCACCGACTAGGCTCATGAAGACAGGCTGCAGGCACCATACAGTATTTTAGCATACCATCAGAGAATATGAAATGTTGTCCACCGTCCTGCACTGACTGGGCTAATAAAGACAGGCTGCAGGCACCATACAGTATTTTAGCATACCATCAGAGAATATGAAATGTTGTTCACTGTCCTGCACCGACTAGGCTCATGAAGACAGGCTGCTGGCACCATACAGTATTTTAGCATACCATCAGAGAATATGAAATGTTGTTCACTGTCCTGCACCGACTAGGCTCATGAAGACAGGCTGCTGGCACCATACAGTATTTTAGCATACCATCAGAGAATATGAAATGTTGTCCACTGACCTGCACTGACTGGGCTAATAAAGACGGGTTGCAGACACCATATAGTATATGTTAGCGTACCATCACGGCTTCTTTTACATTTTTACATGCAAGCCAATGTGTACAGGGGACCTCGGCTTTTATCCTATCTGAACGACTATACGTTGTCCCTTTGCCAGGGACCACTGACGAGGGGGAACCACAAAGGCAAATCCAGATGAACTTTTTCAGCCAATGGAGGGATGAAACACGCGGACCTCTAGGTCAGCAAGCCAACGTCTTATTTATTGAGCCAAGGAAAAAAAATGTCTGGCATTACTCAACTATAGATACCAGTAGTAGTTCACAAAAATATGTGTGAAGGCAATCTAACAGAAAAATGGGGTTTAACTCCACTCGACACAAACTAGGTCATTTCGAGACTAACATATGGTTTTAATTTTATTTCGATAATTCGCTTGCACATAGGGGTCGTTAGTAGTGGGAGGAAACCGGAGGACCCAGAAAAAACCCACGAGGTAGGAACGGCGACCCTACTCCTTGTCACGTACAACTGGGGATTCGAAACCACGCCAGTTGACTCAATGACAGACCTTATGATATAGCGCGCACGTGCTAACCATTTGGCCATCCAACCCCCCAAAGTCAATATAAGGCTGCCTAATATAGTTTTTCTGAGTACAACATTCATTAAATCAAAACTTGCCAGTAATAATAATCGAGGGAATTAGTTTTATGAAGTAATATGAACTGGTCATGTTTGGGTGGGAAGTAAAATGTCGAGTGGACGATGGATTAACTTCTAACTGCTGGTGTTTTCACACAACTTAAACCACTTTACACAAGTAAACAATCAATAGAAATTGGATTCCTGTCAGGAAAAACAACACTTCAAGACAGAATTTTGTTATATTATTAACCTCATATACAAACAAACCACATATAGTTTGCATGCATTGAAAACTGAAAGCACACTACGTGTAGTTTAATGGTACTGCACGAAGGCATAAGTCTGAGGGCTGTATCAATATATTACACAATGTCTTGCTCAGGACTATTAAACAACTCAAAATCCTATCCTGCACCTACATTTCAATGAAATCATTACACTAGTCTCAATAGTTCTTCTAGTATAAAATAATATATGGTTAGCATTGTGAAATAATGGTTTGTCAACATCAAAGAAAGACCTGCAATGGGGGGTGGGGGTGAGAGATAGAGAGAAATGGGGTTAAACGTCCACTCGACACAAACTAGGTCATTTCGGGACTAACATAGGGTTCAATTTTATTTCCATAATTTGCTTGCGCGTAGGTCTTTAGCAGTGGGAGGAAACCGGAGTGCCTGGACAAAAACCCACGAGGTTGGACAGGCGATCCTACCAGGGCTGCGGACAACCAGTATCGCAGCGCAATTTGAAATACACATTTTGTCCGTTGCTAATCAAAAATTAAAATTTAACGTTTTTGATTCGCAGTAACTGCGAATCATTAATATGCCTGTCATTTTGGATTTATCCACATTTCTCAACACTTTCAACGTGTATAAAATATCAAATAAATTTTATAAACAAAACGGAATTCTCCGTGTGACATTTTCTTCTCGAACTACCCAGACTCAATTCATTATACTGTGTAATACAGGGACCTAACTCTATGAATCGGGTCTATTAAACCGGAAATAGGGAATCAAGTAGTACCACTCACATTGCGAGACATGTCAATTTCGAGTAATTATTTCAGTATTCAATTTGAAAAAAAATAAATTCAGTGTATCCCACACGTATTGTAAATAAAATATAAAAAATAAATACGTGTAAACGTATTGTAAAATGAGAAATCAAAGCAAGAATTCCTGTAAACTATTATTGTTTAAATCGCGTGCGTCTAGTTAATTGAGATTATTCGTAAAATACTGCGTGCTTCCGATTGAACAAAAATAATAACACACGATAAAAAGCAGACGAAAATGTTTTCTAACGAAGAAATAAGAAGCCACTGCCAAGAATTGGCTTCAGACATAAGGCCTAACCAAAAGTCTACATTCATTCAGAAATGTTCACAGCTACCTGTAGAAGTGCTAAAATTCTAAACTAATCTTAAGAATGAAATCTAATCATTTGCTATCAATTAAAATTAAAATAATCTTGTTATTTAGGTGTTTTATGTTGAAACTGAAAAACTGCTAATCAATTTTTAAATTTGCTAATCAAATTTGGCCAAATTGGACTTTTTGATTAGCAGTGCTGCTAATCATCTGTGAAAAATTACCGACAGCCCTGGATCCTACTCCTTGTCACGTACAACCGGGGAATCAACTGCAATGGAGAGAGAGAGAAATGGGGTTTAACGTCCACTCGACACAAACTAGGTCATTTTGGGACTAACATACGGTTTATTTATTTATTTCAATAATTTTAGCAGTGGGAGGAAACCGGAGGACCCGGAGAAAACCCACGAGGTTGGACAGGCGACCCTACACCTTGTCACGTACAACCGGGGATTCGAAACCACGCCAGTTGACTCAATGACAGGCTTTATGATACAGCACGCACGCGCTAACCATTCGGCCATCCAACCCCCCGCAACTGCAATGGATAGACTTAGCTCTTGCATAATTTGCATGTTTAATACATGTCTGGAACAAAGTCAATAATGTCCGATACTAGGTTAGTAGTACATGTACAACCAATATAATTAAATCCCGGCCTGACCCCGAGTTCACAAAGCATTCTCAGACTTAAGTTGAGAATTTACTCAACTTTAAATCACTGTTTATGAGAAATATCCTTGATCCATAAACAAAACTTATTGATGTATTTGATACAAAAGTTTTATAAAGGGCTATATTTTAGTTAAAATAACGGAAACAATTTTGAGTAATTAGACTACAATATTATACGGTCATTTTTACTACACTATACTGTGCCTACTCAACTAGAGACGTTTAAAATTGTATGTAGTTCAACCCACTTAAAATTCTGAAAGCAAGTGATTGTTGACTTCCACATAGTTCATAGTTCAATTCACTCCACATGGATTGAACACAAAATCCTGAGAATACAAATGTGTTGACAGACTCGTGTTGATGTTAGACCTCACGACATATTTAGCATTTACATCCTAAAACCAAACATTAAATCCTAAATATAACTAATATTCCTTCCCCCCACCCCCACAAAAGAGAAATTGGGTTTAACATCCACTCGACACAAACTAGGTCATTTCGAGACTAACATATGGTTCAATTTTTTATTTTCAATAATTTGCTTGCGCGTAGGGGTCTTTAACAGTGAGAGGAAACCGGAGTACCCGGAGAAAAACCACAAGGTTGGACAGGTGACCCTAGTCCTTGTCGAATACAACTGGGGAATCGAAACACCATTTGACTCAATGACAGACCTTATGATAGAGCGTGAACCGCTAACCATTTGGCCATCCATCACAAAATGAATTCAAATCCAGTATATTTCACAGGCTAGCGATGGCATCGAGAGTTGATTATGGTCTGGATAAGTTAATTAATGTCTAATTAATAATTTAGATAACATTTCAGGCCTAAAGAAAGACCTGCAATAGGCAGATTTAGCTCTTGCATAATGTATGTTTAATTTGCATGCAGCGTTACATGTGAAATATTTGAATCGAAAATCTTGAACTCTTAAGAGCTGTCAAGAAGTCAAACCCTAACTTAAATTGAGGTCGCCCAAGGCGAAACCAATTACATAACCAGTTTCTCTACCTAGTGTTAGTAAAATTCAAGTAGATTTCAATATTTACCTTTCTACTTTACTCAAGCATGAAAACCAGTCATTTAAGTTTGTTTATATTTAAACTCATAACAGGTGGTTGTGACCCAGGTAACAATTGTTTAATAATATTTACTAAGCAGTTTACATAGCCTACTCAAGGTGTTGAACAAGGTGAAAATCTTATCAATTGAAATGAAATGGTGTTTAACGTCGTACTGTTGAAGATATGCTGTGTAGGAAATTTTACCCGGGCAGTGGCACTACAATCCACTTTTATATCAAATTCCAACTGTCAAGGATTCTTTTACGTGCACGCCAATGTGTATATATATATATATATGCAAACGACTGTTCATTTTTCATTGCTGGGCCCTCTGTAATTATTCACAAATGAAAAATCCTGAGGAGACAGAAATGGGGTTTAACGTCCACTCAACACAAACTAGGTCATTTCGGGGCTAACATATAGTTCAATTTTATTTCAATAATTCACCAGTTACTCAATGACAGACCTTATGATGCATTCGGATATCCCCCCCCACCCCCAAACTATTTTGAGAGATGAATAGTCAATTATAAAGATAGATAAATGCTATTTACCTGGTTTCAACATTGTAAGATTTAATTTCTTCTAGCACTGTTTTACCACCTCGTACATTCGTCTCCCAAAGATGTAAAGAATTATCACTACAAAAACTCACTAATCGAGACTGGAAAAAAAAACACAAAGTGTCACTTTAATTTTATGAATGAGAAGGCTGGAGGGGAAGTGTGTGTGTGTGTGGGGGGGGGGATCCCACTCGGCAAACCTCAGCAAATTCCAGTACCCTACATCTAGCCTCGGCTATATGACGAAGTACATGTACGCCATCGGAACTACTTTCAAGTTCCCGGATTACCATCGGCGTTGCCCATGAAGACGCCTTTGAAAGATGTTTTATCATACAAATATTTCAAAGTCTGAAGCTGTTTTTCTTTCAAATTTCGCACTGAAAATTCTACACACGCGCAATTTTGATAACACCTTTTTAAAAGCAATAAGTAAACTGTATAGGTGTAGGTACATACACATGTACATGTATAACTTAGTCATACAGCCGAGGCTAGATGTAGGGTACCGGAATCTGCCGAGGTTTGTCGAGTGGGGATCCATGCAAGATATACCCACATTTTGCAAGGACAAGCTAAAACGCGATTTTACGTACAATTAGGGGCCATAACCCATGAAGTTACTGTCCGATACATTGCCAATATCGAAAAGAACCAATTCTTTGGGACATAAACCCATATTTCAATTTCGTCAAAATCAGATTAAAATTGTGACTTGTAGAGTGTCCACAAACAAAATGTGAATGGACAAATGAACAGGGGCACCAATAATATACATATACGCCCACATCAAAATGTGGGCATATAAAAACTGGGTGTCAACTATATACATGTATCACATATGCTTTATGAATGAAAAGGGTGGGGAACATGTCCATTAACAAATTAACCCTTTAAATTTCAAGATTATTTTGGGGTTTCAACTAGGAAAAGCATATAGTTAAGAATATATCCTGCAATTCTTTAAATTGAAGAATAAATCATACAAATGTATATATTTTTGGAAAGATCTTGAATTCCTCTATTCAGTGGTATAAAATATTTAACGACATGTATGTCATTTTTACTTATAGGTCATGAGCTGCAAAATGTCCTCCTGATTAACGTTCCGTCTGACGGTTAAAGGGTTAATATAATATCTTTCGGACATTTTTAATTCTCTTGCATTAATTAAGATTTTATAATGATTTACAGTATAACCAATATCTACAATTTAATTGCTGATTCATACATGTATAATGATAATCAAAACAGACTCCCAGTTTTCATTAACAGTGTAGTTGACAAAACAAGTTACCTTTGCTACAAGTAAATAGTCATTAAATTCATAGTGTGTATAATTTCAAAACTTATGTAAACGAGTCAACGGAGTGCATTCAAATACATGTACATGACTTGACTTTACATTAACGTTTTTTCAAGTCAACATAAATTACATCTAAACTAACCTGTTCTGGTAAGAAAAATAACTGGACAACTGTGACATCTTGATCATGTTGTGCTGTGAATTCTACTCCTGGAGAACCTAGTCTATCATCTAGTCAAGGTCATTAAAAAAGAAATTTATTCATCCATAGTATAATGTACATGTTCATACTAAACTCAAGACTCTACAATTACCTCTGTTTGAGAACAGACTAAGCTAGTTGACTGACATTCAAGTCCTAACAGACGATTTTAGTTCAAAATATTAAAAGCATTAATTTAATGTATTTCAGGGATTTTTGGGAAGTTTTATTCCGCTTACATTTAATAAAACTGAAAAGGTTTATTTAGTCTTGAAAACGTTGAGAGAATACTCTTCGAAACGTCGCCTAAATAATTCAGTAATAGTTCTTCCATAAATTAAATATGTTTATAGTTTATTTATCTGGTCAGTTACTAAATGCCACTTCAAGAATAGAATATCGAAGTAGGTAGTTCTGTGTGCAGAATGGTGCATACTATGATCTTTTTCTATGGAATTCACTACCATTGTAATCAGACGACAATTGTCATATCGAATGCTAATTTTACTATTAGGACCCTTTTATGTTGCATAATGTATGTATTTTATGTTGCATAATGTATGTATTTTATGTTGCATAATGTATTTTATGTTGCATAATGTATGTATTTTATGTTGCATAATGTATGTATTTTATATTGCATAATGTATGTATTTTATGTTGCATAATGTATGTATCTTATGTTGCATAATGTATGTATCATAATGTATGTATCTTATGTTGCATAATGTAAGTATCATAATGTATGTATCTTATGTTGCATAATGTATGTATATTATGTTGCATAATGTATGTATCTTATGTTGCATAATGTATGTATGTATTTTATATTGCATAATGTATGTATTTTTAAACAAACATTATGCAAGAGCTAAATCTGCCTATTGCAGGTCTTTCTTTAGGCCTGAAATGTTATACATGTATAAACTATTTATTAGACATTTATTAACAAAACAAGACCATAATCAACTCTTAATAGCATCGGATACTCGAGATTTAACTAGATTAGAACGGTTCACCATTTAAAAATTTAATCTAAAAATGGGAAAGCGAGGACATCTTGTCAAAACTACAGTTATAACTTCACTCAGAATGAAGTAATCTGAATGAAATTTTCAATATTTTCATTTTACATTATCTATTTTTGAGCTGTTATAGTAAGAATGGTCAGCTCTTTATCTAAATCTTACATAATGTATCTTTAATTTATCTGTATATTATTGTGTACATGTACGGTACATGTCAGATCACCCTGTTATAACGTACCTCTATACTGCAATATAAATATACTCATTTGTACTTTACATAAGCACATTATAGGCGTACATGTAAATACAGAATAAATTACTACATTTACATAATAAAACGAAACTACAAAGAACATCTAAGGACTTGAACAAAAAATGGCTTAAAATTGGCCTTCAGAGAAAACTTACATTATATAATAATACAGTTTTTTATTGGAAGTCTGAAAGCCTATTCACTAAACCTTTCAGTTATATTTGTAAGCCTTTTAAAGGAGCTAAATCGCTAATATTTGTGACTTTGATACAAATGGGTCGTAACGCATATAATAATGTAATATGAATATATATTAACTGATTTACATTCAACAAAATATGCCAGAAGTCTCAATCGAATGGCAATCTCTAAGTGTCTGGTTATTCCAGTCTAAACCGATAGTATTATTGTGCATGCTATCCAGATAAGAATATGACATCACTGTTTGATGCGACTTGTGGAATACATGTATATCTAGCCTCGTTCTTCGAGTCCCTTGTTACAAATGGTGCTGAAACGCATTATGGTACACGATTCGTGTACCAATGGTAAAATGTTTATTTTGTTTTAAATATTGAATATGAGAAGCCCATCTTATTCCGGTAAGATCACAACATCAATGTTGATTTAATTTGACAAATAATTTTTGTTTTCAATGTCGAAGACTTTAGATGATATCGAGTTAGTGAATTAGCTACTTTAAATTAAGTGTGTACGTGCGGTGACATAAAATGTGCTATTCGATGAACAGAGTGATAATTAGGTTTCTTAATTCTATTATTCGGCCAATAACACCTCATGTACGCAACAAGAAAATTACATCAGAACTGTCAAACTACCATGTCAGTCAATTACTCATTCTATCTGGTCTTTTACAGATCTATTGTGGGCACTCGACATTCTTGCATTATTTTGTCGTGTAATGGAAAATGAGGGTGAACGAACGTGCTTAACGATTACACAATATCACGCCATTCAAATATGCCAACGCTAACACGACCGCAGAAATCTGATATTCACGCTCCGTATTGTTTCCTTGCAATGATTGACAGTCAATGTTCTAGAAGAAAAATCAATAATTTTACAGGCAGTAAGTGATCAGTGTTCTTGATAAAAATAAAAAATATTATTATTCTGGTTGTTGAAATTCATCAACAAGTGTTTCCAACAGATGCCAAATTCATTACATATGGTTTGTTTCAGGTGTATCGGAGACACGGTGGCTAAGTGAATAAGACGCTGGCTCGCTAGTCTGGAGGTCACGTGTTCGATTCCTGTATTTGCCAAGCAAGTTTATCAGGATTTTCCGACATGGTTTCCCACAAGAACAGCTGTCTAGTCATTCGGATGGGATGAAAAACTGGTCTCGTGTATACAGTGGTGTGCATGTAAAAGACCCCTTGGCAGTTGGAATTCGATACAAGGGTAGGCCATAATGCTGCTGCCTGGGCAAAATTTCTCTCATAGCACACTGTATGGCATATGCCCGTCTTCATTAGCCGAGTAGAAGCAGAACAGTAGGATGTTAAACCCCATTTCATTTCATCACGGTTTCAGGTATTAACATTCTTTTGTAAATTAAACCTAGGTTTAACACCCTCTTTTATTGTATCAACTTTACCAATGTAGATAGGCAAAAGCCATGAAGTGCTCTACGAGAGAAACTAAGCCCAGACAGTGACGCTAGACTATTTATTTCAATTTCAAACAGTCAGGGAATCTTTTAACATGTTTACAACAGGCAAGACTTTAATTGCAAGACCTCATCCTCTCCTCCTGCGCCACTGAACATTTCTTTGTATTTGAGAGATGGAGAAATCTGAATCAAACTAGGTCATTTTCAGGACTAACATATGGTTCAATTTTATGTCAATATTATCTTGGGCATAGGGGTCTTTAGTAGTGGGAAGAAACCAGAGGATCCGGAGAAAACCCATGAGGTTGGGCAGGCAACCCTACTCCTCGTCACGTACAACGGGGGAATCGAAACCACACCAGTTGACTCAATGACAGACCGTATGATACATAGCGCACGCGCTAACAATTCGGCCATCCAACCCCCCCCCCTCTTTGTTTGTATTTGAATATACCTATAACTATTAGCCAATACATTCTGTTTGCTTTTCATAGAGACCATAAAATTTAAACTGTTTTATGTGACCTATCACTACATTGAATGATACTTGAATGAGTTAAATAGCCATTATCATATAAGATAACCACAAAGAAAACCTTATCAACAGAAATAAAATGGGGTTTAACGACCTACTGTTTTGCACCGACTGGGCTAATAAAGATGGACATACACCATACAGTGTTCAATGAGGGAAATTTTGCCTGGACAGTGGCACTATGGTCTACTCTTGCGTGTACATCAAATCCCATATGACAAGGCTTCTTTTATATGAAGTCTATGTGTACACAGGACCTTGGTTTTCCATCCTATCCGAAGGACTACATGTATACGTTGTCCCTTGCCAGACCCTCCGTCAAGGTGGGAAACCACACCGGAAAAACTTCGTGGAATTTCAACATATAAAACCACGCTTGTAATTTTAGACAAAAAGGGGGCTTTGGCAAAGAAAGTGTTGTTAGGATGTTATGAACCCCCCCCCCCCCAAAAAAAATTTTGGAGTTTTATTAGCGTGCTTTTAATCGAGGATTGTCCTGTGAAATATTGGAATTGTCCTTCCACTGGGGAATGTGATGAATAATTCAGTCATAAAAATACCTGAAAAATCCATAGAATATGAGTCATCGACATTCCATAATACAATAAGTTTCTTCAGGACTTACTCAATGACTATATATTGTACACATGTGTAGCTAGAAAGGAATTTATTGATTAAAACTGATGACAGTCCTCTAAATTATTTATATGTAGATATGTATGTGTTTGTCAAGCATCAAGTACAATGTAGATTTTAAAAAAATATATCTATTATTGTTACAGTCCTATTCAATAAAATTTATTCTTCACAACAATAATTTAAGCTTGGCTGCCAGAAATTTCACAAGATGAGACAAAAGTATGATGGGATATTAACTCTTTATCCATTCTTGATAACGTTGATTTCAGCTTGGCTTCTGGAATATTCCCCAAGATGAGACAATAAAAGTACTGGGCCCTTATTCACAAAAACTTCAACTAAGATACAATCGAAATTTTAAGAAATACTGCAATTCGATTGGCTGACCAGTAAAATCAATTTCTTAAATCAGTATTTCTTAAAATTTCGGTTGTAACTTAGTTTAAGTTTTCGTGAATAAGGGCCATGGATATAAACTACACATATATTTAATATGTATTCAAGAATGTCCGTGCATCAAAATGCACCATTTCAGAGCTATAGAAATCTACAAACATGAAAGATGGAGATCTTTAACACATGTACATGTAGGAATAGGAGTCCAAAACCGCCATGGATCGTTCAGCCAGTCACCCCCTACCCCCACGTACATGTATACAGATAGAAATGAAATGGGAGTTTAACGTCCTACTGTTCGTATACAGATAGAACTGTATGATAACTTTTATAAATGAAATGAAATAAAATGGGGTTTAACGTCCTACTGTTCTGCTCCGACTGGGCTAAAGAAGACGGGCATACGCCATACAGTGTGCTATGAGGGAAATTTTGCCCAGGCAGCGGCACTATCGCCTACTCTTATATCGAATTCCAACTGCCGGGGGATCTTTTACGTGCATTCCAATATATACACGGGACCATTCCTCTCATC